TTATCTATTTTAATTTTTAGTGAAAATGTCGAGAGGAAGAAATCCACAACCCATGGCTCACAGTTCTCTGTCCTCTGCTCCACTCTCTAATTGCTAGCACCTGCCGGTGGAACCTCATCCTCTTTCAAACTTTTACGTTGACGCATGTCGCCAACGTTCCTGCTCTCCATTTTATGTTGTGGAGTTAATCAAGAGCGAAGTTCAAAATAAGTTTTTTGAAAGAATTTTTACTTTTGTACGTCGAAAAAAGTTTGATCACACCATAAGCGACAAATATATTTTACAAACATTTCTGAATATGAAAAGTTGTCGTGTGTCACTGTGAAAAATAATAAATTACGACCTTAATGAGTTAATATTTTATTTTATTTTTTATTTAATACATTTAATTTATTAATTATTTTTGTCTTCTGACACACCTATCAAAGAATCCTGGGTCCGCCACTGCCCGTGGGTTCGGGTTTTGTTGCCATCCCTACTTTGAATAGGGAGGGAAAAGGGAAAGCCGTTTTCACTGCTCGTGATTTTGTATCCAAAAGGTATTACAGTTTTTTTTTATTATCCAAGATAAGCCCCCAGGGCATGGCCGGACAACACAGTTAAAATAGAGGAGGAATTTTACAATGTTATATAATATTGGTGCTAAAAAACAAACTTAAAGTGACCAAACTGAAAGAAACCAAACAACACAGTCTTCAACTGGGAACGGCTACGGTGCTAATTGCACAATAGTTAGCACCGTCCTAACCAAGGGAAAAACTACTACTAGTTTGAATTAGTAGTGATTTAGCTTAGATGTTGTATTGATTTTATAATAATCCGTAGTGTTTTTTGCTAGTTATCACGGTAAATCCCATCCCTCTTCAACTCAAATGAAAACTACGCAGCTTCAATAAAGACAAGCTTTTGAAAGCTTTGCTTCTTGGCGCCAACTTTCAACACAGATTTGGTAAATTATTTACATATGAGTGGATAAGGAGATGTGCACGAAGTCGCTACAAATGTTGTTGTGCTTTGAAAAATCATTCATAATAAGGAGTGTAAAATTGAGTGTAATGGGGGGCGGGGGGTGTCCGACGTACAACTTTTCAATAAAAGCAGATAGAATGTTTGGAGATATGAAACTACTCATCATGAGTGTAAATAAGATGCCAAGTGTAACCGTTAAGATTTTATTAGCCGGTGAGTGTCACTATACAACTACATGTTTAAATGACTTGATAGAATAACACTCTTCATAATTCTTAGTTATTTGTTCGAGGAAAAAATCATTGCCGCCGTTATATTCTATCCTAGTACCACTGCCCAGACGAGCCCTAGAGAGTTGATTGTGTTGTAGCATAATCTTTCGCAGACATGAAATGGGTAACGTTGGAAGGAGATGTTGTTGTCACTTAAAACCCAATCCCCTCGCCAAACCAATTCGGTTCATAAACTTGTTAATCTAAGTCGTAGTCAACTATATCCTCTTAACAGTGATTTTATTGACTTACAAAACAGTATTTTTCTAGCGAGGATAATAAGCAAAGGTAGTGTGTGGGTGTATGTTTTTCTTCACTAATTGCTAACACGCCAAATTTTTTTTTTTTTTTACAAAAGATAATCATATATTGATAGAAACATAGGCGATTACATCATGGAATAAAGTCAGGCCTGGAAATCAAAGAAACGACTCGTAGTCGGGTACAAAGAAAGAGCCTTCCAAGCTACCAAATGAGCTACCCTATTGTTCCTCCGACCTACAATTTTGTGAAATAAGTAAAAGATTCCTTATCGTTCGTTTTTTGTGAAGGAAAATCAATTGACCTCTCATAATCAAGTCTTTAACTCCTAGTTTGTGACCCTACTTTTAAAGGGTGGAAAGGTTCCTTATTTTGAACTCTCCCACCTCCTAAAGGTCATAAGGATATTCGCATGTTGTATAGAGCTTGACCTCCTCAAACTTAGTCATACATGGGTCAATTGTTGTAGTGAATCCGTTAATGCAAGTACTTCCACAACAAAGATTTTCCATCCAAAAGTGTGTGACAGAAAATATCATCATCTCTCGACATAGCAACATTATAATTTACTTTAGAAATTTTTAAATGAAAAAAATAATTACTTTTATCTTTCGATCACGTTTTGATTACTTAGATAATTTAACTTTTCGTATGTAAAAACAAAAATTTGAATTTTTTCTTTTTATAAGGACGAAGAGGTGAGATTGAGCCCTTAGTAGAGGTGTGGAGCTATTCAACTATCATATCACATGAACTTCCTCTGTATAATTATGTTCTCTTGTTTTTATCTCTATTTCATAGATGTTGTTAATAATGAGGAATCACAACTGCATATTCGTTTGTTATACTGCATGCTACTTGTACATAATATATATATATATCGATAATAATTACTTTCTTCCAAAACCAGGCAGGGCAAGAAATGGATATTCCTTGTTCGTCTGCATTGGGGATCATTATTCAATGGATTCATCGGAGAGACAGCAAAACAAATCTCTCTATAATACCGACGTATATATAGACGATGGAGCTTACAATTACAAAGTCACGGAGATAAAGAATTTCAACACTTGTTAATCAAGGATATAATGTGTTATATTACCTGAATAAATAAATAAATAAAAGAAATTTTTTTTATAGTCATATAAGAAGTTATGTTTGATAATGATACATACAAAATATTTCTGAATTTTTATATTTCAAATATTGTTGCTATCCAGGATCGAACTGGAGACCTTCAGTGTGTAAAACTGACGTGATAACCACTACACCATAGCAACGAATCTGTTATTCATGGTTTGTCGTGCTATTAGTGGTTTCATATAAGTGAATAGAGATTTAGACCAATCACACAATCATGCATTTACGTGATTCAACGATATGTTTACGTATGTTTCTTTATACAATGACACTTAGTTCACCTTACGGATATAAATACATTTTTATGTGCGCATGCTTTAATTTATATTTTGAAGAGAGATGGCGAAGTTAATTAGAAAGACAAAAATTGATAAGCAAATAAGCATTTCTCTTTCCTTTTACCTACGAATCTATAAGTTCATTGCATCCATTATTTTCCACAACAAGTGAATTTGTGTTAGTTGGAAGATATGTATATTAAGATTGTAGAGGTAGCGCCATACATCGTCAACTAGTAGCTTTCTAACACGTAAACTAGTATGATATTCTTCTTTATGTGGCGTAGAACTAAACTCTCATTCGTAGTATAATGACGTATTCGTGACATTATCCAAGAAGATTCCTCCATAATTTGGTGTGGGGGTATTGAGTGGTAGTCCTACATTCACAAATGTACTATCCATGGAAACTGCGGATAGCTTAAGAAAGCCACCAATCACACAAAAACAAATGCAAAGGCAAGGCATATTCTGTCCCTGGGAGAGCATGAAAGTTCCTAAAGTAAAACCCTATCTATTTGGAAGGTTATTGGAAATGCAATGGTCCCCTTGGTTAGATCTTTTGGCGACGAGGAATTGTTCGTTGAAGCTAAGGCCACGTTTGGAGGAGAGAGTCGTGTACGTACTTTTCATAATTAGCTGGGGTTCTGTCCCAGTCCCAGTGCCCAGTGGAGATCCATGTGCATGAACTTTGAGGGTCTCTCATTCCAACATTCTCAAGTGGATTGGGTGGCGAATGAGAAGGAAGCCATGCAAGTTAACTAGTTTGGAGTGGACCAAAGCCACATCAAAGTTTAAGATGCTTTCTTAAGTTAAGACACAACATTATCTAATAAATTCATGTGGTTGATTTACCTAATGCGTGTCGGGTGTCAGTTTTGATTATTTTGAGTTTTGGGTTTTATCATAAACCAAACTGATAAGAAGATTAATGGTTTTTCATTTTTGGTTTTAAACCGTTAAATTTTTTAATAGTTTTGGTTTTAGTTATACCAATAACGAACCGATAATACAACTAGGTTGTAGCTACATGGGTTAAACAATTTAAATACTTTCGTTCAACCTTCAACACAAACATCAATCACTGAATGTGATTCAAGGTAAGTATAGTTAAGCTAATCCGATGATGTTAGCTATTCTAACCGAATCGAGTTTATTGACGACGACGACATAGCTGAAAATCATCTGCGGCGCGACTATCTATAGAATTGGATGGAGTTATATCTATGACAAAGACTAGTACATTCGGTGTATATTATACGTCTGTTCGATGTACTTCGATATATTTTGCCGAATCACAACCGTACCGTCCGTTATTAGTTATTACTTTTAGAATAAATGAACATTATGGTTCGAGATAGAGAATTCGCGATTGTGATTCACCCATTATAAATTAAGATAGAATATCATACCCCACACTCAATTTAATTCATGATCCAAAATAACAAAACTGGATTAACATATGGTAAAATTAGTGTACACCAGACATACACTAAGATAAATTATATATATATATATGCTTTTTTTGAGGTACAACAATGTATGAATGTGCCATCTATACAAGACAGGAGTTGCTTGTCCCAGCTGCATTCTTGTTTCGTGCATCAATGATATGATGTACACAACCACAAATGCACCAACCAATGATCGCAATATGCTCTTCCGCCAACAAACATCGGCCACCGTACGTACTTTGTAAAGTTAACCGGCCAACAGTGAATATATATATATAGGGAATTTGTTGGTTGAGCTGATCGAGTTCATTGTATTTCCCACCCACCAGAAATCAAAATCCCCAACGGAAACGACGAGGCTTCCTAAAAGATTATCTCTTTAGTTATTACTTTCGGCCAACCTTGAGATCGATGATCTTTGGAACAACTCCATTATATTTGTCCTCTTCGCTTTTTTTCCTACATGTAGGAAAAATACAGAGTTGTCTCTCATCATCGGTTTCTTCCCCACCAGTCCACCACCACTACCGCCACCATGGCCCCATCTTTTCTGGCCGACGACTTCTCACACGGAGTCGATCCCTAGTGGCTAGAGACTTACTATTAGGACTAATTCAAAGAGTCAACCGAAATTCAATGCTTTATTTATGTTTATTAGGTGGTGTTGGTAAACGTAGCCTCAACCAAACAAGGAAATTTCTCATATGGAAACAAAGAATTTTCTATTCGGTGAAATTCTATATTGAAACAACTCCGATTTAGAATAATATGCTCGAGCTTAGTAAAAGATCAAGATTTAACATGGTGTTTAGGTTGGAATCGAGATCGAAATTATTTAGATAGAATTTATCGTTCTCCTGAATCAATCTCGTAAGCTGGTCACACGCACATGACGCAATTATTGTTCTGCATAGCAGTAATTTGGAATGCTCCTCAGCTATGATTGTGTTGTTGATATATGCAGGGGATATTGAAGTGAACTGAGACTTCATTAGTATATTGTTTGTTAAAATGAGAAAGAATGATCAAAGTTTGGAGTTTAAGATATAATTATGGCCAAAGAATATGAATAACATAAGTTGTGAAGCGAGGACGTTTTGAATATATATGTTTAACATACCGTCATATGATTTCGATGCGGATATCAAAACCACACAAAAACCATCGGGTTTGGAGAAAACCCACCATAAGTATTTTTGGTTGGAATCTGTGTTTGGGAACTCGAGACTTTGGGTGACCTTGTAATGCTTTGGAGTTGGTGGGAAACCTTCACTAGACGACCGAGAAATTGAGACTTTGGTCAACCTCACAAGCTTAGAAGTGGTAGACGAACCATAAACGCTGCAAGGATGAAGAATACCAAGTTGAGTGGAAAAAATTGGTATGTTCTCCTCAAGACTTTTTGAGCAAAACTTGCAAAGAGTAGAGAGGTAAGAATTTGAGGGTCAAGAAAATAGTTCCCATCCCAACGAGGGGCAGCTAGCTAATTCACAGGATCCTCCAGCCCAATGGTCACATTTAGAAAACTAAATTGGTTACACTACACTAGGCAAAAGAAGGAAAAACATGAACAATGCCCCATGCACTACGGCCTACCTATATGATGAGATTTTGTTTCTGGGTTTCTCAAAAACATGAACAATGTTACACAAAGACCTTACTCAGGCGGGACTCGAACTTCGGGTCTGTGTGTATAATAATGAGCTTCGTCCTCGACATCCCTGCGTAGAATTGATCATCCGGTTTGAGCCACAGTCGGTGCCTGCCCAAATAACCAAACAGCAGAAGTGAATTCATAAACTAAGCTACAGTAATCAGCAGTCACTGAGAGGGTCAGTCTTCATCCAAGATGAAAGCTGTGGGTGCTGCCGCCTTACCTTGTGATAATATGTAATTGCAGCTGTAAAATTATCCTGCAAATGCAACACAAGGCGAGACAAAGGACTAGTCAAATACCATCATCAGCACACCAGACCCAGACTCCATATCAGTACCAAGCCTGAGGCTGAGAGACTTCATATTTTACAAAGAGCTTCCTAGAATCAAAATTCCAAGTATCTGAAAACTGAAATATACCTGCTCAGCAAGCTTATAGCTGTGCGCGTGCATGTACTCCATCCCAACGGTACAGTGTTGGCAAATTACACCCAAATGGAACAAGAGAATTTAAGATTCAACCTGTAAAAACCAATATATAGATTCGAATCAGCAATGGAATGCTAAAAAAATTTGAGATCCTAGGAACAGTCACAAGTTCGAATATGTTATGTAAGTTGAAAACGCAAGCCAAAAGTACAAAGGTTGTGAGAGAACAGTGTTACAAAATGCACTATAAGTGACCAAATGAAAAAGGCAGACTAATGCGAGCTAGTCAAATTAATTGCACCCAAGCATCCCGCTGTAATGTCCTATACATGGAAATGTAAGAAGCATTAAAAACTATCCGCTTGATGACAAAGCATGACATTGCATGATCTCCCTCATTTCTGGCAGCAGCATAAGCATACCCCCAGCCTTTCCAAGCAGGTGCAGGCTAGTTGCTTTGCTATTGTAACAGAAGAAGGAAGAGATAAGCCAAAGCATCCATAGTTGCTTTGCTTCGTAATTATCACTGTTTCAGTGTTCTACCATGAGTTTTCAGATAGTCATATATTCTTATGTATATTTCTAGTTAAGACACAACTATTACACATGGAAGTCAACACGACCTTCCGTCCTTTGAACTGCTGCAAAAGAACAAATCATCGTTTTTGCTTTTTAATGATAAGGGAACCAACTTATGGTGATAACCCTGCTTGGATGTAACCTGGCAAACTCATGTGAGTGCAAGTTGCCGCACTTATTCTTGATGAGGGTATTCTCATTGAAAGGCGAATAACGAAATAAATTGCAGCTATGTCCGTTGTTTGAATCCATAAGTACTAGTTACGATCCAAAGACTTTGTACAACATACTGGCAAGCAATTCGATTCGTATTACTTGTTCCAGTTCCTTTCCTCAAATTCAGAACACTCTTGATTTAATGGATCATATATATTGACAGACATGGCATGACTAGAAATTTGCTGACAAAAGTTTAAGAATGCACTACAGTACTAGTGAAAATTAAGCGAAGTACTAAGGCGAAGGGAAATTGTCATTTGAAGGGAAATTGTCAAACATCCCTTACTGATAAAACAAGGATAAACAAAGCCAAGTATAACCTGTAGTTTACCTGAAATACCATCACGGCTATTTATACTTCTTCTGAAACAATATATAGTAGTAGCAACCAACAGCAAACACGAAAGAGACCTAAAATAAGATGAGTCTGTAAGTGGCACAGCAAGTCATATTTACAACTAACTAATTCATAAGACCAAAAGCCAGAACAAAGATATAAGGGATGGGAAATTTTTTTGCCTCTCTCATGAGCTGAATTTAAGAACCAAGTCATATTTACATAACCAGGGACAATCCAATGAATGCGATGCAGTAATTTCTGCAGAATCTCTTGAAATTGTAGGCAAAGCTCCCTTGTTGGGACAAGAACCAACGCTGCTGCAACCCAGATACCAACAAAAACGTTAACTTCAAAGAGACAAATTGGTCTGAAGCACACTAAATAAAGAAGAAAGAGGGATCAGGTATTAAAAGTTCCCTGAGAGATCGTTGATAATATTCAGTTTTGCAGGCCAAAAGAGCAGAATCATTTTTCAGTGGGCAGATAAAACATTGACCGGAAGGATTACTGTTCCAGCTTTCCTTTTCAAGATCTTGGAATTTGGCTTCTACAACGCTTTCTTTGTTGCACTAGATGATTCGCAGAAGGAGAGAGGTTAGTGCATAAGAAGAGGGAAATATACAAAAGCCACTGATAATATATACAAATAACAACTGGAAAATCATGTAAGCACATACACAAACAAAAACACCACTAGGACAATATCTAGCAGAAATGTACCTTTCTATTTCAAAAATTAAAAATAAATGCTACCTTTTTCCCTTAAGCAAGAGTAGAACAAAGAAAGCCACCCATCTTCCCGACAAAAGTCCATTGATGAAAAATGACTTGTGTCTGGGAGTCCAAAAGAACAATAAACTGTAGCATGGCAAGACCAAATCATTGACCCTTCAGAAGAAAGAAACATATCATGCTTCATAGAAGACCAATAAAATGTCCTTTAATTCTTACTTTCGTGGTTATCCATAAATGGTCAGCTAGGTGATTAATCACTAAACAGGGAATGTGACCATTACCCACTATAGCAAGGCAAATATTTTAAAAAACCTTGCTTCCGAAATAATCAGGAAGACTAGAATTTTCCTAATACATTATGAATGCATATGCTTATTCCCCAAAATTATGTAATCAGGAAATGCCGTTAGCACACCACTAAATAACACAGAATGTCAGAATGACTCACGTTGGTCTGGTTGCCGGTACCATCTGACAGGTTCACCAGGAAACAAAATCGATAACGTTTTCTGGTAACTCCGCTTCTGCATGTATGATAAAATACTGATGCTTTCAGATCAGTAGCTTAACAAGGCTTCAATGATATCAAAGCAACTTTCTTTTTTCAACATGTTTCTCCTAAGGTTACCAAGTGCCCCATATATCTGAGATGTCAGTGGACATGAGGAATCTCCAGAGTAGAAAACATCGACTTTGTTCCTCACTTCAATCCAGCTGCATCCACCCTTCTTTTTCATCCCTTTTTCTTTCATCAATGCCCTTAACTTTGCAGCACTGTCCCACAATTCAGCTTCTCCATAAATATTCAGAAGCTGAGCATAATTGCTGCCTCTACTTGGCTCAATCTTTGATAGCTCAGTAGCTGCAGCTTCTCCAAGATCCACATTACGATGAGCTCGACATGAACTTAATAGTGATAGCCAAATGCTTTTGCTAGGTTCAATAGGCATGCTTCTAACTAGAGCATAAGCATCATCTAGCTGTCCTCCACGACCTAACATATCAACAACGGTCACATAATGCTCTTCTCTAGGTTCAATCCTATACTCAATTTTCATTGAATGGAGAAGATTGAGGCCTTCCTTAATCAAGCCTGAATGATTGCAAGAGGAAAGTAGAGAAATGAAGGTGATATGATCAGGTTGGATCGAAGTATTCCTCATTTCATCCAATAATGCCATTGCTTTCCAGCACTCACCATGCGATCCATAACCATCCATCATTGAATTATACGTCACCAAGTTTTTCCAACACATTTTCTGGAAAACATTCTGGGCATATTTCAGAGATCCAGACTTGATGTACATGTCAACCAGTGCGTTCTCTAAATGAATGTCAGTTAGAATTCCTTGCCTAATGAGGTAAGCATGCAGAGCCTTCCCTTTGACCAGAACTGCAAGTAATGAAACAGCAACAAGCGCATTAGTGATAGAGAGGGCATCTGGATCCAATCCATACGCTACAAACCGATAAAATGTTTCCATGGATCTCTCAGGCAGGTCGTTTCTGCTATAACATGACATCATCGAATTCCAAGAAACAATGTTTTTGAATGGCATGTGAGAGAACACATCCGCAGCCATTTCAGGGAAGCCACATTTAGAGTACATATCCAAAATGGCACTTGCAACAAAAACATCTCTTTCTAACCCACTCTTAGTAACAAATCCATGCATCAACGAGCCCAAATTTACATTCTCCAATCCTGTACAAGAACTGATTGCACTTGCCATGATATCAGAATCCGGTTTCACTCCATGTTTCTTCATATCTCTGAAACAATCCAAAGCCTCAACAAATTTTTCATTTTGGCTAAAACCAGAGATCATGGAGCCCCATGCAATCACATCTCTACCCTTCATACTACTAAAAACCAACTTAGCTTCATGGTCCAGCCCACCCTTAGTATACAACGTAAGCAATGCACTTTCTACGGTAATATTTCTCTCTATAGGTCTTTTGACTAAATCCGCATGGATCAACCTACCAAAGTCGAGCACTTCAACTATGTTGCAACAAGATAGAACATGTGCCATTGTGAAAGAATCGGGCACGATATGGTGAATCTTCATTTGCCTGTAGGTGTCTAAAGCACCATAAATAGAACCACTGCTGGCATAAGCTGAGATCATTGCGTTCCAAAGTTCAATTCCCTTGTTACTAACTTGCTCAAACACTCTCTCTGCACCTTCTATAAATTTGCACTTGGCATACATGGTCAAAAGAGAGGTACAAACATAATGGTTACTCGCAAAACCCATCTTAACAACATCAGAATGAACCTGTTCACCAAAACTTACACACTCGCCCTGACCACAAGCACCCAAGATGTTGGTGAAGGATGCCGAAACGAGTTCCATTTCCTCACTCTTGGCCAGCATATACAACTCTAAGCTACTTTCCCACAAACCATTCTCAGCAAGCCCTCCCAACATCACATTCCATGACACAACATTTCTCCTCCTGTTCTCTAGCGCTTGGAACATACGACAGGAAGTCATCGGCCTAGCACACCTAAAATACATGTCCAATAGCGAACTCTCTAAGAAAGGATCGCTACCAAGCAAGTTTCGAACAACATAGGCATGAATCTGTCTCCCTTCTTCATATCCCAAATACCCAACTACAATGCACAATGAGTAGGCATCAGGCCGAATCCCGGACGATTGCATTCGACGAAAGTGAGAAACACCCTCCTCAACACGACCAAAACGAAAATACCCATCAGCTATCGAGTTCCAAATCGAGGAATCTCCCGCCAAAAGTTCCCTTTCCGGCAATTTATCGAACACCTGAACTGCATCCAGCAGTGACCCGCATTTCACATACATGTTTATTAGTGAAGTAGTAATGAATGGATCACGGCACAAACCCATGGCAGTGATCGTCGCTTGAATCGTCCTTCCGTACTTAAGGTTTGCAAGGGAAGCACAAGCTTTGAGAAGAGAAGGAAAGGTGTACTTGGAAATGACAGCAGGAGTATGGCGAGCATACAACTGCAATGCTTGTACATGGAACCCTTGCCCAACCAAGTCCTTGATTGTGGGAGAGGAGGAAGAATTCAGATTGACCAGAGAATGTAAGGCCCTGAAACCAACGCTCCTAGAGTTGAATTTGTTCAAGAACTCATCCGGATATCTGCGGGAATACTGCGTCGATGCCAGCAGACGGCGGGGAAACGACATCGACGTCCGCCGCATTTGAGGATCTGAATTAGAAGCGCAAAATCCCAAATCATAATGGGGCTCGAGGAAGAGAAAACAACAACCCCGTTCCGCTAAAACCAAATTCATCACTAACCTGCGAACACTCTCTGTTACTGTAAACTGCAAAGCAATGGCCTTTTTCAGTTTAAAGAAAGGCAGCGGGAGGAACTCAATCAGACGGCGGCAACACCATTTGGCGGTCAATTTACCAGAATCCAGAAGTGAATGAAATCTTTTTCATTTGGGCTTATCTCATTAGCCTTAACGTGGGCCGAAAGCCCAGCAACGGAAACAACTTCCATTGCTCACTCCGAGCTCTGGAGTACGTCACCGTGAGTCAGATAACCACAAGGAACCGAAGAAAACTTGCGATTTCCTCTCTGTCACGATGGTCAGAAGAAGTGCGAGGAAGAACCAGCTCTGAAAAACTCTTGCAAATCTCTAACCGGAGGGCGACGTGGCAAAAATCGACGGAAAAAGGGCTGGCTTGCCCGGAGGATCTCCCTTCCGGCGATAAGTGATTCTCTCGCTTTTTCCCCCTGACTTGAATTAGCTCCGGCCGCCCGATCTTCTTTCTGGTCTACGGCTTCGCTGTTTCGGCGACTCGGTTTAGGGATTTCAGTCTGGAGCTCTGCGCCTGGGCAGTTACTGGACGAATTGGTAGGGGAGCTGGTTAATCGTTTGTCTCGGTGTCAAGTTAGAGCTTTATCGAGATGGATTTGGTTTCTGGATACAAGGTGATCGTCTGCTTTCTTTATCCTTCCGCTTCATTTGTTCAGCTGCTCTTATTTCTTGATTCAGTGTGGCCTTGTCAAATGCTGGTTTGCTTGCCTGTCCTGCATGTGATGGCCTATGTTCTGATGAGCTTTGTGTGTGAATTCGTGTTCAGTATCCCCGTTGGTGATATAGTTGTTAAATTGCCTGTGTGGCTGAGCGAGATTTGTTTCTATGCAGGGTATGGTTGGGCTTGTTTTTGGCAACGAGAATTCGTCTTCAAATGAAGATAGGTGAGCTACTGTCAACTGATGTTATGCATGTTACAGTTCAAGGTTAAGGAAACTTTATTTTTGGATGGAGTACTGTTTTTAAGTTGCCAATGGCTTAGTCAAGTGGTCTTTTGGTTCTTAGGATCAAAACCTATATGCCTTAAAGAAAGGAGCTTTTTGGTTGTAGTAAATTCTGCAGCTGCCAAGCTGCTCCTGTTATAGTTCCAATTATAGTTTCTAACTGTTGCTAGAATTTCTGGAACCCCCCATGCAACCGATCTTGAATCATTCTTCCATAAGGCCTTGCATAGTGCCTGGTCTCACTATTCAATTGATAGGCATAGGGCTGCTGAGCTGTTCTGTGTTGAAATCCAGTATTTTCTTTTTAAATTCGCATGTCAACGCAAACCAATACCTGATCTTTTTAATCCTGCCAATAAACTTTGAACACTGCTGTCTAATTATACTTAAGAAAGCTACTTCTCTCTTTTAATATGAGGGTTATATAGATTTCCTCTAGAACGCCTTGTGAAGTGCCTACTCCGGTGTTTAATATGTTAGGCATACGACTTGCATTGTGTCCCCTGCTGCAATCCATTATTCGGGTTTTCTTGGTCTTAATGATTAGTTTGTTAAATTGGTTTATTGTGCATGGTACTTTGTTAGCTATGTGCAACGGTTGCTGGACCGAATCAGCACTGGTTCATTGGCAGAGGATAGGAGATCAGCCCTGATTGAGCTTCAATCAGTTGTGGTAGAAAGCCGTGCTGCACAGCTAGCATTTGGGGCTATGGGTATGTGCTCCCTTTGTCACACCTCTAACATCCAGGTTGTGACTTTTAACATTCTAATTCCTTTGTTCATTATGTTATCCAATAATATGTACTTGTTATCTTGCAGGATTTCCTGTTTTGATGGGCGTCTTAAAGGATGAGAGAGATGATGTTGAAATGGTATCCTATCTTCTCTCATTTTCAACTGTTTTCTTTTATGTATTAATAATTTCAAGGATGGAATTGGAGGATATTCGCTCTTTGGTTTTTAGTCTGGCTTATGTAAACTGATTTACCATTTCTCGTGTTAAAGGACTTGCTACATTGGTGCAGATTCGAGGTGCCCTCGAAACTATTGTAGGAGCGTTGACTCCTCTAGAGCAATCAAAAGGAAAGAATGAGGTCCAACCAGCACTAATGAATACGGATATGCTCTCACATGAAGCTGAAAACATATCCTTGCTTCTGAGTTTATTGGTGATCACTTACTGAAATTAATCCCTATCTGCATTTATTTTAATTAGAAGGATAAGTGCAGCCTTTGTTGTCTCTTCTTGATTCTTTGTTTCTACCTCTTGCAGTCAGAAGAGGATTTCTATATACGTTATTACACTCTTCAAATCTTGACAGCTCTTCTAATGAATTCTCCGAATAGGTACGATTAGTAGCATCCTCCTGTTTTTTTTTTTTTTTTTTTTTGTTCCTCTTCTGTTCCAGTTGTTCCCTTTGCATCTTTTCCCCTGGTTACGCTGGAAAAGCTCTTGCTGAGTTCCTATTCAGGTTACAGGAAGCAATTTTGACCATTCCTCGGGGCATCACTCGACTTATGGACATGTTGATGGACCGAGAGGTAAATAGAACCGAGTATCGGAACACTGTCCAATTTCTTTTAGTGTATAGGGATTAAACAGTTTTGAACCATTTCCTGAAATCATGTATGAAACATTTGTAGGTTATACGAAATGAGGCTTTGCTGCTTCTTACTTACCTGACTCGTGAAGCTGAGGCAATTATCTTCTCCTACTGTATCTTCTTCAATCTATCTCTTCCCAAATATTATACCTTGCTGATTTTATTTCCAGTGCATTGTGCTGTTTTCTTACCGACGTACTGTTTTTATATCTTTAGGAGATTCAAAAAATTGTGGTCTTTGAAGGTGCGTTTGATAAGATTTTTAGTATTATTAAAGAGGAAGGAGGCTCTGAAGGTGGTGTTGTTGTACAGGTGACTGAATTGCACCTGTTGCCTAGTTACAGCGTGGATTTTCTTTCTATTGGTTAAAATGAACATTTTTTTGGGAACTTTTCAAGGGGCGTGATTCTTTTTACATGATCAACTCTTTTGTTTGAGCAGGACTGTCTGGAATTATTAAACAACCTTCTGCGAAACAATACTTCGAATCAGGTTGGTCAACTTCTCTAATGATCTGTCATGCCTCTATAACAGCATGTTACCCGCTAATCCTGGTGTTATGTACTATCTAGATACTGCTGAGAGAGACCATGGGATTTGATGGTTTAATTTCAATGTTGAGGCTGAGAGGGCGTGCCTACAGCTTCACCCAACAGAAGGTTTGGTACTGATATCACAGTAGCTTTGCATTTTGTCTGCTGGTGGATGGTGTGCTTTTTTCCAGTAATTATATCATCACATAATCCTTACTGTGGCTTTCTTCTGTTATTTGAACAAACACCTTGCCAGTAGACAATTAATCTACTAAGTGTTCTTGGGACAATTAATTTGCTATTGGTGGGAGGTTCTGAAGCTGATGCGGGAAAAGATGCAAATAAGCTGACAAATAAAACTGTCCTGGTTCAGGTTGTATACCAAATCACAAGCTCTGATGCATAAAAAGGGGGAGGCTTTGCAACGATAAAGATGTTGCTCATACTTTTTCTGTCGATTTTGTTTGCAGAAAAAGGTTCTTGATTATCTCTTACTGTTGGGTGTGGAAAACCAATGGGCTCCAGTTGCTGTCCGTTGTGCTGTAAGGCATCTTCCTTGCTCCTAAATTTCCTGTATCCATAGAGAGAAATAAAATTCATCCATTCAGTCTTTCCATCAAAGAAACCCTGAGGATATTTTTCTTCCCCTAGACTTATCAGTTTTCATTTATTTATCCTTGGAAATTTTGCAATCTTCACAGGCATTGAGGTGCATAGGTGACTTGATCGCTGGGCATCGAGGGAATCTAGATGCTCTTGCTAGCAAAGTTCTAGGGGAGAATCACCAAGTTGAACCTGCTCTGAATTCTATTCTCCGAATCATTTTGCGGGCGTCCAGCATGCAGGAGTTCATTGCAGCTGACCATATTTTTGAAAGATTTTGTGAGGTTGGTTCCTTTGTCTTCACATAAGAAGAGAATGTATCGTAACCATTGCTGAGATAGACCATTCTCACTACTGTATAATTGTGATTGTGTTTGTTAGGGGAATTGTGATGGTCAATCAATGTTAGCTTCAACATTAATCCCTCAGCCATATTCAATGACTCATGCTTCCATTGACGAGGATGTGAACATGTCATTTGGCAGGTTGGAATTTTCAAGTTCACTCCTGGCTGCTGAATCTATTTGCTCATTGCTGGTTTTATCCATCTTCCTTGCAGTTTGATTTGTTATCTAATTTTACCTTTTGTTGTGGCAGTATGGTTTTGCATGGTCTTACTTCGAGTGAAACTGATGGCGATCTCGATGTATGTGTTGACTTTTAGGGAAAATTTAAATACCTGTCTCATCATACAATTTCTAGGACTAAGGTTCTATATCTAGTGGTTGACGGATCATATTCACTGAATACATTTTGAATTCTAGACTTGTTGCAGGGCTGCTAGTGTCCTGTCATATGTACTCAAGGACAACATGCAGTGCAAGGAAAGGGTACGATTTCCCCTTCTTTTATTTTATTATAAAGTTGACTATGGATCCTTAGTCATTTCTGGTCTTTTTACTTAGTCACAAGAAAAGCATGCGGCCTTTACTAATTTTCACTTAGTCACAAGGAAAGCGCACATCTCTTTCTTCAGTTTTTCCATGGTTGATCTTTGGCTCAATTTGTCAGGTTCTAAGGATAGAACTCGAGTCATCCTCAGGAGCCTTGGGACATTCAGAGCCATTGATGCACCTGATGGTGAAATATTTAGCTCTTGCATCAGGAACGAAACACAAAGAAAGCAAATCGAACACATCAGGGAATTCATACATTCAACCAATCATCTTGAAGCTGCTTGTCACTTGGCTTTCTGATTGCCCGCCAGCAGTCAATTACTTCCTCGATCTCCGCCCTCACTTATCATATCTGCTCGAGCTGGTCTCAGATCAGTCCGCAACTGTATCCACAAGAGGCTTAGCAGCAATTCTCCTGGGAGAGTGTGTTATCTACAATAAGTCTAGTGAATCTGGAAAAGATTCTTATGCTGTCGTCGACGCCATAAGCCAGAAGGTTGGGCTGACGTCATACTTCCTAAAGTTTGACGAAATGAAGAAGAGCTTTCTTTTCTCCGCCGAAAAATCCACCGTACCTTCTCATAAACCATTATCGAGATCAGCCGCTGCTAGTATGGCAGAGATTGAAGATGTTGATGAGCAGCTATCATCCGATCAGAAGGGCGAGGATCATCCAATTCTCTCGTCAATGTTCGATTCTGGTTTTGTCAACTTTGTAAAGAGATTGGAATCTGAGATTCGTGAGAACATCGTTAACATCTACAGTCTGCCAAAGACCGAGGTGGCAGTTGTGCCGGCAGATATGGAGCAGAAGACTGGAGAATCTGACAAGGAGTATATCAGACGGCTGAAGTCATTCGTGGAGAAACAATGCTCTGAGATACAGGTATATTTCTATCTGGCCGTATTGTGCAAACATTATGGCTGTGGTTGTTTCAGCTTTTGTCATTTTTTATTTTGTTTCCTAGAATACTAAACCTCGAGTCTCTGTGGTTCTTGTGGGGGAAAAAGGATCTTCTTGGACGGAATGCAACATTGGCTGAGGATCTGGTGAAGATAGGTGGGGGCGAGTCATCTTACTCTGACCAAAGAGCTACCACAGGATCCGAAAGGGTACAGACTGAAACTCTCCGACGAGATCTCAAGGAAGCACACCAAAGGATTGAGATGCTGAAGAATGAAAACACGAAGCTTGAATCAGAAGCATCAATGTACCAGAACTTAGCCGGCAAAGTGGAGTCTGACCTTAAGAGCCTCTCCGACGCTTACAACAGCCTCGAACAGGCCAACTTCCAGCTCGAGAAGGAGGTGAAGGCTCTAAGAACCAGCGGCGGCAGAGGAGGAGGTGTTTCCGCAGTAGATGTAGAGGCAGCAAAGGCTGAGGCGAGAGAGGAAGCTCTGAAGGAGAGCGAAGGGGAGCTGAACGATCTGCTGGTGTGCCTGGGCCAGGAGCAGAGCAAGGTGGACAAACTCAGCTCGAGGTTGATGGAGCTTGGTGAGGACGTCGATACACTGCTGGAAGGAATCGGCGATGACGTGGGATTGCCAGAAGGTGGTGAAGATGACGATGAGGAAGATGCTGACTGATAAGGGATGTTTCGCTTTCAGTTTCTTTTTCCCTCCAGTTTTTGTTAGTGTCGTTGTGTCGTTGCTATGTGTCCGTATAACTTAATTTGCTGACTGAAAATGTGATGATTGGGGTACTGTACGCTGCTGCCTCTATTGGGTTGAATTGTACAGTTTTTCTTACATCATTTTCTTCATGAGCTCTGCTGAAGTTATTAACTATTATTGTCTGTTGTTTTTTCCTGTCAAACATGGTTGCCAATACTTTGATAGGCTTTGATTATGTGCAACCGAAGTCATGCTTTGCAGCAGAAGTGGCTTAAGGGGTGGACCTTGTTGTCGTTGACTGATTGTGAGATTCAGGATAGAGTTGGATGAGATCGAACTCTCTGGCTAATATAATAATAATCTGTGTATTTATGTGAAGATATTCCGTGAAAGGTAGATAGATGTTGATGGTGATGTCTACAAGGATAAGCTGGATAGAGATGACAACCTGCCAGGTGAAGTGGGGAGAATGTTATATTAATTAAGCTAAGTGGCCACTTGGATTAGATTGTCACAATGGACGGATTTAAGCCGATCCTTTGCTTAAATGGGTGATGTTGAGGATGCGATTTCTTTTCTACTTTTATGAATAGGGCTTCATGGTCGAAGTTGAAGACAAACTTTTGTCATTGTGCAAGTCCAAATATGGAATCATGATGGCAGGCTCAGGCAGGTGATTAAAGGCATAATGAACAATTGTAGGCTACTGAATGTGGCAGGACTGTATGTCCGAATCGTCTGCTTTCATGAACTTCTCAGGTGTTCGAAAAGGATAGTCTCTCGGAGGTCTGCGTTGGATCCTGTCATCGTTGAGAGATTAAATGTAAGCTAGTTAACGGTGGGGAACTACAACATGGCGACTTGGTAGATGCCAAGAATGATGGGGACGTGAGACATGCAGCGTAAGTAAAGTTATTAGTGCTGTCTAGCTAGGGATGGCAATTTGAACCCGCCCCGCCGGGTAATACCCGACATGATCCGTCATGGGGTGGGTATTACCCGAACCACATTAGCGTGGGGCGGGGCATGGGTATCAACTTCCGACCCGCCCTGCCCCGCCCCGTCCCATTCTTACCCCGTTTTATGTCAATTTTTTACCCCATCCATTTATATATCTCTTATTTTGACTTTTATTCGACTATTTAGATTTGATCTTTCAACTAAATAAACTCAATTACTTATTATATTATCACTATTATTCATTCATCAAGTATTTTCCCCTTTGTTTTTATCATAAATGGTAAAATTGTGCGTGTATTTTTCTCAAATAGCATGTAAGAGTGGGTCGACCCGCCCCGCCTCATTTCCGCGAGGGTATTACCCGCCCCGACCCGTTGACTCGACTCTACTGTCACCCTAGGAATTGGCCAAGTGTAACCACTTCCTAAAGCGTAGTATAGCGGGTTTGGGTTTAATTATCAACCCGGGTCCTAGATTTGATGACTACTCAGTGAATTCTTGTTATCGAGCAATGAAACTGGAATGCAAGTCTAAACTACCAAACAAACAAAGCAAGTAAACTGTTGTATTCAGGTTAAAGAGGTCACCCGGATATGGTTCCCCCTAGACTGCAGTTAAGCCGGATTGTAATTACCAAGTCAGTTTCTATGATAGTTATACTGCGGAAGGTTCTTAAACAGCCTGAAGTCTCGACTAAAGGTCTTCAGACCCTCTCAATCTGAGTCTCTAGCGGGCGACTAACCTCCACCGGAGTAAACAGATTGAGGCCCTAAGAACAAAACCTCCACTACCGGAGTAAATCCGGTACAGAATAGTGAGTTGGCTCCTCGACTAAAGTCACCAACTCCCTACCTTCAATCAAGGATACTCTATTAACCTAGGCAGATATTCTCATTCTAGGTTAAAGCAGAAACAACATGAATTTGATCAGGATTCAAGTCATTCAATCATTAAAACCTCAATCGAATATAATCAATCACAGAATCAGTACTTGTGTTCATACAATCAAAGCCTAACATACAAATCTAGGGTTCTCCATACCCAGATGAATGGGAGAACTACTCCATGGAGAAGAAAGCAAAAGCAGAATCAGACACGGAATTCATACTGCGAAGGATGGATTCCTGCTTCTGGACGTTGATTGACACTTCTCCAAGCTCAAACTGGCCTCCAATGGTGTTGAAGATCAATCTAGGGCACTTGGGAACTCTTGCTCGTCACTTTCTCTCTCTAGAAGTCGTTCTATCTCTCAAAAACTCGAATCCCCCTTGAGTTGTGGCTGAAAATCTGCTTAAAAGCATCAGTGGCCAAAACACGGTCGAGGGCACGGCCGTGCTTTGCCTGACTCCGCCCGTGTTTCGGCCAGTGTTTAATTACACGGCCAGTAGCTGGTGGAAACACGGCTGTGCTTCGCGATGTACACGGCCGTGCTTTGACTGAACACGGCCGTGCTTCAGTGCCCGTGTTTGCAACTGAATTGGCCAAACCAAATTTGCTCTCGGCATAAAAAGCACGGCCAGCAGTACACGGCCGTGTAATGCCTTAGGCTGCCCGTGTTTTGGCTCCAGCTCACCGAAATGACTTCCGAATGCCCCGAAACTCGCGCTCAGCCTTCCCTTTGACACCTGGGACCTGAAACATGACAAAATAGCACAACCCGGCGTAAAATAGGCCACAACACACGACTATGCCCCTTCAAACGGATAAGAACTAGGGCCGCAAACATGTGCAATTACATCGTTATCACTCGTACTAGCGTGAAGCGGGATATGGGTATCGAGGTACCCGCCCCGCCGCGACCTATTGCCATCACTGTGCAGCTAACTTGATGTTGGTGCTGTGAAGTTGGCATTAGTAATATCATCATAATGATGGCACCCACCTACCTACGGTACATTACTACATCTCCACTTTCAGAACTAAGAAAAGGGCAAACAGACAAAAAGGGAGGCGGGACGTGGGGGAGAATGCAACTAGGCGAAGAAGAAGCGGCGTCATGGCAATGTCTACAAAACAAATCATCATGTGAAAGCGAAAATCTAACTAAGGGGCCATTTACTGAAATGGTCACTCAACTTGGATCTTAACCAAACAATGACATTCAAGTTTGACATAACTAGCATTGTAATCATTCAGTTTGGTTTTGTCTAAACTTACCTAGATCGAGAGACTCTGATGAGATAAATAGAACGAACCATTTTGGTACATAATCGATCCAATGCATGTTTGTTATTTGACCCCCAATTTTATGCAAATTATCTTTTTGACCGGTGCCTCACAACAGGGGGAGGGTGGAAGAGTAGGAGTCGAGCTTTACGAGTGTTCGTAACTAGGATTTCTGTATTCAAAGTGTGATGCCCCACAGCTATTCAATCAAACATTATTATGAGTCGTTTGGATGAGTGAATCAAAAGATGTGAGACAAGAGTTCATTTTGTTCACATAACGTTCACGTACTATCCATGGACAGTCCACTACATGTGTTTTTCTAGATAAATAGTGCATATGCTCACATCCAAACAACTCTAATATGCTCAACCACTTCTCGTCCCCTCTCTGCGTTGGACAATAGTGTCTATAAGACAGTTCTATTGAATGAGCGAGTTCACTGATCTGAACGACTTTGACAGACAAACCGGATGAAATGGATGAAGTGACTATGTTAGGTTAGTAACTCTTCATTCTTAATACAAATTTGTTAGGAAATCAAAGTTCAATGACTGATTTCTTAAAGTCCTGATAATTGGATGACCAATTGATTGACTCCAAAAAAAGGAATGCTGTTGTTACTTGTACAGACGTCAGCAGAATACAGGGCGGGAAAGCGGGAGCAACATTCCAGCGCGGGAGAGCAAACCACTGAATCATCTCCTTCACTTCGTAACAACCCCTCTCCCTCATTCATCCCACCTTCAATCTGATCGCCTCCTCAATCGGCCTGTAGAATTAAAGCAAGCCCCTTTAAAGAAATCAAAACCGAACAAACTCACAAAGAAAGGATCAGAAGAAAACCCAAAACGGCTTTTGGCCCCTCTCCCCCCTTCTCCTAGATTGGGCAATGGATCATCACTAATATTTGGATTAGCATTCAATTGCTAATAAAATTTGAAATTAAGAAATTCCGTGATTGGATGCTGACTCACCACCTGATAACAACGCCCAAACAAAATATCCAGATAGAAGAAGATCTTACCAGCTGGACTCTGCCCTCTTGGCTTTCCCCTGCCTCTATAAGAAAATCCAACGAAATTTCATAACCAGAGACGCGTCTCTCTTTTTCTTTGCACCCTTTATTACCTCCCTCTCTTTGTCCTTCCTCCTTCGTCGTCCTTACCCACCACCAAAGTTTTGTTCGTTTGTTTCTCTCCCGGTTTCGCGAAATTGGGGTTCCGTTTTGATTCCTCAGAGAACAGAGAAATGGCGGAAGGGGTGATTGAGCACAGATCCTATGCGCGGGTCGGCCTATTGGGTAATCCGAGTGACGTCTATTTCGGGAGGACCATCTCTTTCAGCCTTTCCAATTTCTGGGCCACCGTCGTTCTTCGGCCTTCCGACGAACTCGTCATCACTCCCCACCCCAAGCATGATCTCGTCAATTTCTCCTCCCTTGATCACCTGGTCCGTCTCATATCCATATAACCCATCCCCTTTTTGCCAGATTCTGTTTTGTTTCTTTCAGGTTCCGTTTCTTTTCATAATTTAGGGGGACTAATGGGTCTATCCTCTTAATTAATATTTTATCATAATCTGGGAACAGAGAATCAGAAACAAAAGATCTGTGGTGGGGAATCTATGTGGATCTGTCAGGTGTTCCTAGGTTGTTTTGGAGTAGTGGGTCGCTCTCAAGTTTGCATCTTTATGCAGATTTGATGCATGGGTTCTTCTTCTTGGCTTTTATCTCAATCTTGGTAAAAGGTTAATTTTTTTAATTTGACTGGCAGGTGAATCGGCTGCAGAGTGAAGGTTACTATGGAGGAGTCAGGTTGCTAATGGCGATCTGTAAAGTTTTCTACAATTACTGCAGGGAGCATAAGATCTCCCTTCATCAGCGCAAGTTTGCTCTTTCTTATGACACCAACATTCCTCGGCAGGTTAAAAATATAACTTTCTCTCGCACTCTCTCCCACCAAGTTGCTCTTGGGTTTCCATATCAGTCATTCTTTATTCATCCACAGAAGGAACAGAACAATATAGCTCCTGTTCTTCTGATAAAAATAACGGTTCTTTGTGTCCATTGCACGTGCTATAGACTAATAAGCAATTGTTCCACTAATTAATCATATCTGAAACTGCGATGATGATGATGATCAGCCAGTTTATTGGTTTAAGCTTAGTTGACATTTTTTTTCTTCAGGCAGGACTATCTGGATCAAGTGCTATAGTATCTGCAGCACTGAACTGCCTGTTGGACTTCTACAAAGTCAGGGACCAGATCAAGGTTGAAATCAGGCCGAATCTCGTGTTAAGCGCTGAGAAAGAGCTGGGGATCGTGGCTGGCCTTCAAGATCGAGTGGCCCAGATCTATGGCGGCCTCGTTTACATGGTAGGCTGATGCCTGTTGTAGATAATGAAATTGAAATGTGTGTCGAGTTGAAAACTGTTAACATGGTTCTAACAGCAATCTGCATTGTTGGTTGCCCAGGAATTTTCACAGGAGCACATGGATAAGTTGGGACATGGGATCTATACACCCATGGATATTAACCTCCTCCCACCTCTTCACCTTGTATATGCCGAGAACCCGAGTGATTCTGGGAAGGTTAGTCTAGAAATGGTTGCTCCTTCTTTGATGTGTAGACTGCAGTTACTCAATTTTTGCCTAAGGTTGCTAGCAACATGACGGCTGACCTTTTGATAGATGAATAGAAGGGTAAGGTTTTTCAATTTATAGACGAATTCTTCAATGCAGGTGCATAGCACGGTTAAGCAAAGGTGGCTTGATGGAGACAAGTTCATAATAACAACAATGGCCGAAGTTGCAGATCTTGCATTACATGGAAAAACTGCTATCCTGGAGAAGAACTACTCGAAACTTGCAGAGCTCATGAATCGTAACTTCGATCTTCGAAGGTAAAGTCATCTCAATCTGTTCTAGCAAAAGCGTGAAACTTCTGGCAGTGAAGAACAAAACTTCTGATGTCAAATGCTTACTGAAAAATAAACAAATGTTCAGGAGCATGTTTGGCGATGATGTGATTGGTGCTTTAAACATAAAAATGGTGGAAGCAGCACGGAAGGTGGGAGCCGCTTCCAAATTTACAGGCAGCGGAGGTGCTGTGATTGTGTTTTGCCCAAACGGCCAATCACAGGTTAAGCTCCTGGAGGAAGAATGTCGAAAAGCTGGATTCATTGTTGAGCCTGTGAAAATTGCTCAGTCCAATCTTTCACGAGGGTGATCTCAAGATTGCTTGCTGAATTAGCAGAAATTTCAGAGCAGCAGCTAAAAGAAGCTTTGTAGTTAGTTCTCTCTGGATATGATAATTCATCTGTTTGTTCCAAATTATAGCTTTATCATTCGAGATTAAGTAGAACAGTTGTTGCTGTGGATGCACACATGATATGCAATTGAAACCCCACTAGCACCAAAATTCTTTTGTCAAGACATTAAGAAAGAAGAGAGCCTCCTTTTTCTGCCAATTGCCTCATTGTAAAGCAGACTACTTCTTTTATAAATAAAGCACACTCTACTTTAGATCCACATATTCTGCGGAAATAAAAGTTACACTTTGATCCAATTTCGCTTACTCCGAGTTCACCAACAGATTTTACAGATGGAGTTAGATATGAGCCTATGACTCAAACATCTAACAATTGTAAATCTCTCAAGCACGATATCTCCATCTCTATTCTCTCGACCACATTACATTCGCCTAGAGAAGTTCTGAGTTCTATCATTCAAAACAAATAAAAAGAGATACTTACAAGATCAACAAGGTTGTCAACTTATATCTACCAAAAAGCTGCTCTAACTTCACTATCTATACCTAAACATCAGTAATTTACTAATGCAGAGGCAAACTAGCTACCACATTCCTTCCTTCTCAAGTAGCTTCAGTGGAACTTACTCATCAGTCATCACAGAGTGAAGCCATTAGCTCTCGAGGTGAAGACCAAACTGGCAGCTCTAAGAAGGATTCCACAAAACGTTCCTGACGAGCATCGCAAGCTGCTTCTGCTTGGTCACACAGGTTTGAGAAACTCAAGATCAATCTCTCTTCTGCGTCTGCCTGCAATTGTTCACCAAAATGAAAACACGAGTCAAAAGCAGTCACCTTGTTTCTAATAAGGGAAATAGGGAATAATAGTAATACTTCGCAAGGAAACATAAGAGAATGATCATTATAATGCTTCATTTCTTGCAATAGTCTCCAATCTCCTAGGCAAGAAGAACGCATTCCTGAGCTTAATCTATTCACACAGGCAACCCTACTGTTAAAAGAACCAGAGCAAATTGAAGTCAAGTGAACGCCAATGGTAGGACTGAGTTGGAGGTAAACAGGGGTAAAATTTGTCTAACCTAACCTTCTCCTAAGTACAAGAGCTAACATTCAGCAATTAGAAAACCAGGGTTGATGCTTTTCTCTATAAATTCAGAGCAATTTCACCCTCACGGCATACAATTCAGGCCAAACAAGGCTAGTGGAAATTGGGAAAGCAGCGAATTACCTTAGCCAGTAGTTCATCCACGAGGGAGGCACATGAGTCTTCCATGCCTTCCACCGCCGGCGACCCCAAATTCATCCCTTCAAATTGCTGTACTTTCCGAGATTCCGTCTCTTGTCTAACCCTCTCCTCCATTTCCCGCAAGCTGTTCGACAAACGCTCCCACCGATCAATCTCTTCCTGGTACCGGCCCTTCAATTTCAGAAGCACCTTCTGCTTGCGGGATCTCCTGCGTTTCTCTTCGGCCTCCGGATCCACCGCCGGCGGCTCCGGCACCGAGATTTCGTCCAGCCGCGGGCGCTTCAGGATCTTGTAAGTGAAGCCATCGTCGTCATGCCGGAGCTCCCACTCGCCGCCTTCCACGTCAGATCCCCAAGCCGAAGGCGCTGCCGCGGAATCCATGCTTTCGAGCGGGAAAATTTTGGATATTTTCGTTCCCTTTCCTAAATTTCAGATGGAAGAATTTGGGGAATTGAAAGTGAAAGCGCTGAAGAAGAAGCAGTAGAAGCTTGTCCGCGAGTCTGCGACGTTGTTACTCGGTGGGCTGGGCCTATTTCTTGATTGGGCTGATTTAGAAGGCCCGTTTCTCCACTGTTCTCTTCTTCTTCCGCGCAAAACTCCAGCCAAAAAAAGTTTCAATCTTTGCGCTTATCAATGGCGAAATCCCTCTCAGCCTTCTTCTTCTTTTCCTTCTCCTTCCGCTCAAAACCCACAGTCCCACTCCCACCTCCCTTATCAACAATGGCAACTCTCACGCACCCACCAGTAGTCCCCACCTTCTCCATCAGAAGCCGACCCGTTTTATCAACCCGCTTCTCCTCCAAAACCCCTTACCCTCTCCAATACGACATGATCATCAGCCGCCCGACCCAAGCCTCCGTGAACCCACCTCGCCGCCGGCCGCTACAACATCCCACTCGAGCCGCCGCCGAAGACGACCCAGTCTCCGCTCCGAGTCCCGACCCGGAATCGGGATTTGACGACTGGGTCGATCAGAAGCTGTCGTCGGAGATGGATAAGTCGAAGCGGAAGTATTATAACAAGAGGAGGAAGAGGATGTACGGAACGGATTCCGACGAGGAGGCGAGTAGAAAAGCCGGCGAGGAAGGTTTCGTGGAGTTGAAGCCCGAGGTGGTGGAGTTTCATCGGTTGCACAAGAGAGAAGAGGAGCTATACTTCTTCGACGCGATGGCTTATCCGTGGGAGAAGGATAAGCATTACAAGATGGTTTATCAGTTGGAGAAGAAGTATTTTCCTGATCAGTGCCTCGACAAGGCTTTTATGGATCCCAAGGACTCGAAAACAAGCAGTAAGAGTAAGAAGGGAAGAGTAAAGAGTGATGTGTCAGCAGCCATTGGAGCAGGTGATGGAGGAGATGAGAAGTTAGTGTTTTTTGAGGAGGGGAAGAAAGGAGAAATGAAGAGTGGTTCAGCTGGGGATGTGGTGAATGAGAATGTTACGCACAAGAAAGTGGCTGATTTCTTCAAGGTGTTGAAGAAGGGTTCTGGGAGTAATGAGGGGGAAGTTGGGAACGCAGAGCCGTTTCTTGCTAGTAGGAGCAATGGGCTTCCTCCCACCTGGGATGGTCCTTATGGCACTGTGGTTTTGGTTAACAAGCCGAAAGGTGAGAGCTTATTTGCTCACTTCGCTTATCTGTTGTTGGATTTCATTGCAATTGGTTTGGAATTTGATTTCATTGTTTGAGCTGGTTGTTTGAATCATGGGAGTGCAATGGTGCTTAATCCGATTATTTAGATTAGTTTGAAATTGTGATTTTGGGGATCCCTTGTGTTGCAATGTTGAGCAGGCTGGAAAGACTGGAATTCCCTGGTGGATGAAGGGTTAATGGAATAGTGTTAGCTGTCAATTCCTTATGTTGTGAGGATTTATTGGGAAGGGAAGCATGATTATGTGAAAAGCTTTAGAGCCAATTATATGTGATTGATGAATATCTACTCTATGCTGTGATAATGATGTAGGATTATGAACTTAGAGTTTCTTTTTTTACATTTATCTTGTTTTGCTAGAGAACAGGGTGGACTTCATTTACAGTATGTGGGAAGCTCCGTCGTCTTGTCAAAGTGAAAAAGGTGCTTACTTTTTCTCTGTTCCATCGCTTGAGTAAATCTTGTTCTCTGATGATTTCTTACGGCTATGTCTTATAAGGTTGGGCATGCTGGAACTCTTGATCCAATGGCGACTGGTTTGTTGATTGTATGTGTTGGCAAAGCGACTAAAGTAGTAGATAGGTAATACTACTGGTGCTGAAGCACGGATCTTCTCACTCTTCGGCTATGGCAATTCTGCGTTCTGCCTGCCAGGATAGGCTTACTTTTATATTTTGAATATGTGATCAAAGATGGAGGATTTGTTCTCATGCAGCTACCAAGGTATGGTCAAGGGATACAGTGGAGTTTTTCGCCTGGGAGAAGCTACTTCAACCTGGGATGCTGATTCTCCCGTAGGTGCTTGTTCTCTTGTTATTCTCATATTTGCTTGTTGTCGAATTATAAGTAACACTTGGTTAGACGTAGATCAAGGGGGTCTTCAATGATATCTATAGATTCTTACAGTAAATTCGATGCATTTGATTTGTGAAGGTTATTCAACGCGAGCCTTGGGAGCACATCAAAGACAACGACATTAAGAAAACTGCTGCTTCATTTGTTGGGGAGATATGGCAAGTTCCTCCAATGTTCTCAGCCATCAAAGTACAAATTCTCTTAGTTCCTTACAGAAAAGAATATCTACAGCAATTGTTTTTTTCATGTCATAAATATAAAACGATGTTGAATTCACTTGTTCTCCTAAATCAGAATTTTCTGTTGTTTTTTATAGGTAGGAGGGGAAAAGATGTATGATAAAGCCAGAAGAGGAGAAAGTGTCGAGCTTGCGCCAAGAAGAATCTCAATCTTCCAGTTTGACATTGAAAGGAGCCTAGAGGACAGGTTTCTGAAATCTTACCTGGAACCTTAAATGAATATCAATGCTATCCTAACTTCAATTCATTTTGCCAAGTTCACAATTTTGATAAATCAATACCTCAACTGTTTATTATTACTGTTCTCCATGCGATTCTTCTAGGGCTTGAGTCTGAACTGAGCGAGTGATCTCTGGCTCTTGCAGACAAAATCTGATTTTCAGGGTGACGTGCTCGAAAGGGACATACATTCGATCATTATGTGCAGACTTAGGGAAGGCTCTTGGCAGGTATGACTTCCTCATTTCTCTTGATGCGGTCAATAATTCTTGCTTACCATGGTTTGGCTGACGAAATTGTTGGTTTTCAACTCGCAGTTGTTCTCACTTAACTGCTCTTCGAAGAGATTCAATAGGTAAGAAGAATATCTTTTTGTAAAATGGTTTTGGGGAAGCATTCTACCAGTTTTCGAGAGGTCAACCGGTAAATATGCTTTGCTTGGATTGCAGGAGAATATGCGGCAGATGATGCGTGGGAATTTAAGGAGCTGGAAGATGCGATCGCCAAATCATATTTCTAACTGCACCTTTGAGTATTTCTGGCCCTCAGTCATTAACATCATGAAGACTGCCACCCCACCAAAATATCCTCCTAATTCTGATACTCGAATAAGTTTTCCAAGTACCCAGGCAGCGAGAATGAGAGTGATAATTTTTATGATCTGTAATCTGTATATTGCAGCTGAAATTTTGTACCATTTCCTTTTTTTTATAGGTCCATTTTGTATACATAATTTGTCTGCACAATATTTATCCATTTCTCATTTCATGAATTGTCTGCACAATGCCATTAGCATTAGGAATCGGAGTATTGTCTGCTCAACTTGGATTGTCTGTTCAACTTTGGCAGTTGCCTGCAGCATGGTATTGAAGTAAACTATTGGGCCATTGGATGCACTATTGACCGTTGAGCCTGGACTAAAGAAGCGTACTGAACAGCAATGGGGAGAAAAAACCGATTACATAACTCTTCTCGATGAAAAAGATGCAGACGTGAGCACTTTTAAGCCTTTTTTTCAAAAGAACTGTGTTAAAAAGTACAAGATGATTGGCAAAAAATGATGTGAGCAGCCTAAATTGTGAGTCACCTGTGAGCTACAGCTCGAGTAAAGTTCACCTCAATAACACACTTGATGAAAATAAAATAAAAACAGAAAACCTAAAATGCTACTTCTGATTGATTGTGGTCATTTTGTATGAGCTCTGGAAGTGGAATTTACACTAAGGGTGGGAATCAATGATCATTCCAGATCCTTCTAGCTATTCGTGACATTATTACTTCTTCGACGAAATCTCAGCATCCAGTAATAGGCTTTCTGTGCTTGTGCAAAGCGTTCATAAAACATCCTCCATTCGGTTTGACACCTCTTCCTCACCTGAGATAAGGATGCCGAAAAGTCAGCTCAAAAACATGTTTCTTCATACACTTCAGATCCATATGCAATAAGGAGCCTGACAATATGGTGGGAGGTGAGTCATTTCTTACCCCTTCCCATGGCGCTCTCCCTTTCTCTGATGTTCCCTGCAAAGTGAAGAAAAGGGGGAGAAATAACCAATTACATTCCCTTCACAAATGATAAGGGTATCTTTGGGATTTTACCTGGTTCCCAAGGGATGGAATGCCTAGATGAACTATCCATTGAGCATCTACCACTCCGATCTTCTCATGAGCAGGCTGTGGTTCAAATGGCTATCTATATTACAGACGGAAGAGATGGAGAAAAGAAAGGTTCAAAAGAAATCACCACATTACAGACCTCAATACATTTCCTCATGGTAAAGTCAAGACCCCATCCATGAACCAAGTCATTCTGCAAAGATTTGGTATAGAACTTTAGAAAAGATCCAACTCATATATCATATGATAAGCAGCTGTGGAATGGTCGTAATGACGCACCTGAATCATATGCCAAACACATCGCCATGCCTCTCGGGAAAATACAGGAGCCATAATCTCCACAAATCTGTGCATTAAGCACTCGGAATTAATGCAATCCCAGGATAACAGATTAACCAGGGTGAATGTTGTTTGCTTTACTTACGCTGCACATGGCGGCCAATATGGTTCCTTGCACCAACCGGGTTTCTCTTCAGTATGCCTACAGGGATGCAAGAAGGTTGACATGAGAACTAAAGAAGCTTTAAATTTGAGCACATAAGAGAAAGCATATTCCTTTCTTTTTTTGGGCCCTCCTTACTTGTGAACTTCAGTGTCATATCTTTTCTTCGTCATTGCCCAGGTGGTCCCTCTTTCAGGATCTAAAGCAGGCTGAGATATATCCAACCCATATTTCCTCACCAGTCTAATGTACCTGATATATGGACGATCTTACCCTTGAGATTCAAGTCATACGTATCCTCAATTTAAGAAAGGGTTCTTAAATGTTTCACACTCACTCCTCTCCATCAAAATGGTCCACCCCAAGATCCTCATCCCACATGAAAATATAGTCATATGCTGCAACAATATCCGGGTGAAGAAACCGCTTGGCAAACCACCTTCAGAAGACAATTTAATTAACTAGTAAGAGAAAATAATCTTGATCCACAAAATCGGAACTAGGACGATGAGGTGAGAGAAGTGATAGCTTACCACTTCGTTTGCTTAGGAGCACTCACGTGGATTGCTCGCTTTGACCATTCAAATTCATCCCACTCAGTTACCCGGCCGTCATAGTGAAACAATAGGATGGTGAAGTTCTCAGAGAACTGCTTACATGTATACAAGTTGGTGATCAGAATGACAACCCAAGTGGAAGTAAAAGGTATGCTTGAGATCAGACTGACCTTTTGAACTGCTGCATCGACATTCTTTCTCTGTTCATACCCAACTGTGAATGTCACAAGATACTTCGGTTGGACTGGCAAGTCCTGCGAATGTGACCTCCATCAACAAAGGAGAACATATGGAAGACAAGAAAGAACTTGATGCGGACCGCAAGCCTAGGTAAGCCATTATCACATTTTGTAGCAACTTAATACATTTTCCGTTAAGAGATTATGATTATTCGGGTGAAATCATAATAACAGACCTCATCAGGCATACCCCACAATCGTCGAAGGAACAAGTCCGACTCAGAAGTTACTATACCAGGAGGTAACCTCTCAGCACCTCTTGGATTTTCATTGACCCATATCTGCATTAATGTTTTAAAAAAAAAACATACAGCTTGACTTCATCAGCTTACCCTCGAGATAAATTACAAGACACTACTGGTAGAGCTACATACCTTGGTTCCATTGTATCGGTGAAATAACAAGGAATGTATACTATGTCCCCTTAGAGAGGACAAAGCATTGAGCAGTGCTTGTGGCGAAAGACCAGAGAACTTGTCCTCCATGTAAGTGATGTCAAAGGAAGGAAGCAAACCGGTTGGAAGATTCAACTAGCAAATCCAGACCCAACAAAAAATAAGTCCAAGTTCTCTTAATCAGAAAAAAAATAGCGTCCAAACAATATTGGCAATGAACCTTTGAGAGGGACAGTGTTGGCAAGGATATTCCCAAGAAGAAGCCAAAGAGGATGCCAAGGAGAGTAGTCATGAAAAGCTTCGTCATCTCACTAGGTTTTCTGATACTTCCACCGCAGAGAACAAGAGAAACAAAGTACATCAGAATTCAGATGATAAGTAACTCTTCACAGTTTGATCCATATCCGCCATAACCAAATGAAAGAAGCAGCTAAAGTCACCTTCTAATGGGCAGTGGCATTATAAGTACTGCACTTCTGATTCAAAGAGCAGCGATACCAATTTCACAGACTAGTGGGTTCCAGCTGCTGCACAATGTCATCAACTGCAATTCAATCTGTAAAGACATACAATTCATAGATGTGCTTCAGAAGACCAAGTTCGAAACAAGCAGAAGCTCCCCATGAAAAGAAAAGGGAAAAAAAGTCTCCTCCTTTCATTGCATGGTATCTCCAAAAAAACCAATTTAACCATCGACTCAGTTCAATTCTACATCTAAACCAACGATATACAGACAAAAATGCCGATTCAGTACCCAGAGATGCCCAATCCAAGGCGAAAAAGACAGAGACTCTGTTTCTCTGAAATAAAATTACACTGATCGCTTTCCACCCCTAAGCCGAAAACAGCAACAAGATGGTTAACCAATTCCCAAAAATTCAAGAAACGCTATTTTCATTACGCTCCAATACCGGGAAAATGCAGTTTGGATGAACCCTTGTCAAAAATTCCACCAACCCAAACCCGCAAAACAAAAAAGTTGATTTCACCAACCCGAAATACAATGAGAAACAAACGAACAAATGGTTGTCGCCGGCACCTGTAAATTACTTTGGAGCTTTCCTTCTTTCCTCGAGAGAGGACGATTGATTGAATCAGGGCTTCTCTTTCTAGGTAACCAAACCGTGTAGTAGAAAATCAGCCAACCCGCCGGCGGTCGTCCTGTTCTCCGAGAGTACGAAGCCGGAAAAAAATTTCGCTGATGCTTCGAGACTACGATCGCTCGCCTGCTGAAAAGGGAAAGGAGAAGAGAAGAGGTAGTATTGGCATCGCCATTTTGTCGCATTTTCCATTTTCGTAAATCTAAAGGAAGCACGGAATTTGAAAAGATTAATAATATTTTCCATAAACTTTCTATTAATATTTTTTTAACTTTGCTGTACGACTCGGTTGATTGACAAGCGTCCCCGGGGAGCTTTCCGGTGATTTCCCGGTAAAGGGAATGCTTGGGTGTGATGCTCAGGTGGGTACGCCCGGGGAAAAGGATTACGTGGCTTGGGTCTGCTGGACTGTTATTGGGTTGCTGTAGCGCCGGAGGAGGCGATCAACGTGGGAGCGGCCTCACCGGAATACTGACGTCTGTTCGCTCGGTGGTTAGATCGTTGGTGAATGGTCATATCAATGAAATCATTAATTATCATCAAACATAACATCATGCCCCCAAGAATATGTTGATTTTAGACTCAATCAAAGCATAAGACTGCCATAATTTAATATCCAACATCTTATAAGGTTATGTAAAGTCTTTTCCTAGCTAGACGATTTAAGCAGCTGATTTTGCTCCGTACCTTTTGCTCTCAGTATAGATGCAAAACTCTCACATATCGAAATTCAGTTCATTGACGACTAATAAGTAAATATTATCGTACTATATATGATGTTAGTTCATTTTGGGTTCATTAGTGAATATTGTAATTGTTGCCTCGGGATGAATCTAATTGGAGCACTAGTTATGTGTGCCCTCATATTTAAAAGATTATTCGAGACGAATCCTCCCACCTCACTGTTTAACTGATCATCGAACAATCATTATTGATTAGACTGTTATGTAAATAAAGGATAATAAGTTTATCATAGATTTCTTAAAAATAATAAATAAGTTAAACTTTAATTTTAGTACTTAATTGATTATCCACCACTTTGTTTGATTCTCAGAATGAGTGTTGCACCAAACAATCTCAATTGTACTTCGTGACACATACCCCAATTATCCGGAATATTTTAAAAATGAGTGAACTAAATATAGAACACTAGATGGATCATTATCTAAGAATATGATACCACTTTCACTTTTCGATAACTTAAGGTGCAAATGTATGAGAAACCATCAAATAATACTCGAATTATTTTGTTAATGTAACTTATTATTATGGTCAAAATCGATTTCAACTGTCAAGTAATGTAAGGCCAAAGCGGAAACTCACAAGAAAAACTTGCACAATCACATAGTCTTAACATAAATGAAGCTTGCCATTGAATGTTCATACATGCAATTATTAACAAATACCAAATATTTTCCATAGCAAAGAAATGAAGAATGATCCCATTACTAATAACACTACTTAAACAAAACATTCACCAAATAAACATTTAACTGATTGGCATTGATGTAGTAAAATAAGAATAGATAAAATGACACCAGGGTCATGTTAATTACTTGAAAAGTTGATGGAGTATTGATGTAGAAATTATTATATTGATGATTCCTTACATTCTATCTCCAGTATTTGAAATTAATATTTTCTGTAAGAAAAGAATTTGAAGTGCATTCCATGTAAACTTAATATTTGAAATCACACAATAGATTGATTGAAATGACAAATTATTAATTTATCCCAACTCCTTAAAATTGATTTCGAAACGATTTACGATGATATTTATGATTAATTATATTCTATTTTTCAATTAAATAACTCACTTTTTCATAGAACTTACAAAGTTTATAGATTATTCTCTTTCTTTTGACACCATAAATAAAAATCCAAAAATATATTAAAAAATGAACATTTCGAGCCATGAACTATAATATTCCCTTTGAATAATAATTATAATAAACTTTTGCCCAATTATCTAAGAAAATCATTAAATGTAATGATTTTGAGCAATAATGGAATAATAACAATAATAAGTAAGAGGTGGGAAAAATTAATAACTGTAAGTGGAAAGGAGCGCAAAAATTGAAATTCCTTCCTCTTTCTTTTTTCCTGGAACTACTATTTATTACTCCGACAATAATATAGAAAATTGCACTTAATAATTGAAAAGAAAAATGTCAGAAGGGAGTTGATCGAAGACCACGGGCTGAGAAACATTTGCTCGAAAATCGTCCAAGCAAAGCAAAGTAGCAGTTAATCAAATTTTCAGTTCATCAGCATCGTCAATCAATAGTCAATCGTGCAATCATCTCCTCTTCCCAACCAAAATCATTCCCTCTCCGCTTCCCCGAACTGCACCCCGCCGGGAAATGTCGTCGGCGGAAATCTCCGGAATCATGGACAATTCGAGGGAACTCGATCGGCTGCGGAAAGATCAAGAGGACGTTCTTATGGAGATCAACAAGATGCATAAGAAGCTTCAAGCAAGTAAGCAAACCCTCCAAAACCCCATCCTCTGTATCGTTAATTTTTTTCCTCCCGAATGAGCGGAATGGGTATGTTTTGAATGTTGGGTTTCCGTTATGTCTATGAGAATTCCAATTTCCGAGTTTTGGGCTGTTATGGGTTTGTGTAGTAGTAACTGAAAGTCTGTGTCTTTAGACTACTGGGTTTTCCCAGTTCTGAGAGTTCATAGTAGGTTTTGCTTGCTTGGATTTAGTTTAAATGTAGGATCGTTTTCCAGCTGGACCAAGAATGTAATGTGGACTGTATGATATGTTAGCTAATGTGGTCATTGAGAAAAATAAGGGCTTCAGCGGTTACTCTATGAACAAATTACCAAGCTCATAGTATCTGAGGATGTGGTGTTGGTTAGTTTCTTTCAGGCGGAATCTGCTTTTCAGAACTGATCCATTTGTGAATTTGTTTAACACTAGTTATGTTCTTTAACTTGGTTAGGTTTGGGGGCTCCGCGTATAGATTTGTTAAGGCGGAAAGCAGTGATTGGGATTCTATTTATGCATTCTGATATGCTTCCTTGCTCAGCTGTGCTTGCATTTCTACATTTAATGCGATTAACCCTGCTGTTCGTGGTGTGTAGTCTGTCGTATTGATATGTACTTTGTGCTATTGGTCTTGTTTGGTAGCATGTCCATCCTGTTGCTTCTTAATTTCTCTTCTTTAAGCATGTAACATAGCTCCATGAACTCATCCCTTCCCTCTACTTAGTTCATTTTGCTTTACTGTTCAAGTCATGAATAGCATCGATTTGTGAAGCCAACTGAAATGGATATTAGAGATACTGGTATTGTTCTGGGTAGCTCTTACCTAATCTGGGATTAATTAGCCTTGAAGTACAGAGGATTTTCTGGCACTTGTCTTGATCTTGTACTAAAGTTCGCTTCTATATCACCAGGATGTTTCCTGGAGAACAGTAACTATCATTGCACATTTTGTGCAGTGATCTCCTATGCACTTTGGTGTTTGATATTTACTTGCCTTTCGGCTCTGTGTGAGAAAACTAGCCTTGTTTGTAGATATCATGTAAAATGTAGTTTGGATTAATTCAAATTTATACGTTTGTACAGAAATTCTTCATTTGGTTATCCTTATGTGTTCACTTTCAATAGTATTTATCAACTCTCCCATCCTTTCCATGCAAATGCAGCTCCAGAGGTGGTTGAAAAGCCTGGTGACAACTCGTTGCAAAAGCTAAAATTGCTATATATGCAGGCCAGGGATCTGTCGGAGAATGAAATAAAGTAATGGCCCTAAGCCTAATTACTCACGCGTTTCTTCCGTTCTTGTAGTGCTGTCATTTCCTTGGTTCTTATGGTCGTCCAGATAAACTAAGTCAGTCATCAAACTTTCATTGCAGTGTTTCTAATACCTTGTTGACTCAGCTTGATGCCCTCCTGCCGCCTGGTCCTCCAGGACAGCACAGAAGGCGAATTGGTATGTGTTGAACTCATGATGAATTGTCCATATTGAGACAATTATGAATCTCTTCTTTGGTATGATAAGATCACAGTATGCTAGTATCTGCGTACTTTGACTGTTACCGTACTTCAAGCTTTCATGGCAAAGCTGTAATCCATTTGGTCGAACTGATTAACGTTTGTAGATATTCCTTTCTGTAAGTTACTGAGTGTAATAGTTTTTTTGGGTCAGCCATGAGCGATTGATTGATTTCCTTCTGAGAATTTTTTTTTTCCCTCACAAGTTCCTTTGATTCTAGTAACATTTCTAGTGACAGTGCTGGTTTGTGATTTTTTATGACCTTATTCTCTTGTACTTATGAGATGTCTTAATTGACTGCAGAAGGCAATGAGCAGAAAAGGAAAAGAATGAAGGCCGATCCAGATATGCCTAGGCTTTCACCTTCTATGAGAAGTCAACTCGATTCTTGTGCCAGCTTGATAGGTGAACAGGTATTACGTGGCTCTTTGTCTGATTTGTTGTTTCCTTGGCAAATATGGCTTTCTCATTCATTACTGCAGCTGTATTTCCTGTCTTTTTCAGTTCAAAGGTACTGATATACTTTTTTCAGGTAGCGGCCAGGGTTACTGGCGATGATGCCGAAAAGGATGAATGGTTTGTTGTAAAGGTCATGCATTTTGATAGAGAGAAAAGAGAGTGAGTCCCTTCACCACAGAACAGTCTCCATTTTTGGTAGCTTTTCATACTTTCCTTTAAATGCTAACTGGAGAAGATCAGTTCTGAAGCAAAACCCAGCTGTTTATCATAAGCTGATGTGTGTATAATGTGCAGATTTGAGGTATTTGATGAAGAACCGGGTGATGATGAAGATGGTGGTGGTGGGCAAGGGTAGGGTTTGCTCTACTGATACCATCTTCCTTCTACATACATTCCTGGTCCATTTTTACCCCTTGCTAAAGTTCATCGTGCCTTTGTGTTGCCTTTTCAGGAAGTACAGGCTACCGATGTCATGCATCATTCCTTTCCCAAAGAGAAACGATCCAACAAGCGCTCCTGATTTCCCTCCCGGAAGACATGTCTTGGCGGTTTATCCAGGAACAACAGCACTCTACAAGGCAACCGTTGCAAATCCCCCGAGAAAGGTTGACTATATTTCTTTCCTCAATTTCCAGTATCACAGTCAGCATAACTTTGATGCTCCGAATCACTTGAATCATTGACTAATGAATTGCCTCTTCGCATTGTCTGCTCTTTACATGTCTCCAGAGGAAGTCCGACGAGTAAGTAGTACCCTCCATTTCTGATCTTGGACGTCAATCTTATCTGAGCATGTTCTTTTCTAACCGTTCCGTTGTTCTTGCCGTTGTGCAGTTATCTGCTGGAGTTTGATGATGACGAAGAAGACGGAGCATTGCCCCAAAGGACAGTTCCTTTCCATAAGGTTGTACCCTTGCCAGATGGCCATCGCCAATGAAAAAAAAGTTATCCCCAAACTCCTGTCCATAGCTGTGTATAATCTAAATGATACAAGTAATGTTCTTTACTTGTTGTAGAAGTTAAAACCGTTTTTTTGCTACTCCCTTTTCCCCCTTCCCCCCGTCACTTCAAGACTTCCTAAGAACATGGCAAGCTAGAATCCTTGTGATTTTCTGTTGTGAAATATCTATCTATCAATCCAACAGCAATGTTTTTTATTCAAACTCCTAGGTGATGCAAAATCTTAACTTCAGATGTTCTGCCTTCTGTGTAGTTAGTCTGCACTAATTGTATTCAAACTCCAATATCCCAGTTCGGATTTCATTCAAACTCCATTTATGCTTTCTATCTCCAGTCTGAATTCTATCGTACATGTCCTAGCCAAGTCTCCATGGATATATATACTAGTTTAACCATCCATGGATTCATCTGCAGCAAGAACCACAAAACTATGAGCAAATCCTGTACAGAGAAGGGTTTAATTGCACAGGAAGCAAAGCAATTGGTGTCTCATGTCGATGGACCAAAAACCATTGAGTCATCTTTGCTTATTGGTTCATCTATTAACGAATTTTCTTCGTGTTTCTCATAATTTATTTTTTGATCCAACGATCAAACTGGTTGCATACGCAATATGAAGTCAACCTGCTAGTAACAAAGAGTGGATCCATCGATGTGGACAGATTTATAATGAGAAAAGAGTTGGAAGTTCTTGATATGAGTAATACTAGAACGAAAGCTCGCGTGAAAGTTTCACGTTGTGCGTTTAACTTTTGTTTAGTGAAGATTTATATTTTTGTAAATAGGAAGCAATATGTTAAACAAAAAATAGATATTCTCATAATACAATTTTTTTAATGTGTGAATCGTCAAATGAAACAATATAACCTAATATGGGTTTAATAAAGAGTGCGTTCAGACACCTATAAGACAAGGTTGAAAATACTCAGTCAGATTAAAAGACTATACTTCTAAGTTATGATAGTAAATTGTACTCGATACCCAGTTAGACCTCATATTCCAAATTGGATTATATGCAAAAATAAAATATTTGGTTGAGAATAGTAGGAAAACTCACAAATATTGTCAATCGATACAAATTTGAAATAAGAGAATGCATTGATGGAATACGCATGATCGAATTACGCGTGATCAGTCGGCCTTTAGCTCAATAGTCGTAGAACTCACTAAGATTAAATCTATAAGACTTTCAAAATGAAAACCGCAAGACCGAAATACAAATGATGAAAATCCACGTAATCAGCCAGCATCTAATTGAATATTTGAAAAAACTCACAAAATTATCTATCAACAAAAGTTAAAAAAATGAAAAATACATCAGTAGAATACACGTGATCAACCGACTTCGGTCTTCTCCAACGTTTGTAAATTCCTTAGTTAAATTTTGTCCTCTTCCTATAGATATCATAACCAATTAGGTCAAGTGGGAGACTGTTGCAGGTACTCTCTGTTCTCGGCAAAAGTACAAAATCAAGAAGCTGTGGCCTGTCTGTGAAACCATTGCTCCATTAGGCCGCACTTATTGACGTCAATATTTGTCGGTAGTTGCCCACATTACATTACCCCACGCACACATTGTCATCGTCATCGTCAAACGGCGAATCCTGTAATCCAGAATCCAGACTCGTGACCAAGTTACATCACTTCTTGAAATTGGTAATTCCCACTCCCAACTCCAGCCTGTTTACCATTCTTTTGATCCCGAGTTCCTGACACTGACAGGCATATGAAACAAATTACAAACCCACATGCAAAATGGAGAAACTCTCTTCCATCATTTGTCCTTTACCCTATTCCCCAAATTCGGGTTCTCTTCTCCTCTACCCCCCCCCCCCCCGCAACTGTATGATATAAATACCCAGAGTGGGAAACGGGAAAAGTTGGTAAATTTGTCCACAGGGAGATCTCGGCAAAAATGGGTTTGATCTCCGGGAGGGATTTGATTTCTGGGTTTCTTCTGTTCTCGGTTTTGAGCTCGGGAAGTGCCGGCTTGGCGGCTCCCTGCGAATTCCCAGCGATTTACAACTTTGGAGATTCGAATTCAGACACTGGAGGGATATCGGCTGCGTTCGTCCCAATCTCAGCTCCATACGGCGAGCATTTCTTCCACAAGCCAGCTGGTCGAGACTCCGATGGCCGCCTTACTGTGGATTTCATAGGTAATAATCTACTGGAAGTAGAAGTATTGAGGAAGAAGAAGAAGAAGAATTAGTAAAAAGTTGGATTCTTTTTGCTTTACTATCTCTTACTCTGTTTTCGTGTTTGTTGTTGCAGCTGAGAGGCTAAAGTTGCCGTATTTGAGCGCTTACTTGAACTCAATTGGGGCCAACTACAGGCATGGAGCCAATTTTGCTACTGGTGGTTCGACAATCAGGAGGCAGAATGAGACCATTTTCCAGTATGGGATTAGCCCTTTTGCTCTTGATATGCAGATTGTGCAGTTTGATCAGTTCAAAGCCAGAACAACAGATCTCTACAATCAGGGTATGCTTTGCTCTCAAACTGGAAAATTAAAGCTCCAATCTTTACTGTTTGAAACGTCTGTCAACCGAAATTTGAACTCTTTCCTTTTCTTGTTCTGTTACACTTGCACTTACAAGTTTGGTAGGTTCTTTTATTTGCAGTGAAGGGTACTCCCGAGGCAGACAAGCTTCCAAGACCAGAGGAATTCTCAAAGGCACTCTACACTTTCGATATTGGCCAGAATGATCTGTCTGTTGGTTTCAGGTTGGGTCCTGACCAACTCAAAGCAGCACTGCCCGACATTGTTAACCAGTTGGCTGCAGCAGTCAAAGTAAGTATATGAGTTAGATACCACCAATCTAAGCTTTTGACAAGTTGGAAAGTTAGACACGAAAGGACATTCATGTTTCCATTGCTGCTTTTATTTTCCCTTACTTTCAGCACTTGTATGAGCAAGGAGGAAGGTCATTCTGGATCCACAACACGGGTCCGTTTGGCTGCTTGCCTGTGAACTTGTTCTACGTCTCGAATCCTCCCCCACAGGGTTACCTCGATGAGCTTGGCTGCGTCAAGGCTCAGAATGAGATGTCAGTTGAGTTCAATAGGCAGTTGAAGGATAGAGTTACAAAGCTGAGGGAAGAGCTCAAGGAAGCTGCAGTTGTCTACGTTGATGTTCATGCTGCTAAACATGGACTCATTGCCAATGCAAAGAGATTAGGTATAGAAAAGTCAGCTTTTGAGCTAGTAAGCATGAGTTGTCCACATTAGTAAAGGATTTAGAAGAATTATTGAAGGGATAAACAACATATGAAAACTTATTTGCCAAAAACCATACTAGGTGCTTGCTAATTTCATTAGTCCAAAAATGAATGTTCATTCTCTTCATTCACTCTGGGGAATTTTTTCTTGCAGGGTTTGCTGATCCACTGAAGGTTTGCTGTGGTTACCATGTGAAGTATGACCACATATGGTGCGGAAACAAAGGGAAAGTCAATGGAAGTGAAATCTATGGTGGCTCCTGTAAAGACCCTTCTGTTTATGCTAGTTGGGATGGAGTGCATTACACTGAAGCTGCAAGCAAATGGGTTGCTGACCAAACCCAGAATGGCTCTTTGACTGACCCACCAACTCCAATCACCCAAGCATGTCATAGGCTGTGATGTAAGAGCTCAAAGAGGGCAGAATTTAGAACCAGGTCATTACTCTCGTGATCACTGCCAAGAACCTCCAACTCTTCCTCGACATAGTGTCCAATCGTTTTGTTGCCTCCAGCTTTTTCACAACAAAATTTACCCGGTTTCTCGACGGTAATGAGGCCTTAGATCCTTCAAACCTTGAAATTTGGTATGAGTGATAAGAGCGAGCTGAAAGTTTGCTAATGGATGAAGCAAGGAATGTTGATCCTTCAATTGTTCTTTTAGAAACCGTCGATGGCTTTACTATCTTCGAAAGTGGTCCAAATGATGATAATTTTCCTTCTAAATCGGATTCTCCGATACCTGATTTGTTTGAGAAACTATGACAACACCCAAAAATATACAGTTAGCATAGCAACATCGAAAAAAGGAAAATGATATTGTCTAGCTATATAATATGGATTGGATTGTAAGTAACACATTGCATGCTAATGCAATTGCTTTCAAACCTGATGTCGTGTATCAACAAGAAAAGAACAATAAATACATACCATTTCAGGTCGTTCACACAAGTATGCCGAGATCGTAACACAAAGCCCATGCGTTTTCTAAGTAAGGCAGCAACATCTTTTACTATGAGCTTCAAATCACCAAGTTCCTGCGGAAACAAGGTGAGTGTGACCAACTAACTGGCCATATTTTATGTTTATCAAAACGAAAATTTAGACACGAAACCTCGCACCTTATATCTTGATGAGTGAAGATAACAATGAATATCTTTTGCAGATTTTTCAACTATCTTTGTTAGCAGAAATGCAGAAGATATCAATGACTTTTTCTCCTTGCAAACTTGAACAGAGTCATTGTCCTTCGGTTTCCCAATTAAACTAATTTCTTCATCAAGCACTCTAGTCATGGCATGCAACAATGATTCATATACGGTGGGGGTGGCAGACTTGTAACTATAATCACCATCATCATAAAACATTTTAGGACATAGTGGATACTCCAACTGAAGATGAACTTGAGTAGCCACTAGAGCAGATGTGAATTCAACGATTCGCCCCTCGGTGACGTAAATAAAGCATAAGTCAGCAAGATACGCAGGTTGGATTATATTCGAAGGGTTAACATCCTTGAGCTCGAATCGTAACACAGATTGCATGTTTTCTACTACGTCAGGGAGGCAGAATATGAAAAGCAACTTGAAAATGGACATTTGGGATGTCCATTCCTTAAGGTGAGGATGCTGGCTGCAGAAGAATAGCAAAGAATCAGTTGAATCACTACACATTTGTGCATGCAAGTTAAACAAAAATTTCTAGTTCACAATCGAAACAAATCAACAATGAGTGAAGGTTGTGTACCACAACTTCTCGATGGCCTTGTTGAAGCCTGAATCAAGAATTTCACTTCTGTGGGCATGCGGTGGTCGAATCAAAAACTCCAACTCAGGGTAGTCGTCTCTCTGGGGAAGCCTACAGGACCGCGGCGCAAGCCGGTTAAGTTTCCGTATTAAGTAAATGTACACAGAACAGCAACAAGAGAAGCCATAGATGTTTGTTACTTAGTGGGTTAGTTACCAGCCGTAGTCAGTCTCCTCCTTGTGACTCCGGTGAGCAGTTCTGACCGGGCTGTCAACAAACAAAAGGCAAACATTTAGACACATAGATGCATACTACAAAAACAAAGTTAACAAGGCGAGTAAGTAAAGTACCAACGGAGAGAAGCCACAGGGAAGCCAGCTTCCTTGAGCACAGTCTTGAATTGTTGAGCAATTGTGTAATCCGGATAAGGATACGTTTCCCCTTGCTCTTTTCTTCTTTGCTTTTCCTTCTCTAACATTTCCATTAAGCGACACAATTGAGGCCCAGCCCTGCGGAAGACTTCAAGCAACCGCAGGGAGCAAGTGAGGCTCGATTTCTTGTACAGCACGTCGCCGCGGATCCCGTCAGGATGGGGACGACGATTGGGTTCGACGGTGAGGCCAACTCCAGTGACAAAAGCAAGCTGAGAAATCAGGAAATCGCGGAGGGACAAGGAGGCGGTTCCAAACCGCTGCTGGAGAATCGTGCCCCTGAAGAATGTTGGGGATAGAACTCGGTCGGGGACGGCAAGCAGGAGCCAGAGCAACTTGGCCGCTTGGCCGTTTCTTGCATACCGGAAAATCCTCATCTCCAGAATCCCCTGTTCGGTGGTCTGAGCCAGCAGCTTGACCGTGCGCCACCAGTCGAAATATTCACTGATCCATTTGGGAAGCCAGAGCATCAAAGTGCAGAGCCTTTGCCGATAATAACCATTCTCCTCGGTTTCCAGATCCCACTGGTCGTCGCAGCTGGTATATAGTGCGTAATCGATGGGAAGCAGCTCTCGTCGACGAAACCATGCTGCTGGTAACCTAGCACTAGGAGGAACCCCGTGACGCAAAAACAAATCGACTGCTCCATAGAACCCCCTCTGAGCCGCATAAAATATGAAGGGTTCGCGGCGGTCATCAAACAGATCCAAGCGATTGTGAGGAATTTTGCGTTCGAGAAGTGCGGCCAGGCACCCAATTGCTCGTTCCCGTATCAATTTGGACACTATCAGCGAAGGGCATGTTTCATGATTAGGGTCCAAAGACGCTACAAAAGCTTCCACGTCCTCCTCCTTCCTCTTCAACTCTGACCCAAAAACAAAAAACGCACACACAATGGTTGGTGGGTTAATGAGATCAAGCAAATAAAAGGCAGAGGAAAGGACTCTGCCATCTTCGGTATGAACGAATCATTCACAACACCACATTAAAAACAGAACAGAGCAAAGTTTGAAGTAACTTTTGTTGCGAAGGGGAAATAGCTTCCTTCTCCATCTCCGCTTGGCATCAGGCTGAGGCGACTCTTCCAGAAACAGACGCATATGAGACCTCAAGTGACCTCCCAGCGATTTCCCACTGCGGCAGCGCTTACCGCAGTATTTGCACACGTGTTTCGACTCTTGATGGTCTTCTTCCATGGAATTGGGATATTGATCTGCGGCTGCTGTATGTGAAACAAAACAGGAGAGGTTTTAGTACTAGTTGTTAGGAACGGGAACAGGGGAAGTTCAGTTACGTTGGAGCAGTTAGCAAGGAGAGAAACAGGGGAGAGGAAGATACAGAGGGAGATTTACGTGTTATTTTGAACAAAGAACACACACATTTGAAAGCGAGAGGAGAGCGAAGCGGGGTTAAGGATAGTAGTAAAGTCATTGTACAAGTAGAACACACACGCTTCATTAGCATTGTCTACCTATTTTTATTATTACTGGTTTTTGGCTCGCCCTTCGTTGTGACTTGTGATAAGAAAGCAATTATATTTAAGATTTTATTCATTTACTTAATAATTTAGTTGAGATAAAATAAGTTATTAAATAATACTGGTAAGATCTTTTCATACGTGTTACGTAGTATATTAATCATCATGTAATATTCAAGTTATACATTTTTAATTGATGCATATGAAATAATAATCCCTCCAAAAGCTTTACTAATATCTTATTCATTGTGGAAGACTTACGTAATAAGTTTGTTTAATTTATACATAAGAAACAAATATCACACCATAAGTTCTACGAAGTGTCTTTGTCATTTTGGAGGATTTATATAATAATTTTACTCAATTGATACATAATAAATTGCTATTCCTCTACTTACCTAATGTATTTATAATTTAAGTAACTGCTATTGAACAAAGTTACAAAAAATCTTCAGTAATGTGTTGTCCAATAATAAAATCAAGATACGAAAATGATTGCATTTCTATTAAATTTTTATGTAAAAGCTATAATGATATCAGGGCCGGCCTAGAGGGTGTGCCGGCCTGCCCTCCGGCACAGGGCCTCTGAATATTAGGGGCCTCCACTTACATCCGTTATTTATCGATCGTATATTGTAGGTTGTATTTTTAGTGATGATTGATTGATTACGAGTATGATGGCGAGTTTAATAGATAATTTTAGCTATAATAACAATTAAAAATGATCTCATGGAGACTATGAAAATCATAGAGATAATAGATAATTTTATTTTAAACATTATAGAAAGATTTTCCATGTTGAATAATGGTAATATAATCATTTTAGTTTTATTATAGTTAAAAGTCAATTTGAATCACGTCTCGATTTTGGAACAGGGCCTCCACGATCCATTAGACATCCCCGCACCCACCTCTTGATCAATTTAGACTATTTTCATTTCTCCATTCAATTTTAGTACTATATCCATTTTCTCTTCCCTCCAGATTTACTTTCCTCCCTACTAGGGCTGGGAAATTTGGTATTCATTTCTTGGTCAAACTAGAAATGGGATCATTTATTCCTTTTGTAATAATTTTTCGAGCTTACGTATTTTTTATTAATTTTTATTTTTAATAAATTTGTGGAGAAAAAATTTATGGCCACATTTTACATTTTTGAACAGGGCCTCCGAATATCATGGGACGACCCTAAATGATATTATAGAATCTCTGTGTAATGCAAACCGATTAAATGATCTATATTGTAGTTAGTAAAAAGGAATTAAGTTATAAAAAGTATAAAATTTGATTAACTATTACGTAAAAAATAACTGACCTTACAACACCTTTGTGTAACATAAATTGATAAGATGATCAATAGTTTAGTCACTAATAATGAAATTTTTGTTCGAACTTATATTACGGTAGACTTACATAATACATTTTGTCTCATTGATATGTAACAAACAACTATTCATTCATAACTTTACATAGTGTCTTAATCATTATGGGAGACTTACATGATATTTCTAATGACGCATTAAAAAATAACTATCCCTCCATTCTCGATTTTCATTCACTCTGGGAATTTTTTCTTGCAGGGTTTGCTGATCCACTGAAGGTTTGCTGTGGTTACCATGTGAAGTATGACCACATATGGTGCGGAAACAAAGGGAAAGTCAATGGAAGTGAAATCTATGGTGGCTCCTGTAAAGACCCTTCTGTTTATGCTAGTTGGGATGGAGTGCATTACACTGAAGCTGCAAGCAAATGTGTTGCTGACCAAACCCAGAATGGCTCTTTGACTGACCCACCAACTCCAATCACCCAAGCATGTCATAGGCTGTGATGTAAGAGCTCAAAGAGGGCAGAATTTAGAACCAGGTCATTACTCTCGTGATCACGGCCAAGAACCTCCAACTCTTCCTCGACATAGTGTCCAACCATTTTGTTGCCTCCAGCTTTGTAACAACAAAATTTACCTGGTTTCTTGTTCATAACGAGGCCGTAGAGCCTTCAAACCTTGAGATCCAGAACGAAGAACGAGTGATAAGAGTGAGCTGAAAATTTGCTGATGGATGAAGTAAGGAATGTCGATCCTTCAATTGTTCTTTTAGAAACTGTCTCCGGCTTAACTCTCTTCGAAAGTGGTCTAAATAAATGATGATGATTTTCCTTCTAACTCGGGTTCACCGATACCTAATTTGTTTGAGAACTATGACAATGCTAAAAAATATACCATTAGCAACATCTAAAAAGGAAAATAATTGTTGTAACATGTAAGTAACACATTGCATGCTAATGCAATAGCTTTCAAACATGATGTCGTGAATCAACAAGAAAATAACAATGAAAAAACATACCAATTCAGGTCATTCACACAGGTGTGGCGAGATCGTAACACAAAGCCCATGTGTTTTCTTAGCAAGGAAACAACATCTTTTACTATTAGCTTCAAATTCCTAAGTTCCTCTAGAAGTAAAACAATACATTTCAGGTGAGTATGACTAACTAATTGACCATATTTCATTGTCGTCAAACCTTCGAATTGGACATGAAATCCCGCACATTATATCTTGGTGAGTGAAGATAACGACGAATATCTTTTGCAGATTTTTCGAATATCTTTGTTAGCAGGAATGCAGAAGATATCACTGACCTTTTCTCCTTGCAAACTTGGTCCTTATGTGTTGTTCGAGTTGGGATTATTGTAGTGCTTGCTCAGGTGTGAATTAGTAGCTTCAACAGTAGGTTTGAGTGACAATACCCTTTTCCCTATCCTTTTAAAATTGCAGACTTTACTCTTTGTGGTTCTTCTTGCGTTTGTATGTCCTGCCATTTTTGGATAACGTTTTCATGTCCTGATTGTCGAGTCCTAGAGTGCCGGGTGAGATGATGATACGATGATGATGCTGCCTGTAGCGAGGGCAGCCAAGCTGGTTTCAACTCAAGAATATGGTTATCTAAAGCTTCTTCGTCTTGATGATGGAACCACAGTGAAGGCTAGAGTAACAAAGCAAACCAAAAAGTTACCTTTGTTTACTTACACTTGTTTTACCATGAACTCAAATCTGATCCGGACATTACAGTTCCATTTCAATTTCATAGGTGTTGATTGGTGGACGGTGGTGATGGAGTGCGCTCAATGGTGGCAAAGTACCTGAGGTTTTGGGAAGCCAGCTTTTGCTAGTTCTTCCATAGAGGCTGTGCACACTAATGGGTGAGTGTTTTGCTTCTTGAATTTCAATTCTGGCGATTCTACACCCAGCCTGATTGTTAGCTATCGACACTGTTTCCTTGTCGAAAGAGAGTGGGGAGATGAGATAAAAGATAGTGTAGTTGAAATCTGATTCTAATGTTCTTTAACTGCTGTTCTCACAAATTTGGTTTTGATTGCTTATAGCCTTACAGTATTGTAGATATACTGCTGATGGGAAGTTTGACATTCTCTTTGCCAGTTGTTATTTTTATTGCTATTTTTTAAGGTAAATTTTAAGGATGGTCACTAAGATTCCTAAAAATGTTGATGTTTAGTCACTAAATAGTCTCTAAATTTAGTAAAACATGTCAAGTTTGGTCACTCTCTTGTCAGTCAACTCTTATAGTTTAAATAATCATGAAATTCATTGTTTAAGAACGAACTGAAAACTAAAGGACCTTTAGTTACACCACCAGTTAAGATATAATTTTTTTGAGCACTTATACAAGATACTTTAATTCGTTGGTTGAAAAATACTCACTTTATATCGTCCCATTGTATAGTGCACTTTTGAGATGATGAACTATTTAGAAATTAACAATGTACTTTAGACTATAAGAAGATCCAAATGATAATATTTTAATGATTTTTATGAATAATTTTTATATTTACTACACATAAAACCATCAATCCTAACTTATTTCGATTACTGATAATGTATCAAACTAAGTATATGGACCGTAAACCCTTTAAGAAAATATCAAAATCCTCCATGAAGCCAAAGTAGTATTTGTCTCTTTAAGAAAATTATAAAATCAAAATAAAAATACACATTTGACCGTCAAAATAAAAAAATGCAACAAAAAATTAATTTTTTTCAGTCAAAGGAATACAATTCAATTAGATGTTTACTGCTATCCGCCGAAAAGAAGCGCGGGTCAATTACCTAGTGAAAATTAAGAGTGCAGTCTATGCTACATATTCAAGTCGAGTCTCTATATATCCATTGATACGAGTTAGTTCTATAATATATTAGTACAATTAAGATGCATCAAAAGAATAGTTATCTGTCATTTATAACCGCATTACTCTCTTCACCATTCTCAAGAGCCTACTACATTTCCGAGATGCAATTTCCAACTTTTTTGTTCCTTCTAGCCTTTCCACAACAAAATTTACCTTATTTTCTAAAGGAAACGACAAGGCTTTTGATCTTTCCAACCTTGAACTCGAGATTGAGTGATAAAAGCGAGCTGAAAGTTTGTCAATGGGTGAAGCAATGAACGTTGATCCTTCTATGGTTTTTCTGGAAATTGTCACCGACTTTGTTTTACGCGAAAGTGGTCCAAATGATGATGAACTTGCTTCTAACTCGGTTTCATTGATAATAGATTTGCTTGAGAAACTACGAACATACAAAAATATACAATTAGCAATACAAAAAGAAAAAATAGATTGAATCATACGTAACATTTTGCACAACAATAATATCGATTTCGAACCCTATGCCATGTATTATGAATTAATGACAAAAAACATGACAAAATAACAATGAGTGCATACCATCGTAAGTCTGTTACACAAATATCTTGAGATCTCAACACAAAGCCAACGCCTTTTAGCAAGGAAGCAACATCTTTTACTATCAGCTCCAAATCACGAACTTCCTGAGGGAGAGCAAAACAGTACATTCAAGGGAGAGTGACTAACTTAACATGTTTGACGATAATCAAATGAAAATGAGATTATAGATAAAAAGCACACACCTTATATCTTGGGGAGTGAAGATACCAATGAATATCTTGTGCAGATGTATCAAATATCTTTATTAGTAGGAAAGCCAAAGACATCACCGATTATTTCTCCTTGCAGATCTGAACAGAGTCATTGTACTTAGGTTTTCCAATTAAGCTGATTTCTTCATCAAGCACTTTCATCATAGCATGCAGTAACAATTCATATACGGTAGGGGGATCAGATTGATGATGATCCACATTATTAGTGCTATTACGAGATGTTTGAGGACGTAGTGGATAACCCAACCGAAGAAGAACATGTGCGGCCATTAGAGCAGCAGTGAACTCAACAATTCGGCCCTCCGTTATGTAGATGAAGCATAACTCGGCAAGATACGTAGGTTGGATAACAGTTGTAGGGTTGATGTACTTGGGCTCCAACGGTAACATGGATTGCATCTCTTCCACCAGGTCAGGGAGGCAAAATATGAAAAGCAACTTGAAAATTGACATTTGGGACGTCCATTCCTTCAGGTAAGGATGATGGCTGCAGAACAACAACAGAGAAATCGATCAAACAAAATCATTAAAAAGAACCTCTACATGAAGAAAAATAACAACAATTTCATGTTTGTAAGGGCACTACATAATCAAAACAATTGGTGAACACAGTGTACCATAATTTTTCGATGGCCTTGTTGAAGTCTGAATCAAGGATTTTACTTTTGCAGACATGCGGTGGTCGAATCAAGAACTCCAATTCAGGATAGTCATCTCTTTGGGGAGTCCTACAAGGCCACCGGACCATGCAACCCAGTTAATTTTGGGTATGCATAAAACAGAATCAGGAGAAGCCATGTATATTACTTGGTTTGATATTGTTTGTCAAGGCCTCAAGGGTTACTTATTGGGAAACTTACCAGCGATAGTCAGGCTCCGGCTTATAGTTCCGGTGAGCGACTCTGACCGGGCTGTCAACAAACAGAAGGCAAAAGTACTTTAGACACATACATACATGCATTCTACAAAGACAAAATTAACAAATTCAAGTACCAGCGGAGAGAAGCCATAGTAAAGCCTGCTTCCTTGAGCACATTCTTGATTTCTTGAGCAATTGGGTAATCGGGAAGAAGAGGATACATTTGCCTCTGCTTTTCCCTTCACCTTCCCTTTTCCTTTTCTAACATTTCCATCGAGTGACACAACTGGGGGCCAGCCCTGCGGAAGACTTCGAGCAATCGCAGGGAACAAGTGAGGCTCAACATCTTGTACCGCAAATGCCCGCGGATCGACTCAGGACGGGGAGGACGATTGCGATCGATGGTGTGATCAATGTCAGTAGGAAAACGGCGATTAGGTTCAATGGTGAAGCTAAGGGCGGTAACAAAAGCAAACTGGGCAATAAGGAAATCGCGGAGGGACAAGGCGGCGGTTCCAAACCGCTGCTGGAGAAGGGTGTCCCTGAAGAATGTTGGGGAGAGAACTCGGTCAGGGACGACAAGCAGGAGCCAGAGCAGCTTCGCGCCTAGGACGTTCCTTGCATACTGGAGAATCCTCATCTCCAGAGTCCCCTGTTCGGTGGTGCGTGCCAGCAGCTTGACCGTGTGCCACCAATCGAAATATTCGCTGATCCATTCGGGGAGCCAGAGCATCAAACTACAGAGCCTTTGCGGATAATTAATATCGTACCGGCCTTGCAAATACCACTGGTCGTCACAACTGGAGTGTAATGCGTAATCGATGGGAAGCAGCCCTGGATGACGATGATAAGTCGGAGGAACCCCATGCCGCAAAAACAACCTGACCGCCTCGTGAAACCCCATCGAAGCAGCGGTAGATATGAGCGGTTTATTGCAGCTAGCAAAAGCAAACAGATCCAAGCGACTGTGAGGGAGTTTGCGTTCTACAAGGGCGGTGAGGCAACCGATTGCTCGTTCATCTAACAATTTTAACACAGTCCGAATGGGGACTGTTTCATGGTTAGGGTCCAACGACGCCAGAAAAGCTTCCACATTATCACCATCCTCCTCCGTTACCTCCATAGCTGATCATAAGATAGAAAAAGCACACCGAATGTTTGGTGGGTTAATGGAATTAAATAAGTAAAGGACAGAGGAGATCAACCACGCAGGAATCATTCATAAAAACCCGCAGAGGAAAGTTTGACTAACTGTAGTCCGAAAGAGGACGGAGCTTCTTTTTGTAGATGCCGGTGACGCCATCATCAACTTCAGGAGAGCTTTCCCAGATCCATTCTCTATGAGACCTTACGTGACCTCCCAACGATCTGCCACAACGGAAGCGCTTGCCGCAGTATTTGCACAGGTGCTTCAACTCTACCTCCTTCTTGCCGTGATGATGATCGTCATCGTCTTCCATTCCATGGGCTGTAGCAGAAACAGAGCAACAGGTATGGAACAGGGGAAGTTCAGTAGATAGGAAAGGAAGGGAAACAAGGGAGATGGATGGATCACGCCAATTGTCAATCAGCGGATCTTTTCCTTCCAACATGGAATTTTATGGGTGGCTGAAAGAAAGAGGAGGGTTTGAAGTAGGTTAAAATAGTCAAACTTAAAATCATAGTGGAAGTAGGACACTATTGGCATTGTCTACCTAAATCAATCAATCCGGAAAGAAAGGGATCTTCTTTCCCCGCCGCCTCTCTCTCTGTCTCGCAACCCCTCTTTGGCTTTTTACCGTTGCAGCGTCGGATCTCATCTCATCTCGACGGAGCTGCCTACAACGTCATGGTGAAGAATCAGGCGGTGGAAGAGGATGACGTGGAAGCATTTTTAGCGAGTTTGGATCCTAAATCTAAACGCTGCCCTCCTGAGGTGGTGGCGAAGTTGATTCAGTCGAGAGCAATTGGTTGCATCACCGCACTTTTGGAGCGGAAAATCTCTCACAATCGGTTGGATATCTGCGGACCGGTGGGGAACTGCCAACTGCCCCTGCATTATGCTGCTAAGTTCGGGTTTCACGAGGCGATCGAGCTGTTGATTCGCCATTGGGTTCGTCCCTACCATGTTTTTTCGAGCTTCGAACCCAAAGAACTTGAAACGAGTGCCATCGACTACGCGCTCGAGACCAGTTGCAATGAATGGAACAAGAAGATGGAGGAAAGCCAAAGCAGCGGCGGCGGCGACCTCCTCCTCTCCGATTTGATCCTCTGGCTGCCGGAATGGATCTCCGACGCCGACAATTTCAACTGGTGGCGCACGGTAAAGCTGCTCGGACGCGCCAAGGATAAAGACCTGGAGATGAAAATCTTCCGGTATGCAAGGAATGGCCTGGCGGCGAAGCTGCTCTGGCTTCTCCTTGCTGTCCCTGACCGAGTTCTCTCCCCAACATTCTTGCATTGCCTAACTCGACGCTTCAAGTTTCAGCATTCACGTTTGGAAGACTACTCCCTCCGCGATTTCCTTACCTCTCAACTTGCTTTCGTGGTCGCCGACATCCGGTGGTGCAGCGATGGCGATGATCCCCAATTGATAAAGTCTTTGCAGGAAAAGCGGTCAATCCTCACCTCTTCCCTGCTATTACTTGAAGTCTTTCAGAAAGCTGGCACCCAATTGTCTAACTTAATCCCAATTTTGCTAGAAAAAGAGAAACAGCATCTTTCCAGTTCCCCAATTGCTCAACAGGTCCAGACTATCTTAGAAGGAGCTGGGATCCCTTTAACTTCTCTGAACTGGTACTTCCTTCTACTTCGTTGTTGTTGTTGTTGTATAAAGTTTCAATCTTTGTAATACAATAATAATCTATATCTTTGTCTGTTTTTGTTGCCTTGGCAGCCCTATCATATCCACCCAAGATTCCGAGATTAACTATCCATAGTAATCAACTATCCGAGCCAAACGGCTGTCTTTCTTTGTTTGACTTCATGTCTATCTCTCATTTCAGATGTTAGTTTTAAGTTTTAACTATGTGTTGTTTCTTTTCCCTCCCTTTTGGTCGCCTCGACAGCCCTAGCGGACCGGTCAACCGTAATATGATGCACTGTCACCGGTAACTATCTCTATCCCAGCAGCCTATATCTATGGTAGCAGCCTAGCTATGGCAGCACTCGACCAACGCCTGCCTTGAGTTTCTCATATATGAGCCTTCAACTCCCTTGTTGTTTGTCTTTATAGCTCTCTTTGTTGTAACTATGTACTAATGAATTATTCCTCCAAGTTAACCGAGCTTTTGTATATTGAAGGCCAAGATCAGGGTATTTGGCCTTTTTAATTCGACCCACCAGTGTGTGCAGAAGTGAAATTCTTGATTCGGAATTCAACAGGGCTATAGAGAATTTATGGTATTTTCTGCTAACTACTTGTTGGTTTTATCTGCATTCTTAACAAAAATGATAAAGTTCCATTCTTGATTTGGGGCTTGAGTACCATTCACAAATGTGTATGATTCACCAATGTCTGTTGTTGGTGTTGTGATGCAGCTATCATCCTTGTCTGAAGGATTGGAACCCCCAAGAGTCAACTTTCAAGTTGCTTTTCATATTTTGTCTTCCTGACTTGGTTGGTTTGTTTGTTTTCCACTCTGGCTAGTTGTGTCTCTCAAATCTTTCTTTTCCCCCAAAATGTAATGTGATTTTGGAAACACATGCAGGTAGAAAAGATGCAATGCATGTTGCAGTTGGAGCTCGGGTATGGTAAGCCTGCGAAAGTCATCCACCCCACCTATCTTGCAAAACTATGTTTTATCTACATCACGGAGGGGCGAATTGTTGAGTTCACTGCAGCTCTAATGGCCGTACGAGTCCTTCTTCAGTTTGACCATCCACTTGGTCCTCAAATTTCTTACCATACTGGGGACTATATGGAGTATACCCCAAACTTGTATGACTTTTTACTGCATGCTTCGAGGAGAGTTCTCGATGAAGAAATCAGCTTGACAGGAAAGAGTGAGGACAATGTTACTGTTCAGATTCTCAAGGAGAAAAAATCGGTTCTGTCTTCTGCATTTCTATTAGCACGGATATTTGAAAACTCTTCGGAACGTATTCATCGGTATCTTCACTCTCCAAGATATAAGGTATGTCGTGTCGAAGATGATATCTCCCGTCATCAGCGAGTTTAATGCATATTTATTCATGTTTCAAATGCACGTTGGTACTTAGGCTTCTTGTTTTTCCTTTCTGGATTTTGGCTTCTTCCCGCAGGTAGTTCAGGAATGTAGGGATTTGAAGATGATTATAGGTGATGTTGCATCCTTGCTTGAAGACTCAGGTTTTGTGTTAACATCCCAGGACAGATGTGTCAATCACTTGGAATGGTACGCCTTGATGTTGCTTTCTATCTTTCCCTTTTGACTCATGATAGGGATTAGGGATGGTGGTTCCAAGTTCAAACATGATCCAAATCCGAGACAGCACGCATTGTGACTCATAACGAGCATGCTCTCTATTTGTGAAATTAGGAATGTTTTTGCCTTTTGGCTTCACCTATTCATACCAATAATGACTCGCTGCACTTGGAACCAACATGTTTGCCACCTATAGTTCTAGGTGGGGTTTTGATGCAACGAAGGAGATTGTTGGCCATTCCCAATCATCTCTTAAGACCCCAGTTCGATAGGATGTATGGCTATTGTCAAGTTGAATCATTATGCCTATTCGCTGCTACAATTTTCTGTTGTCGCTAATTGTATTTGGTGTGGGTTGTCTTAGTTTCTCAAGCAAAGCACGTGTCAACAAAAGCGATATAGAAGAAAATTCATTGTCATTTGTGCCACAGTTGAAGACAACTCCATGTGTTAAGGTCTCGTGAAATCGTCCTTTTATCTATGTTCCTACTACTTTCATTCAGTATATACATCTTTGCTTATTGGTTCATCTTGTTAAATAGTGCAGGGGCAGCAAGCAACCAGAGTGTCCAAGACAATCATGTCAGCACGAAACATCGGATCATCTTTGGTTATTGGTTCATCCATTAGCAAGCTTCCATCGCGATCATATCACTCATTCCCAATGATGGTAAGGTATGAAGGGTCTAAGGTCGCCAAATCGCCGGCCCAAAATGGAATCAACTTGGTTACAAAAAGAGTGGAGGTAGCACAATGGTCCGCTTTTAAATTGAAAAGGAGTTTGAAGTTCCTGACAATGACTAAGGTGTTGCGTTTGTGATGATGCTACACATTCTTTCTAGGCTTTTGCTTGCTATGTTGTTTGTATATTTACACTTCACTTTTATCATTAATTCATAAGAGACTCCAGAGGAAGTGTTTCAAAATAATGGTTTGTGAAAAAAGGAACTTCTAACTCGAGGAAGTAGGCCGCCATCCCAACATTCTTGGCTCAGGCCGGCTATTTGATCCCGGCACGAATGCTCTTTCATTTCAGTTTGCCAATCTTTTCTATCATCGGATCTAGCCGGAGGTGGGTAATTACATGTTTCCATATTCATGACGATCCCCTAACCTATCTCGATGGAGCAGAGCGAGAATGATGGCATCTTCGCTCCGCCACCGAGTAGTACAGATTGCCATTGAACCCTCCCATCACTGCGGCAATTATTGCCGCGAGTAGCATCATCTACCTCGAGCCCACTTTCCTCCGCCGCCTCCTCCCTTCTACCGGCGAAGTCCTGGTTCAATTCCTATCTCATTCTCAAGGTAACCGCTCCTCTGTTTTCCCATAAATTTCAGTCCCCTACCATTTTGATTAATTGCCAAAAGAGCGCGAGACTGATTTCATATAAATTCATACATTAATTAGTTATGAGATTGTTGCAGTGAAGGAAATAACCTGATTGCTTCCAGTTGAGTCCAAAACCTGAAAATTTGGGGTTCATTTTGCCCTGAAAATTTGGTGAGACGCTTCTTCCTATCTCCATTCTACCACATGGATGATATTCAGAATGCTTGTTCTCCTTATCACTGCCCAGAACCTGCAGTCCTCCCATGACATAGCATCGAACCTTCCTGTCGCTTCCACCCTTTTCGCAACAGAACTTACTGCATTCCCAGCGGTAACGACAAGGCCTTATACCGTTGGTGCCTCGAAGTTGGGAATGAGTGATGAGAGCAAGCTGAAAGTCCACTGTCTAGCTTTGAACTGATCAAACTGCACAATCTGCACACGGAGAGCGAAATGATCACATTCTGATGCTGAGAAATAAATATGGATGGATCCCTCGCCGACTATGATTCGGTTGATGTTCATGTGTGGCTTGTCTTCCCTATTTCTCAGCTACATTTTCTATTCCCCTCCGTTTTCATTTATAGGCTTGTCATTGTTCTCTTTGTAAAGATGCAGCATGGCAGCTGATGGTGGAAACATTATTTCACAAAGAAGAAAGAACGTTTATTTTAAGCTGAAGTTCCAATGCTATCTTCACTTGCCAAAGTAAAAAACAAGAAAAGAGGGCAGTCGTACCTGGCAAACGTTACTTTTACTTGCTGCTGGGTCTTGGTCTGGGTCTGGGTATCGACTGGATTTCTTCATCAAATTAGTATTGTCGAGATAAGGTTCAACACCTCCACACATACACTCATCAGCATTAAAATCTATGTAAGTACACACACAAACCAAATAATAATGTATATAAATATGTATATCTACACAGGTAACCAGTTGAGCTAAATAAATGTAGTAAATAAACAACTACTCTCCCTGCAACATACCTGGCTAAGAATATAAAACAAAATTTCGATGGAAGTCAGTACAATTGCAGTATGTCATGTGTCTCCTCCATCCAGGACCACCCTTGTAATCATACTCTAATGTAACCTACATCTACTTCACCATCCCTTAACAGTTTTTCTTCTTCACTGTCTAGGCCATCCCACACTGACATCTCCAACTGACCCACCTAATCCTAAGAACTCATAATAATAAACCAAATCCGCGCAAAACGCTCTGCCAAGCCAATACCATGTACATGTTTTACTTATCAATCCCTTTACTTCTTCCCCTCTGGATCTTCTCCACATACACTAACATCCAAGTCCAAGATCTGCTTCCACATAAGGATGCAATCACCTGCTAAATAAGCAGGCTCCCAAAGAATACCACCTATCTAAGGTTCACCTATGCAAATCTAGTATTTTATGAGGTTAGGCAGACACGCATGAAGTTCCGACAAGCACTGGAACACCCAATTTAGCAGCTGTTCACTTGGGAGCTCCAGTAGTAATTCTGCCTGCACACAGCAACGACAGTATATAACAACTTAATGATTCCATTTCTAGCAGGACAAACCTATTGAGTTCATATTTCTGTATAAAAGGGAAGACCATTCCGTATGCCTCAGATCTAGAATGGATCAGGACTAAGGCAAAGAAGTTCAAGGGGTAAAAGGCAAGTTATGGTAGGAAGAGACTGGATTAGCATTGTTGTGACAGAATCTCATTTCCATCGAAAGTCTGAATAGATTTTGATCATATAGACAGCATTCAAAAGACAGGTTACGGTTATATTACACAGACCAAGAAGAACTCCTTAGACAAACTCAAAATTTGAGGAACAAGATGTGCATTACCAACCAGGCAGTAGCAAAGCTTACCTTTATTATGTCTCCTTCAATGACCAAGGAGTTCCCATGCACATTTGAAGACAGAGAGTCTGTCATCAGCTTGAAAACTCTTCTGCTCATGTTTGTTTTCATGCCAACCATCTTTCCTGAAGCATATATTCTCATTATCCCCATATCTGCGGCCATTCTCCTCACATATAGTTTCTTCAGTAAAATTTCCATGGTGTGGGGCTCTTTTCCATATTGGCGCCTCAAATTCTCTGTGAACTGTACCAGACTCCAAATGTCTTTCTCTGCAGCTTTCTCTGCTTCACCAATAATTTTAATGGGGTTCTCCAGATAATTTATGTATTCGGAAGAAAGATGGGGATTTACATTCAGATCAATCTGCAAGCAGATAAGAGGCAAAGGAGTGGCATGGTTGACAACTTCGTCAAGTAATACTATATAAATGGGTTAATTTTGATCACTCAGAATTCTCATTTTGTGCAATTCAACGTCGAGCAGTTAAAGGCCTGAATGCAGTAATTACCTCAACAGAATTGTAAGGAACTGATACCACACAGTGCTCTTCAACCTGTATAAAGTTCAGGGATGATTGTTAAGTTCAAAGCAGAGAGTGGAGGAGAAATGAACAAAAACAGCAAAACTAACAGATAGCCCAGAGTATTGGATAATCGTTCTATAGAGGACAACCTCTTGTCAGTCTATTATTAGATCACTGAGCAAAATTATGCCACATAGAGAGCAAGTCCACAGGCATAAAGAATACAATAAGATCTAATGAAGGCGGTCAACTAATATACCTTGGACAAGCTCTCGAAAAGCATTTCAAAGAAGAGATCAATGCCAACATTCCCCACATCCCCAGTTTGTTGCTCACCAAAGATTGTCCCAAAGCCTCTTATACCCATGTCTCTTTCAGCAATTTGGAAACCCTGTCCAAGTTCTCGGCATTCTTCCATTGCTTGCAGTCTCTCCTGAACAATTAAAAGGATTACAAGATTCACACGAAAATTTCAATGGTAGGCATAACCCGGATGCTGAGGAAATCATATAACATACCAGGGCTTGATCAGTTAGGAATGATTTGTCGGGATAAAATAGGTAAGCATGAGCTTCCTTATCTGCCCGGCCCACTCTTCCGCGTAACTTCAGTGATAACATTGAAAAACGTCAATGGCAATGAAACCCGAGTATCTAAGATTTTGTAGATTGATAGGGTTCATGTAACCTGAATAGATGTAGCAGGGGAAAAGAAATGTAGCAACATGTACTTCTACACCAAGGAGATGCAATCAATATGCAAAGTATGACAAGTTGGGTCTAACGGATTGGAGATGAAAGACAATTGGTTCATTGAATAATCGTGTTTCTGCTTAAAATGAATCACACATGCATCAGCCATTGCTTAAGCTGACATGGAAGATATTAACAAGCATTTTAGAAGGAAAAAAACATGGCAATATTCCGAGAAATGGTCTGGCCATTGTTCAGCAACAATAATTGAACTCGAGAACATAAAAATGTACAAGGTTGTCGGAGTGGAACCTGATACAGTTGTGCCAGTCCAAATTGCTGAACATCTTGAATTATGATGGTATTTGCATTCTGAATATCAAGCCCACTTTCTACTATATTGGTACATATGAGAATCTTTATTTCACCTAGCGCAAATTTCTCCATGGTGTCCTCAAGTTGCTTGGAGTATTGCTACAAAGGAGCAATAGTAACATGAATGAGAATCAAAGTGTAGTATCACAGAATGAATCAAGCTGCATAGGGGACAAGTAGAAATGCTAATTCATGTTGTATGTATGCCATTAAAGGTGGTAGCAGAAGGAATCAAGCAACACGAGAAACAAGGTAGCTCAGTCAGCTCTGGGCTTTATGACCTAACCTAATTAACTCGTAGAGTACATAAGAGCTATGAAAAAACATAATATTAACGGAGACAAACTTACCTTCCCGTGTGCAATGGCTATTTCAACATCAGGAAATGAATGTTCAAGGAAATCTTTAACTTCTTCTAGTCCTGTCAGCCCAAGAACCATATAAAATATCAAAACTCGAACAAATATTACAGAAGAATAAACTAAATCATTGTTCAACAAGACGTTTACTTGTTCCAGTCCTGTTATGCCAAAATTATGTAAAGACCAATCAAATAGATACTAGCTAAAAAGGAAAGAAATACTGAACATATTATGCATAATGAGACACTTAGACTCTTAGAGGTTCTTTCAACCCTCTCACTGTAATCCTAGTACTGACTTTTACCTCAGCAAGTGCATAAAAATTAAACCTGTTGAATTTGATTAATGCGCAAGACTAGCTAAGTTGTGGACATTGAGCTTTCACACCCAAAATCAACACAGATGCGTTTACACAACCAAATCATGTTATCAGTAATATGCTAGTCCAAATTGCAAATCAGAACAGCATTCCAAAAACAAGTAACTCCAAATAATACCTTTAATACGTGGCAAGACATAAAACACTTGGCCTCCCCGGTCCAACTCATTTTTTACTGCCAATGCTACCTTCTCTTTGTTGTATGGAGACAAATGGGTCTTTATAGGAACCCTTTCAGGTGGTGGCGTTGAAATTAAACTGAAACCAGGTGTATGTTTCATAGTTAGGGGGGAAAAAAGAGAGAGAATAAGAGCTAATTTGTAATCTTCATGTGTGATTGCAGTTTCCAGAAAGTAACCACCAATCGAGAAATCAGTTTGAACAGGAGGAGGACAAGTCCATGTCCTTCTCTAACCTAAGATGCTGCCTTGAACAATTATCATTTCCCATACAACAAAATCCAAATTAACAGCAATTCAATCTCCTATTACTTCATCTAGCCTACAATGATAGCTAATTTTACTATATAGTGCCACATATCTTAACGATCTGAATTCCTCCAAAGATACTTACATATGTTATATATTAAATCTTAAAAAGCTAATTCATGTAAAATACTTATAGCCTAACACTAATACTCCTATGCATAAACTGGAATAATACCTTGCATCACGGAATCCGGTGAGTGCTAAATAAAGAGTTCGAGGTATTGGAGTTGCTGAGAGAGTAAGCACATCAACAGAAGTTTTGAAAGAGGCTATCCTCTCCTTTTGTTTGACACCAAACCTCTGGAAGAAAATGGACATTAAATTAGTGTTTGCACTTCAAGCATGGATATGGGCATGCTCGTTCAAGGCCTTATGAACCTCACCTGACCTACAACAACAGGAAAAGAGGACAGAACAATAGAGTTTATAGGTTACAACCAGACTTTGCATATGTTCCCTCATTCCTCTCACGTCATCACAACAGAATCATATTACTATCGCTCATAAGATCTATACATACCCATAACATACAAGTCTGCAGGAGTAAGCTTGCAAAATGCAAGAATCTTACAGGACATATGGAATTGCAGTCTACATGTACGTGCATATCTTTCTACTTTGATTAGTTACAGCAAGTAATACTCCACATTTAATGATCAACATATGTCCAAATAATAACACGATCAACAAGGGTTCCAGAGACAAACCTGTTCTTCATCAACAACAAGAAGACCCAACTTGTTATACACAACACGGCTTCCAAGAAGTGAGTGAGTCCCAACAATTATGTCCAAATCACCATGTTTGATCATTTCCAGATAAGTTTCCTTTTCTGCTCTGGTCTGCATTTGGTAAAGTGTATGCAGTTGATAAAGTGTAAGTCAATCTTATGCTGACACCGGCGATCAGGAATAAGTAGTCCAACAACTGAACATGAAGGCATGCATGAAGCCAGACAAATAACATACTGTCTGAGCTTAAAAACGAAAAATATAGTTTCAGATGACACCTTTGAATTTACATTTTCAAAAAGAACTTCGCTTGAGTGAAATACGAGCTCCTAACAGGCTACAAACCTATGGAAGGGCCAAGAGATATAGGAAGCTTATACCTGAAACCGACTAAGAAGTCCGACCTTGACATCAGGATACTTAGAAAAACGTTCTGAAATTACATCATAGTGTTGCTTGGCCAGGACAATTGTTGGTGCTAAAACCATTGCTTGCTTTCCTGCCGAGATAACACAGAAGATGGCACGCAAAGCAACTTCTGTTTTCCCAAAACCAACGTCCCCACATATCAATCTGTCCATTGGAGTTTGCCTCTCAGTTAGATCCCTCTCAACATCACGGAAAGCCTGGAACATGTATCTAACTCGTGAACAATTGAGAAATTCAACTTCCAAAACTAACAAGGAAAATGGAATGAGTTGCAAGTGGTGCCAGGAAGATGAATGAAGTGCAAAATGCAAGCATACTAACCATGATCATGAAGAAATCTCGTATTACACGAATAGGCAAGACAGAACGGTAGTTGTAAGATAATCAACTCTATGTAAACTCAACTTGAAACAATGTAAGTTGAAAATTAAGTGCAGATTTACACTGCTAAAGCATTACCAGTTTCTGATCAGGCGTGGGTTCATAAGGAAAATGAGCTTCAAACTCAGCCACGGCAGCATTCTTCGGGTAAGGAGGCCGTCTTTGCTTTAGCCGGTGCAAATACAACTCCATCAAGTCAACAACCATTCTCTGGATTGCAACCTTACCTTTGGTCTTTCTCTTCTCCCACGCACCTGGGTCGCTCAATTTGCTCAGCGCCCGGGGCCTTTTCGCTTCGTTGGGGCTGGAAAAGCAACATTACGAGGATAGGATGAGAAATTCAGTTCAAATGGGGACTTAAAAGGAAACCACAGAGCTTCCCAAGCAACCAACAAGCAAGAGAAGGGGAGAAATTCAGGGGAAGGAATACCTACAGATTGTAACGATAAAGCAAGCGAGAGGCCTGGTGAAGAGGGAGCTTGGCCATGCCGTCAGCGTATTCGATGAAGACATACTCGATAGGCGGAGAAGAAGGGCTAGGGATATCGAACTTGATGGCGACAAACTTCCCAATACCGACCTTCCTGTGGACGACGTAGTCTCCGGGACAGAGTGTGTAGGGGTCGACCTTATAGCTAAATCCTCCTCCGTCAGAGTTGGATTTAGACTGCCTTTCTCCCTTCAACTTCTGCAAACCTCTCTGCTGCTGCTCCTTCACCAGCTGAATGTATTTATCGGCCTCCTTGGAGTCCATGGCAGGTCTGGAGGAGGAATCCCGGCTAGTGTGGTAGCGGCGAATTCTGAGGTGGAGGAGGGAGATTGGGTCGTTGTCGAGGTCGATGCTATCGGCGCGGGGACGTAATCGAGCAGGGGAAGGGGCGGCGGCAAGGGCGGCTGAGACGTGGAGGGAAGAGGTGAGGGTGGAGAAAGGGGAAGGGGAGGATGGGTAACGGCGAGAGGAGGGGCACTTGAGGTAGAAAAGATTCCATGTCTGCAATTGATTAGGTAATGAATGGAGACCGGAGATGAAAGCTGAGGAAGAGTAAGAAGAATAAGCGTCGAGAGAAGCCATGAGCGTACACTGAGCAAGAAGAAGAAGTGACGGAGCTTGGCAGTGGCCACAGCGAGAGAGAGGAGGGAACTAAAGGGGGATAGGTCAGCTTGACTACCCCTAAAGGGGTAGTGATTTTTGACACCCATTTATGATTGGCCAATTTTATTTCCAATCATTGACAAGTATTAATTAAACTGGTTTTTTATTTTTTTAATCTTGTAATTTGGGGTCTCTCACCACATTGGAAAAGAGAAAGAATCTGGGGAAAAACGAAATCACCCCCATTAATTACATAATTAATTTCTCTCAACTGTAATCTGGTACGTGTACCAGTGGAGTGGTATTTGTATCATTGAAGTGGTACTGCATTGTTGCTCCATTATTGTTTATCATTGTTATGAAAAATATCATTGCACTGGTATTGTTCTCACTCTAACCTACCTTGTGGATTGCTCGCACCAGTGGAGTGGTACGTGTACCAGTGGAGTGGTACGTGTACCAGTTGAGTGGTACGTGTACCAGTGGAGTGGTACGTGTACCAGTGGAGTGGTACGTGTACCAGTGGAGTGGTACGTGTACCAGTAGAGTGGTACGTGTAATTAATGTACCAGTGAGAGAAATTAATTATGTAATTAATGGGGGTGATTTCGTTTTTCCCCAGATTCTTTCTCTTTTCCAATGTGGTGAGAGACCCCCAAATTACAAGATTAAAAAAAATAAAAAATCAGTTTAATTAATACTTGCCAATGATTGGAAATAAAATTGGCCAATCATAAAGGGGGTGTCAAAAATCACTACCCCTTTAGGGGTTAGCATAGTATCCTACCTTTTAAAAGAAATGAAAGAAAACTTCAATTAGCGAATGCTAGAAGAGTTTACCAAAATAAATAAAGGAGGATTTCTCTCATTCATATTGTTAATTTATCATTATAAATAAATTTAAATAAATTTCATATTTAAATAAATTTCATCATTATAAATAAATAAAAATGACACATTTTTTCCATCAATATTTACCGTTAACATCCAAATTTATAATTAAATCCAAAAAATAGTATCATATCTATATTTAGATAAAATACAAGATTACAAAATCAAGAAAAATTATCATATTTAAATACATATTTTAATAATCATGCCCTATAACTAAAAGATTATATCAATCATTTATTAATTTGGCATGACTGTATGCATTTCCTCATAGTGAAGTTCACTTGTTAGTTGTTAGAGCCGAAGGTTTCAGATCATTTTAAAATTATATTTAATACATATGTAAAATTGAAGACTCTTCACAAGTTTGTGAAAATTTTCCAATTCTCTATACAAGTTCCATCTTTTCTTAACTGGGTAAGAAAGGCTTTGACAACTGAAAGTCATTGTCACTCCACTTTTAAAAGTTTGTAAGAAGTTAAGAATCTTGAATGTTATATACTTATATTGAAACAGTTGAATTCAGAAGCGTACTCTGACATTAGGGCAAGGGTAAGAGTGAAAGAGGTCGAAGTACTTAGTGCTTAACTGAATGCGCGTAATGATCCCTACCCTCCCTCATACACTTTTAAAGCTGAAAAATTGTTTGAGCAATGAGTTACCTGAACCTGAGAAAGCCGAGGAGTCTTTTATTCAACAACAACAAAAAGTTGTATTAAATTTGTCATGTGATCGACTCTAACGTTATATCATTAAAATCTTGGCAACAAAGAAACTTTTTACATTTTCTAGATTGCAAACAAGGGCTTGTGCTTGACTTAGTCGTAATCCACTAGTTTTGAATTTGCATGTCTAAGATTAGATCCTCTCACCCCCTATCTCAACTTCAAGACAGCCTGAGAAGATGAAATTCAGCTCCTGTCCTCAAATTCCTCAACTGCAAGAGAAAGATTGTATATCGGTAAACATGGGCCAAGATCCACAATCAGATTTCAAAGACTCCATCACCTTTTACAGCCTACTCCAACGAGTACCATTCAACTCTCGTATAGTGAGTTAGTGACACATGATATTGGAACACTTGCTCGAACTTATCTACTCCTAACTCTCAAGTCTCTTATGTAAGAATGTCCAGTACTATAAGCACATGAGCAAAAACATGATAAAAGCGCTAACTGTAAATATACAACACAGCCAGCATCACGTTAAATCAGCGCCATGGCATGCAATTAACACAGTAGATTGAAGCAAGCCCGTCAGGAATACGTGCCATCACAAACGCAACATCTTAGTCATTGTCAAGAACTTCCAACTCTTTCTCAGTATAGAATCCGACAATATTGCTGACTCCGCTCTTTTTGTTATCAACTTGACCCCTTTTGGTGCAGGCAACCAGGCGACCTTAGACCCTGCATACCTTGGCACGAAAGAGTGATACGAGCGCGATCGAAATTTGTTAATGGATAAACCAACAAGCAAAGACGATTCAACGTTTTCGGTCGACATGATTGCCTTTGAGGCTCTGGTTGCTTGCTTCTCCTGCACAACAAAACAAGATGAACAAACAAGCAAAGATGTTTATACCAACTGAATAGAGGTACTAGGAAGATTTTTCTTTTGCTGAACAGTTAGTAAGGCTTAAACCAACATGGTTGTTCATATTTTTTTTATGGATGAAGGTAGTAGAAAGATTTCACAAGACCTTCACACATGAAGTTGTCTGCAAATGCGACACAAATGACAATAGATTTCCTTCTTCTAACCCGGTTCTGCTAACACCTGCTTTGCTGGAGAAACTAAGACAACACACACCAAGTAAGCTATTAGCGACAACAGAAAGGCAATTGCAACAGTCAATAGGAAGGATTAATGGTTCAACAACTTGATAATAGCCATACATCCTAATGAACTGGAATCTGTAAGAGAAGATGGCCAAGTGGTGTCACATATACTCAAACAACCATGATGTCATATAATCATGTGTAGGTCGGACTACTCCTTTTGGGAATCACCACCTCTATCATGAATCAAAGGGGAAAAGATAGATATGTATATATCAAGGCGTACCACTCCAAGTGATCCACAGAAACGTCCTCGGGTGTTAACACAAATCCCGAGTCTTCGAGCAAGGAAGAAACATCATCTACAACCATCTTCAAGTCCCTGCACTGCTGAATTACCTACGCGAAGAAGCCACAAATCCAGGATGAAAACCAATATTTGAGATCGTGAGGCCGCAAATTCATTGAAGTAGATTAAACCTGATCATCATGGGAGTTATCATCTTCGACAATTCGAAAAATCTGGATACTGCTTAGCAAACAAAAAGGGCAAGAAAGACACACCTTATATCTTGGAGAGTAAAGATACCTATGAATACATTGTGAAGAGTTCTCGAATATCCGTGTTAATAGAAATGCAGAAGCCACTATTGATTTTTTCTCCTTTAAAGTTTGAACAGTAACAGTGTCCTCGCTCTTTCCAGTTAAGCCGATTTCCTCATCGAGCACTCTCCTCAAAGCATGTAACAAAAAGTCATACAAGGTTGGGATATAATCCTTATAACCCAGAGTATGGTCAGACATTTGAGGACTAAGTGGATTGTCAAACTGAAGAAGAACTCGTCCGGCCATTAGAGCAGCTGTGAACTCAACAATCCGCCCCTCTGTGATGTAGATAAAGCATAACTTTGCAAGATAGGTGGGGTGGATGACTTTTGCAGGCTTACCATACTTGAGCTCCAACTGCAGCATGCATTGCATCTTTTCCACCTGTAGGCGTTCCCAGAATCGTATCACAAATTCACAATGGGGGGATGCCATAAGAATAACAAACACAACGAGCCCAAGAGGAAAAAGAAAAGCAAACCATGTCGGGAAGACAAAATATGAAAAGCAACTTGAAAGCGGACGGGCTCATTTCCTTCAAACAAGGATGATAGCTACAGCACAACACCAAGAAGAGACATTAATGAATCATACACATTTGTGAAAGGTACTCGAGCCCCAAATCCAGAATGGAACCTTATCAGTTTGCTAAGAGTGCACAGTAAAACCAACATGCGGCGAGCAGAAAGTACCATAACTTCTCGATAGCCCTGCTGAATTCTGAATCAAGCGTTTCACTTCTGCTGACACTGGCGGGTTGAATCAAAAATGCCAAATACTGTGAACTCGGCCTTCAATATACAAAAGCCAGGTTAACTTGGAGGAATAAGCGATCAATACATGGTTACAACAAAGAGAGCTATGAAGACAAATAACATGCCAGTCGTTGGTTGAGTGATACTATAGCTAGGTTGCTAAGATAGATATAAGCTGCTGGGGATGGAGAGATAGTTTACCAGTCATCGTCCCACTCCTTGTGTCTGAGCGATCTGCTAGGGGCAGGGCTGTCGAGGCACCCAAAAAGGAGGAAAAAGAACCAAGTAGTTACAAGTTACAACTACCGTCTAAAATGAGAGAGAGGCAGGAAATCAAACAAAGAAAGACAGCCTATTTGGCTGGCGGATAGTTGATCTTGGAAATGTAACAAAAATGCACAACGATTTAGACTATTATATATCACAAAGATTTAAACCATATACAACACCGGCAAAGTAGGAAGAAGTACCAATTCAGAGAAGTTATAGGGATCCCAGCTCCTTCTAGCACAGCCTGGACCTGTTGAGCAATTGGGGAATTGGAAAGCTGGTGTTTTTCTTTTTGTGCTAGCATTGCCATTAAGTTAGACAATTGTGTGCCAGCCCTCTGGAAGACTTCAAGTAATAGCAGGGAAGAGGTGAGGATTGACCGCTGTTCCTCCAAAGAGTTGATCAATTGAGGATCATCGCCATAGCTGCAGCACCAGATGTCGGCCACCAGAGAAGCAAGTTGAGCGGTAAGGATATCTCGGAGGGAGTAGTCTCTCAAAAGCGGACAAGCTAGGATATCCGCGCATTGAGTTAGGCCATGCAAGAATGTTGGGGAGAGAACTCGGTCAGGGACAGCAAGGAGAAGCCAGAGCAGCTTCGCCGCCTGGCCATTCCTTGCATACTCGAAGATTTTCTTCTCCAGGTCTTCATCCTTGGCGCGTCCGAGCAGCTTTACCGTGTGCCACCAGTTGAAATTGTCGGCGTCGGAGATCCATTCCGGCAGCCAGAGGATCAAATCGGAGAGGAGGAGGCCGCTTCGGCTTTCCTCCATCTTCTTGTTCCATTCATTGCAACTGGTCTCGAGCGCGTAGTCGATGGCACCCGTTTCAAGTTCTTCGGGTTCAAAGCTCGAATCAATAAGGTTGGGAGGAACCCAATGGCGAATTAACAGCTCGATCGCCTCGTGAAACCCAAACTTAGCAGCATAATGCAAGGGCAGTTGGCAGTTCCCAACCCGTCCGCGGATATCCAACCGATTGTGAGGGACTTTCCGCTCCAAAAGTGCGGCGATGCAACCAATTGCTCTCGACTGAATCAACTTCGCCACAACCTCAGGAGGGCAGCATTTAGATTTAGGATCCAAACTCGCTAAAAATGCTTCCACGTCATCCGCTTCCTCCTTCACCATGGTACGTTGTAGGAGTAATCCTGGCAGCTAAGTCGAGATGAGATGAGATCCGACGCTCTGCAACAGTAAAAAGCCAGAGGAGTTGAGAGAGAGAAGCGGCGGAGAAAGGGAATCCTTTTTTCCGGATTTATTCAGTTAGACAATGACAAAAGAGTGTTCACTTGTTCTACTTCCATCATGATTTTACTATCTTTAACCTACTTCAAGTTTTCCCAAACATGGATCTGGTCCAGTGTTGTAACGCCCGCACTTCAAATCCTCCTCTTTCGAGCATCACTTCAACTACTATTGTGAAATCAAAACAATATCATTGCAGAAATAAATCAATATCATTATGACAAACACACTATACCATTTCATACAACAAAACAATGAACTAATACCAAAACAAAGTATACCATTTCATAAATTAATACCATTACTAAATTACCAGATGGTAATTACCATATCTATTATAGACAAATGGATAGAGAGATAGGGAGGGAAGGAGAGAGAAGCAGGAGAGAGAGCAGCGGGAGGGTACCTACATCGGAAGGGTGGGAGGCCGCTGCGGTGGCCGAGGGTGGCCGGCACAGAGTCATCGTCGGGGCTGGTGTAGGCGGCCGGCGGGATTAGTGCGACGGGAGTGGTGGAGGCGTCTACGGCGGGTTTGGCTGGAGGGATGGTAGAACTAGGGTTTGGGTAGATTATATAAAATAATCGGGTGTGGTTATATTTTCATTTCCAAAATTACCCTAAAATAATCTTGACAGTAAGATTAAAAAATAAGGAAAAATAGTTAATCAAATAGTATATAAAGAGGTTGCTACCGTGATTACTAAAAAAACAAGTAATCACCCTAACCTATTCCGGAATTTTTTAGAACTTAGTTTGGCCCTGCTGCAGATTTTGCAGAAGCAGCTTCTAGCTGGAGCTTTTAGATAAGTACTTTTCAAAAAAAGCAGTTGAGTGTTTGGCTGTAAAACTATTAGAAGTGTTTTTTACAGTGTTGTCAAAGCCGAACCGAGCCGGCCGACCGGACCGCCAAAGCCGCCACCCGGTCGTAAAACCGGCTCGGATCAGCTATTTAACCACCACGGTTTTATACAGCGGCCGGCGAGCGGCCGCAGCGGTTAACCGCTCGAGCCGCTCAAGCCGGTCGCGCGGTTCGGCCGTTTGGTTTACCCTAAAAAAAGGGCCAATCGTGGAATGGGGCAGCCAAACAAAACCCTAACTTTCATTTTATTTCTTCATCTTCGACCTAGAAGTAGAACAGACGACAGAGGGAGAGCGGCGCCACCCTGCCGCCGTCAACCATCGCCCCAGCGCTTCCGTCCCGTCGCCGCAAGCAGCGCGCCATCCGACAGCGGGGTAATTCATCTCCCTTCTTCTTCTTCACTCTTTCCGTTGGTTCTGGGGATTTCTATGTTAGCATTTCTCCAGTGTGGGTATTATTGGGCTGTCGGTGGCGATTGGTTTACTGGGTATTTGATTAGTGGTGGATCTAGTAGTCGTTTGTCTAATCTTGACGTGATTAGCGTAGATTTTGAGATTTGCTGACAGGGGCAGCTAGTTTGCTTACGAAATGGACTACTGGGGGATTAATCGATTAGATCTGTCTTCTAGAAGTTTCAGAATGGTAGTGTTAGATTTTCCATTGTAAATTTGCTGATTTGATCTTCTTCTTTTTTTTTTGTACCGGTTCTCAAACGGTTTTTAAACGGTCTAATGGCGGCTGGACCACTAATGACCGAACTGTTCACGTTACCGGGTCATACTCCGGCTCGGCTTTGACAGCATTGGTTTTTTAATATGAGAGGTTGTGTAAAATGACTATAAAGGGCTTATAATATAAAATATGAATAAAAACCATAAACAATAAAAAGTAGTCAAAATGGATATTGTTAGATTTCTTTTATATTAAATAATATGATTTTATAATTTATTTTATTTTTAAAATGATATAAATGAAGGAAAATTATATTTTCTGAAATAAAATTAAAATATGGTAAGGATAATCTTGTATTTTCAAAACAGCTTTTCGCAGAAGCTCCAAAAGCCGAGCTTTTATAGGTGTTTGGCCCTGCTTCAGCTTTTGTAACCGAAAAGCACTTCTAAAAGTCGGGCCAAACATTGAAAAAAGAAAACCCCAACAGATTCATTTCCTGTGCACCAAGATACCTTTCACTGTACATTGGGACCCATGTGTACTATTTCAACTCGGATTGGTCTTCGGTGTGGGCGAGTGCAGGGAGGGCGCTCATTGGATCCTGATGAAATTTTTGTGGTTCGGTTGCCTTTGTACTTCTGATTTGACTTCTGGTTGAGTGGCAAAGAGAGAATCCTTACTCGCGTTGGCCACACGGACGCTCTGTTTGGATAGAGGCGTAAATGTTGGGGGGGCGTAAATCCCAGGGGTAATGCCCTTCCCGATAAGTTTGCACCTGTTTGGGAAGTTTTTGAACAGTAGGGGGCGGATGAATAGAGGCGCAATTCTACTGTTTTAGTGTACCCCCACCCAAATTGAGGCGGAAGTGGAGAGAGAAAAAGCTGAACGATTTCTCTTTTTTCTGAAAATTTTTTCTCTCTCTTTCCTCCGTCAAATCTGCCCGTGAATTCACCTCCACTGGCGTGAGAAAGAAGCCCACACCACCGCCGGTAACACCTAAAAAACAGAATCCATAACCCAGAATCAAGAAAAGCCGTCAATATATACCCAAAAATCATAGAATTAACCCAAAAGAAACATGCATGCCCAAAGCGTTACCTAATCTAGAATTCAGATCCCCTCTCTGCTTTCGTCGGCGGCTTCTGATCTCCCGCCCTCATCATCGTTGCAGGCCCGGCCCAGACCCTGTGCTGGTCTGACCCACAGCACAGGGCCTCAATATCTTGGGGCCTCAGTCTGGAGAAGGAGCTAGAGTCAACCTGGGCCGTATAGGCGGGGCGGAGTTGCGAGCCCAACATAAGCCCTCCCAGAGGAGAGGCCCGGAGGCGGATCCAGAGCCAACTCATCAGGCCCATCACGAAAACCATATTCACAAGACCAGGGAGAAGGATTCGAACCTTGAACCTCCTTTTTATTAAAAAGGTGTTCGAACCACTGAGCTGGAACTCGCTTTATGAATTTATACTAACAACTAAAGTATTTAACAGCTCTCTTATCCTCTTCCCCAAAATTTCTCAATTTCCTAATACCATCCAACGCCTAAATATTATTTATTCACACCAAATTCTAATTAACTCCTAATTAATATCCATCCCTACTATCCAGACTCCTAATCAACTTGTTTTAAGTTATAATAATTTTTTTTTCTTTTGCAGGGAACTTAATCTTGATTGAAAATTTGGAATCATTAATCTTTGGTTATAATTTTCAATTATGTGAATCCAAAAATTTGAAAAAGGTAGTTCTAAGCGTAAAAGAAAACAAAAAAATTGAGGAGCCTGAATACTACTAGCCGATCTTGATGGTGATTCAAAAATTGAAAGTGAAGCTCAATCTTTGACACAAAATGAACTTTCGATGGTGTTGAGTTTATTGTTTCATTAGTTATTTGGTATGAAATGTTGCACTCAACAAATTCGGTTAGTAAATATTTACAATCCAAAGATATGCTTATTTATAATGCTATTTTAGAAATAGATAGATTGATTTCATTTTTCAAAAGATATAGAGAAGATGGACGGGCTAGATTACATTTTAAAAAAAATACTATATGATTGTTACTTTTGAACAATGATAGATAATACTCTTATTTTTGTGTATCATTTTCTGAATTTATGTAATTTGATTATTAGTATATAATAATTATAATTTTTAATAAATTTAGAGAACAAATTTTGGGCCACATTTAAATTGTCGAACAGGGCCTCCGAATATCTTGGGACGGCCCTGCATCGTCGCTTTTCCGATCTCCCCCGGTGAAAAATCGTCGGAGTTGTGGGAAGATCGACGGTAGCGGCCGGAGAGCTTGAGGGATTGGATTGGGGAGATAGAGAGGAAGAGAGAGTGTCGGAGAAATCAGAGAAGGGAGATGGAAGGCTGAAAGACAGAGGAAGAAGATACGTTGTAGATTTGGTGTGGATTTGGTCGTCTAATTAGTTTTGTCAAAAAGGAAATTAGTGAGAGAGAGAAGGAATAATGGAACGGGGAGGAAAGGTTGAACGCGGAGAGTGTATGGATTAACGTTGGGGAAGATTAAAAAAATAATTACTTTTTGATTTTTGTATTAATTTACTAATAAAATATTATTAATTAAACAAATCCCACCTATTTGCACTCTCCTACTTTTTTTCCCAAACAATTATTTGCACCCCAATTTACACCCTTCTCAAATTTGCTCCCCTACAATTTGCACCTCAATTTGCGCCCCTCGAATTTGCACCCCTTATTGCCAAACATAGCGGGAAGCTGCAACTTGCATATTCATCATTTTGGGTTCACGTGGGGGTAAGATATTTTGTACTTTTATTTGTTGGGCATACCACCACGTTGCTCTTCAAATTTTGTCCACTCATTTCAGCTACCACAACATTGGTTTCTCTGCCTGTCTTCTCACTTTGTCATTTTTTTTAGAGAAAAAACAATATTAACAACACAGCCTACTGAAGCACGACAATATCTCTCCCCGTCCCTCTCTCTTGATCTCTTTCCCTCTCCCCCGACGTCGCAGGCGAAGTTCTCAACTGGAGAAAAGGATTTGGAACTTCAGAATCCATCCCCCGACATCACAGGTTTTGGAAACTGTGTACTCTGTAGTTTGCTATGACGACGTCGATGTTCTAATTTTAGGTTTTCTTATGATTCATGCAATTCTATGGGGATCTCGCAGCAGCAGCGAGAGGGATGGAGTTCCGCTTTCGCAGTGATCAGCTACAGTGGATCGCTGGGTTCAATCGATCGAAAATGAGGTTCCCTTTTCCACTTCTGCATTTGATGCGAAGCTTCTCCTTCTCTTTTCAAAATTTATACTATTTGGATCTGAGTGGGTATGCTCTCTCTTTGTGATTTCATCATTTTTGCAACCATACTCGGACGATCTCATCCATCATCTTGGTCGAAACGACTACTCAGATCGGGGATGCCTACGGGGGGCCTCTAACTTCATATCTCCAGGTATTCTCTTTTGATGTCCTTTAGTTTTGTTCTCTCTTACAAACGCTATAATCCACTGAACGTGATTCTCCTCTCTCAATCTCGAAGAAGATTCATTCCTCTGTTTTTATGTGTCGTGTTTCTCTGACTTGATTTTTTCCCCTGTTGTGTTATTAGGTTATGAAGTGAATGATCTGAGATGAAGTCGTGTGGCTATAGATTGGGTTTGGAACGATTGATTCGGCGAATTTTATAGATTCACAGTTTTTGTTTTAGTTCCAGGTAATTGTTTGGTCTCGCTGACCTTTTTACTTTGCTTTTATCGTTTCTCTTAGACGGGGTCGTACACATTTTCCCTCATCAGGTTGTGCCATCTTCACTCTTCAGGTGGAGGGGTGCTGCATTCTGTTCAGTTCAGAGATTCTGGCGAGTGGAGGTAGTCACGGTGCCATGATTTTAGTGGAGTTGTCCTTCTCCTGTTGGCATATTCGTTTTTGCTGCCTCGGTAATGCATGATATGCATATTTTGGTTTGGTCTGATCTTTATGGTTTAGTATTCGTTTTGCTATGGAGTTCTTTGATCGTGGACTACCAAAATGCCATGGGTTGATTAGAACAGATCCATTCTTTTCATTTTACTTTATCAGGCCTATGTTCTCATTTCTGTTACGCGAGTGGAAGTTTGTTTTTCCTACTAGGAAATCTCCCCAAGTAATTAGATCTTTTTATTATGTATTTCAATTAGCTTCGAAATCAATCACCCAATAGATTATTGGTTTTACATGATGTTTTATCTTTCTATTTAGTGGGATGATTATTACTATGAATCAATGTTGGGTTGTTTCACAGGTCTCAAAATGGATGCTGACCTCTAATCAGTTGGGTTTATTTGGATTCCTATTGAAACACAACCTCCTATTCGTGACACTACTTATGGATAAACATTTTCATCTTGCCACATTAGGAATGAATGAGAATGTTGTTATTTTTCAAATTAGGAATTGGCGAATTGCACACACTTGGTCAGAATCTATCATTGATATGTTTTCATGTCTTCTGCTGGCCGCCTAACTTTGTCTCTAATTATTTCTTCTCTTGAAATGCCAATGAGAATGCTGTTATTTCGAATTGCAATGCCAGGTGTTAATTTTCGGAAGTTAATAATTGTGTTCTTTGTTATCACATGAATTGGATCATTTTGTTAACACCTTCTACTAACACAAGTTATTGCAATCCAACGATAAAACAGTATTTCTAAATTCTCACCCATCCCGGCGCAGAGTGCGAGCAATGAAAACTAGTTAGAAGTATAATTGCACAAAACAACTTGCACAGTACATCTAGACTACTTTACACGGCTCATTTATACCTAATTTCATTGTTCACTCTCATCTGATTGGTTGTTGGGCTGTGGTGGGCCCTCAGTGTCCTCGTCGTTTTGGTGTTCTCTTTCTTGCATTTGTTTGGAGAGATCTAGAGGAAAATCGCATTGGTCAGAGCGATACTTTGTGGGGCTAATGATTTTTTGGGTTCTTCGCCTGTGAGACAAAGAGTTCTTTTGTGGATGCTCTGCGGAATGGGGATTTATGTAGCCGTTTCGTCCCATCAATGGCTTTGGGTGGGAGATGGTGACTGATTGATGCAGGGTTTTCATCTTGCAGAGAAAGGAGAGGAAGGTCAGTGAGACTGTCGAATGACATGGGACACTCTGTCTTGAGGCAAAGCGAAGAAGAAGAAGAAGGTGAAGAAAGCTCCAACGGTCAAAAGCTCAAGACAGAGGAAGAAGAAGGAGAAGAGCAGCGTTTAGATTGATACGCTGTCGTCCCAACTAGTCTGCACATAGTTAGTTTATAGTTGTGAATATTAAGTGTAATTACCTGATAGGATCACTTGTCACTTGACGAGAGGACGAGGCCGTTAGAGGCGTTTTGTCCTGTAGCTTCTCTTTTGCTGTACATAACCTGCAGCTGAGCTGCCAGTGAAATTCAGAAAAGGTTTCACAAACATTCCTGCCTTCCCTTTACAATTATTCTCATGGTATCAGAGCTTCTGGCTCACCTCACCTAGGGTTTCGTGACCTTGCAAACGCGCCGCCATGGCGACTCACACAGAAGATTCCTCTTCCACTACTCCAAGAGCAACTGCCATGACAGGAGCAACTCCTCAACCAATCCTGCGGCCTGCAGTCGATCCATACTACGTCAACCCCAACGAAAACCTATCTCAAGGTATCATCTCAGTAAAACTCGATGGATCTAACTATCATGTATGGAGTAGATCTATGAGGATAGCTTTGAAAACCAAGAAGAAACTTGGGTTCATAAATGGCACTCTGCCTATGCCTGAAGAAACTAATCCTGACTATGAAGCTTGGGATCAGAGTAATACCAACGTTATGGGTTGGATTCTCAATTCTCTGCTCGATTCCATAGCTGAAGCTGTTATGGACAACGAGATAGCCTAAGATCTATGGAATGATCTTCAGGAGCGATATGGAGAAGCTGATTCCATTCGCTTAGCTCATGTTAAAGGGCTGATCTCAACCTGCAAACAAGGAGACAGCAATGTGACTGACTATTACAACAAACTAGGGGTTCTATGGGAAGAATACCTATCATTCAAATCCATACCAGCTTGTGAATCCAGTGGCACACCACATACAATGTCCTGTGCAACCTATGCAGCTGTTAAGGAATCTAAGGAACAGGACCATACTATTGATTTCATTATAGGTCTGAGTGACTCATTTGAGCTGACCAAGAATCAGCTACTGCTCATGGACCCTGCCCCAAGCCTGAAGTTAGCCTACAAGCATGCTCTCAAACTTGAGAGACAAATGGGTAAACAGCCCACAAAAGAAGCAACTGGGGTAGACTCTATGGCCCTAGCTGCTGTGAATCCAAACAAAGGAAGAGACCAAAGGCCTGATTACCCTCCTGGGAACAGAACAAACACATACCAGGGGAGCTACCCTGGAAATGGCAACCCAAGAGGCAACAATGACAGCACCAGCAACAACCAGCAGGGCCTTTTCTACAACTATTGCAAGAAGACAAATCACAACATATAAGACTGCTGGAAACTGAAAAGGAAGAGAGGAGAAATGCCTGGACAAGCTTATGCAGCAGCAACCAGCAGTAGTGGCCCTAGTGAGCAAGGTTCAGACAACCCTAGTGGAGACAATGAGCACACCTACAAACCAAGCAACACAACAACATTAAGGCTCACTACTGATGACTGCAACAGGCTGATGATGTTACTGCAACAAACTGCTGGGAATCACCAGTCACAACCTGCCATTCAGCCACAAGCACACTATGTGTCAAGGCACTTGACTCCCATGCCAAACAATGCAGGTAAATACACACTATCGTCTTTCTCTTCCTCACAACATTTAGAACTAATGAACATTTGGATCATTGATACTGGTGCATCTGATCATATGTGCTGCAAACTATCCCTTTTCGCATCCTACCAACCAGTAGATAATGTTTTTGTTATCCTGCCTACTGGCACTAGAGTCCAGGTCAGCCACACTGGAACAGTCCAGATCAACCAAAACCTTACCCTGATGAATGTGCTTCACATTCCAAGTTTCACCTTCAATCTTCTCTCAGTTAGCACTCTTACCAGGACTCTTCCTATATCCCTAACTTTCAAATCCGACTTCTGTGATGTTCAGGCCCTTCCTTCACAGAAGAGGATTGGTTTTGCAAGAGAGGTTAAAGGGCTCTACCAACTCCAGACCACCACTCCCATCATCCACACACCTACCAAAGCCACTGCAGCAGCTACCTCACTCAACCACACAGAAGAAACAGCACTATGGCATGCAAGACTAGGCCATCTTTCCAATTCTAGAGTTAGAATTTTCCAAAAATGTAATGTTGACTTACCTCTGAACAATGTTAGTCACTGTGAGGTTTGTCATCTTGCAAGACAGAAGAAAGCACCTTTCCTTTCCAGTTTACATGTTTCCCAACACCCCTTTGATCTCATACACACTGACATTTGGGGGCCAGTCAATACCAAGTCTTATGATGGATTTTCTTACTTCCTTACCATAGTAGATGATCATTCCCGAGCAGTTTGGGCTTACCTAATGAAACAAAAATCTGAAGTCAGATCAATTATCCAACAATTCTACACCATGATCAAAAACCAATTCAATCAAACCATCAAATCCATTAGGAGTGATCAGGGGCAAGAATTTCACATGACTGAATTTTTCAGAGAGCATGGCATCATCCACCAAATGTCATATGTCGAGAGGCAACAACAAAATGGGAGAGTGGAGAGAAAACACCAAGACTTCCTAAACATAGCCAGATCACTAAAAATCCAAGCCAACTTACCCTTACGTTTTTGGAGTGACTGCATTCTTCACGCAGTACACATCCTTAACCGCTTACCTACCCCCATTCTATCCAACCAAACCCCTTTTGAAAGACTCTACCACAAGCCACCAGACTACTCACACCTCAGGGTATTTGGATCACTATGCTATGCATCTACCCTAGAAGCTGGCAGAACCAAATTTCAACCAAGGGCAAGGAAATGCATTTACCTTGGCCTTGTTCCTGGCCTCAAAGCCTATAAGGTCTTTGACCTTCACACCAACAAACCATTTGCCTCCAGAGATGTACTCTTCCATGAAACCATCTTCCCCTTTGCTTCTACCAATACAGACCAGGCCCCAACACAACCAGAACACACTTCTTCATCCCCTCAAACTTCCACCTCAGCACATATGCCATAAGACATGCATTTAGATCATGATTTATTTGTTCCTTATGTTACTGATCATCAAGTCCCTCTGGTTTTATTCCCTTTGACACTATTGATGGCCAAGATGTTGAGGCTTCTGAGGAAGTTCTCGATTATGAAGAAGAGGGGGCAACAGATGAAGCTTTTGAACATGAAGAGGCTCAACCCACTCTAAGGAAATCGACCAGGAAAACAACTGCACCTGCCTGGCACAAGGACTACTATCTGGGAACAGGTACTGCTGCACAAAAGTATCAGTACCCAATCTCTTCTCACATGGATTTTTCCCAACTAAGTCAATAGCATAAGCACTTCTCCCTAGCAGTCACAAACCGCCAAGACCCCCAATCTTACCATGAAGCAGTGAAAGAGGAATGTTGGAGACAAGCCATGAAGGCTGAGAGAACAGCCCTAGAACTCAACAACACATGGGATGTGGTAGATGCCCCACCTGGAAAGAAGCTGGTAGGCAGCAAGTGGGTTTACAAAACCAAGCTACTTGCTGATGGATCAATTGAAAGGCGTAAGGCCAGAGTGGTTGCAAAGGGTTTCACACAAGTGTATGGTGTTGATTTCCTTGATACCTTCTCCCCAGTGGTGAAGATCAACACTGTGAAAACCCTCCTAGCTGTTGCCTCAGTCAAGAATTGGGAACTAAGTCAGATGGATGTAAGCAACGCTTACCTAAATGGAGAGTTGGAAGAGGAGGTGTACATGAAGTTACCTCCTAGGATGGAAATACCTTGCAAAGCGTGCAAGCTAAAGAAGTCTCTTTACGGCCTCAAGTAGGCTGGGAGACAATGGTATGCAAGACTCACAGATGCCCTGATCAGGTTTGGATTCAGTCAATCCTATTCAGACTACTCCCTTTTCACTAAGAAGACAAATCAAGGGATTACCACCATTCTGGTGTATGTCGATGACTTAATACTATCAGGAGATGATCAGGACATGATTCAAGAGGCAAAGACATTCCTGTCAAAGGAGTTCAAAGTCAGGGATCTTGGAAAACTGAAATATTTCCTGGGTTTGGAAATCGCAAGAAGCAGTGCTGGAATTTCAGTCACTCAGAGGAAGTATTGCCTTGATTTGTTGATTGACACAGGATTCCTAAGCTCAAAACCAACCAAGACTCCCTCAGACATGAAAACAAGACTATCACAGTTCAACGACGAAGAATCAGAAGATCCATATGAGTACAAATCCCTGGTTGGAAGACTAAGCTACCTAACTACTACAAGACCTGATATCTCATACTCAGTGCAACAATTGTGCCAGTTCCAAGCACAGCCCAAGAGGTCTCACCTTAAGGCCTCACATAGGATACTCAGGTACCTCAAGAATTCTCCAGGCCAAGGATTGTTCTTCGCATCAAACACTGATTTCACCCTAACGGGATACAGTGACTCGGATTGGGGAGCTTGCCCCGACACGAGGAGGTCAATTACAGGGTACTGTACATTTCTGGGGGACTCGCTCATTACCTGGAAAGCTAAGAAGCAGGCGATCGTCTCGAAGTCCTCGTCCGAGGCTGAATACAGAGCCCTATCCCAACTGCCGTGCAAGATACAGTGGATCACCCAATTGCTGAAGGATTTGAATGTCGACTATAAGGGTCCGGCCACCGTCTTCTGCGACAACAAATCCACCATACACATGGCAGAGAACCCGGTTTTCCACGAAAGAACCAAGCACATCGAAATCGACTGCCATGTGATCAGGGAGAGGGTAAAATCGAAGCTAATCAATCTGAAGTATGTGTGCACTGACAGGAATTTAGTTGACATATTCACCAAGGGTTTAAGTGCACACAGATTCAAGTGGATTCTCTTCAAGCTGGGAGTATACGACATATACTCGCCAGCTTGTGGGGGACTGTCGAATGACTTGGGACACTCTGTCTTGAGGCAAAGCGAAGAAGAAGAAGGTGAAGAAAGCTCCAACGGTCAAAAGCTCAAGACAGAGGAAGAAGAAGGAGAAGAGCAGCGTTTAGATTGGTTTAGATTGATACGTTGTCGTCCCAACTAGTCTGCACATAGTTAGTTTATAGTTGTGAATACTACGTGTAATTACCTGATAGGATCACTTGTCACTTGACGAGAGGACGAGGCCGTTAGAGGCGTTTTGTCCTGTAGCTTCTCTTTTGCTGTACATAACCTGCAGCTGAGCTGCCAGTGAAATTCAGAAAAGGTTTCACAAACATTCCTGCCTTCCCTTTACAATTATTCTCAGAGACTGCGAGTGGAGAATGGAAATATTAGAAAGGGAAAATTCACAACTCTTTTTCTCCACCACATGTTCAACCTAACCTTCAACTCCACTATGTTTCTTTTTCCTCTTTCCTCAACCTCTTCTCGATCCCATCTCAAATGGATTTCTTACCATAATGTTTCCTCCTCAGAAAGATCTCATTAATTGGTTTCTTTCTCTTCTTTTCACCTTCAAAAGATTGGTTGGAGCAAGAAGGGAGTGAGATCTGCGTTGTATACGGATGGAAACTGAACAGCGGATTCAAGTGGTCATTGCAAGCGGCCACCTAGGAATGGCCGAGAATCCATCTATGACGTGGAGAGAACGCGGAGAAGACCTAGAACCGCCAGATTTGCTGCACCTCTTTAATTGTTGATCGGGGTTGGACAATACCCACGACCTGGGAAGACGAAGTCCACGCACAAAGGGAAACCAGATTTGCGAACCATGCTGTTGAAAGGTGAGGTTTTTATGGTTTTGTTTTATCTTTTTTCTGTGGTGCTTAGTTTTTTTTTTCCAGCTTTGTAATTCTTTTTCTTTCTCTTTTCCAAAGAAATGCAGGCGACGAGTTCTTGATAGAGATTTCGTTGGTCGGGGATGGTTGTTGAATCCCAGTTAGAGGCCAATAAATGGAGAGGATTGCTTGGATTTGATGGGCAATCGATCGAGAAACCCAAAGTGAATCATAATAGCCTCCGAAAATGGATTCCGGGTGAGATTTCTCGCTATCTCTCATCCATCGCTGTTGAGTAACTCTACATCTTACTCTGGTTCTTCTCTGTTTTCCTTTCTCAGCGGTGTTTATGAAGCAATCTCCTCATTGTGTGTGCGGTCAATTAAGCCAGTAAGGTCGCCTTTGCTGGAGCAAGAAGTAATTGGTTCTTTACTGATTTCTCGCTCTTATTTATCCGAATTAGTTTGTCTAACCAGTTAATGCATGATGGGAAAGCAGATTCGGCTGCCACTCAGAGTTATCTGTTGCCGTATGTGAGCGGTTCTGCGTGGGTTTGGAAAAGATCAAGATCTAAACTTTCTTATTGGCATTGTACCTTCTGGTTCAGGTGATTGTTCTATCTGCCTCTTGGATGAGTTTCTACTCTTTCCTATGAATTTATTTTTCCTCTGTTTCTTCAATGGCGGGCATATTCGTTGGTTTTGATGTCACAGGTGTAGCAGAAACAACATTACTGGATACACATGTTAGTTTTGGAGCTGATTCGATATCTCTGACATAATATTTGTAGTCCAAATGCCAAGTTTTCTTCTTTTGTAAAGGAATCTATCATGTCCCTTCCCCTGATTTCTCCTATCTGTCGCTCTAAGATGAGTGGAACCCTTGGTTGGTCAATGGATTTGAAGGGTACAGAGAGGGCTGCAAGAAGATGCAGATCAACGTATTGGCGTTTTGGTTTCGGTAATTGTTGCTTTAATGATTGAGTTTGCCTTGCCTTCATGAATCTCATCTTTTCTTTGCTATTGACGACCACAATTTGACTTCAACTCTGTGATTTTTTCAGCTGTCTTCTTAGACTACATCGAAGGTGGTTGGGTGTTTGGAACAAGGAATGAACACATGTGTACGCTGGTTTATCCCATAGTGATGGATTTTAATCTTGACATCCACTTTTTTTGTATTGTCTTTAACCCATTGCGGTTGCAGTAGGTTGCATTCGGGTTACGGGTAATGATATTCTTCTTTTGTGTTGTTGTTTGTGTGCTTTCCCTTCTCTTAATGTTGAGCATAGTGTTCGTTTGTGGATTAGGAGATGAAGTTATTCGTCTGTCCGTTTGGCTGATAGTGTCTTTTTTCCCATTAATGCACCGACGAGAAAATTTGGTCTTCTGCTGTAGCCTTACAACAAATTTTTATTGTATAGCGGTTGGCTGCAGAATGATCAAATCAATACCAGCAAGCCTTCAAACCACTATTCACCATCATATTTTGTTTTCCCTTACAACAAACCGGTGTTCTTGGTGTGGCAATGATTGAAAATGTGATTCAAGCCCTGCATAATTGTAAAATGTATACTTTGTGAAAGCATTCAAGAGACAAGTGTCAGACCAAAATATTTTCAGTACAGGTTTTTTTTACCACTTTTGTGGGGAACTTTCTTCAAAAGTATCTGTAGATTGATTAAAAGTTTGACGATAAATTTTGCTTTTGAGGGATCCCCTGTAATATTTGTTGTTGATAAGTTTTTCCTAAAATATTCTTTGCTTGGTTTGTTTGCGAAGTTCTTGGGTAGGGAAGCTTCAATATTTCAACTTATTTGTATTAAGCGGTTCGATGTAGTCTGTGCTACAACTGTAATTTGCAACAGATTATAGTTGAATGTGTTTTTGTATGCGCTTTTTGATATTAGAAGAATTCTTTTTTCCTTTGTAAGGGTAAACTGATTAAATTATTAAGAAAGAACGCAGAAACCATGGAAAAAAAAGACGAATAAGGGAGAGCAAAGGGGGTGGGGGAAAGCTCTCTGCAACTGGCACTACAAGCATGAACATACGCCCACCGCTCCAAGAAAAATGATATATACGGATCGTACAACATTTTTATTTGTGTTTGCACAAATTATTAGAGATCCATATTCATAATATGTAATATGTTAATGCTCATGCATTCGTATTCTAGGTGATTGGAAGTTCAAATCTACATTTCTTCAAATTATCAGTTTTGCTTTATGAATATTCAGACTCAATATTAATTCAATGAGAACTATATGTGAACTCCTACTTTTTACTATTTATTTATAACTTTTTTTTATATTCATTTGCAAATTAATTATACATTGATCGCATGAAACATGAAATGCAACCTGTCTATTTTGCGATTGTATCTCAAATCCCGACGCGTAGCGCGGGTAGGAAATACTAGTAGGGATTATTTGTCTAGATCTACATTTGCTGTTGGGGAGATGGATGGAGGGAACCTACACAGGCTTTTAAGTGGCAGGCATGCTGGGGGAGAAGAAGCCAACGTCGATAATTCATCTTCTTATCCAGCCAGATTTGAAGTAGAGAGGCGCTTACCAAGCCAAAACGCCAACACGAAAGTTGCCCCTTTTTCATGGGGATTTACTCATTGCAGAGATGCGGTGATCTGATATGTATTGGTCTTCTTCTCTGTAGGTCAGTTAAGCTCCAACAATGCCAGGACTGCAGCAGCCAACTGCAGTAGTGTAAGCACAAGCAAAGTGAAACGATCAATGTGTTAAATGGTTCCCAAGAACTCGGACAATCTTCGTCTCTAATTGGTAGGTCACCCTTGTTTGATCAAATGCAGCTTAGGTAGTCATCTAATTCACCCTTATTTGCCCAGTACACTGACTTCTTACCAATGCTTCTTCCTGTTCAGTTGGAAATTCTTATAGATGATGGGATTCCTTGGAGTTGTTTGGAAAATATATCCTCAGTGGTAAGTCTCTATATTTTTCTTCTTGATCTACCTCTTTGTTCAATGTTGTGACCGCTGAATATCCGGTCACTCTATTCCAGGATGCTGTCATAGATGATGCTACTTCCATCCCGACCATGTCATAGGTGAAGCAAAACAAATTTTACAACATAATTGCCTTATTTTGCTTTGTTTTAATCTATTGAACTCGAATTGATCATAAAATAAGTCTTATATATAAAGTTGGATCCAGCATGTTGAATGAGCAAAACTCTACTCTCTCCCAAAAGTGGGACACATTGTTGAGAGTACAAACCCTGCCTGGCTACTGATAATGAAGAAGAATGTGGTGCTACCGTTTCAGCTGGATATATTGACATGTTGCTCCCCTTGCACATGGTTATATTGGAGGGCAAAAACATGGTCAGATTTGATTGGAAATTGAAACCTGTATGCTAATACTTTAGAGGGGCCTTAAAATCTTCTTTCTTTATTACCACACCTTAATAAATTAACGTGCACAGAAACCTTGAATCATGCTTTCTTTGTTGATGCACTTTACCTTATTGCATGCCTATATGATGAAATTCTCTCATGAGTTCGTTAGGATCCAGCATATTGAATGAGCAGAGCCATTTGCGCAGGACTGCTAATCTCTGTTACTTGTGTTGGTTGCTTGGTGAAGTTTGTGTCTAGATCCATCGGTTCTAATTCTCACTATTGTCTTATCGATTTGTTTTTGTTTTTCCTTAGTGTATTTCTTATATATATGGTAAAGAGATTTTTATTTTATTTCTCACTACTAATTTGGTACGCACTTGCAGCGAACAAGAAATGCAGTAGCAGCAACATAAACAATGCAGCCAGTAGCAATAGTCGACCTTCGTGGAGGAGCTCAGAGTTCATCAAATTACTTACTGTTGGGGCTACGGGACATCCAAGATTGGTGAGTTGGTATGGGATACAAATTGCATATCTCAAGTCTGAATTACTACATCTGTTCCATTTTTTTGGAAGCCGGTGGGGTGAGGATTTAGTTGACAAGCTGTTAGTTTTTAGGTATGAGATGCATTACAGTTGATCTTGAATAAATCGCTTGGTCTCAACTGTTTTGGAACTTAAGTTGTGGGTTTGATAGGCTAATCGGGGAATCTGATTCATTATTCTCCCTTTTTTCTGAATTGTGGTTGTAGCTGAAAGAAGGGTACTTGCACAGTTTCAGTCTTGATTATGTGAATTAGGAGGCTGTGATAGTGATGAGCTGTGACTGATTCATACCAATTGTGACCCAGTATTCATCTTTTTGGGATTACATGAATCTCTTAGTCTTAAGTCTTAACGGTTTTGTAACTTAAATTGTGGGTTTGATAGGTTAATCTGGGAATATGATTCATAGTTATCTCTTTTTTATTTTTTTTTATTGTTGTTTCAGCTCAAAGAAAAATACTTCTCTTGCAGAGTTTGTCTTGATTATGTTGAATTCAACTCAGGAGGTTGTGATAGTGGCGAGTTGGGCGATGATTCACAATGAGAAGTGGCCTATGACTTGTAATCTTTTCTTATTTCATTTGAGTAGTAGTTTCAGATATCGTTAGTTACGGTAGCTTCATGGTGGAATGTCTTAAACAAGTGTATGTTGTTGTCTGGTTACTCTGTCCAATCTGCTACTGATGTTTTCTGATTCTTGCTTGCTTACTTAATTTCCTTTTAATTACCGTGCTGTATTGATTTTATGGTATGTATTAACAACCAACTACAACACATCAATCATACTTTAGGGTTCAATGACTATTTCCTTTGGGATACACAAGCATCTGTTCGAACCCCCACTCTGACATATAGATGAACTGTCCACGACAGTCTTTTTTTTAATATATATGTCTGTGAATAAGTGTTTGAAACCCAGTTTCTAACTATTTGGACTTATTTGTCGGTTTATTATTAGTTAGAGGACTTCATATGTTATTTCTGGGTATTTTTGAATTATTTGGGTATTATAGGGTATTAAGAGAATATTGGGTAGTTATAGTGAAATTGTCAGATTATATATTTTGTAATCGTGAGATTAGGAGGTAAAGCAATTATAGAACAATAATTCCCAACCCTACTCCCTCTCTTTCTCTCTCCCCACTCGGCCAACTTCTCCCTTTCCCTTCCCCTTGTTGCCATCGCCTCCCACCTTGGAGGAGGCTTCTGTTTCTTCTTCCTTCCCTCAAATCAACCTTCCCAGACCCCCAGTTTCTATATTCTCAATCCCTAATTCCCATATCACTTGTGATTTCTGGTTCCTCAATGATTAGTGAACCATAATTGTGCACGCCTAGATCAAGGTTTCTAACAGTGGTATCAGAATCTGGCTGGCGTGCGGGTTCAAGAGAGATCAAACAAGATGTCATATGGAGTAGACAAAACGCAAAAGACGCAGAAGGAGTATATGGTCGTGAATGATAACACCAAACATGAGACGATGCTGGGTTTCATGAACAAGATCGCGGACAATCAGATGGATGCTCGCGAGAAGCTGCAAATGGTGGTAGCGCGCATCGAGGACTCTACATGTCGTATCGGCGAGGAGTTGGCTGGGTTCCGAACCATGATGGAGAAGGTGTTGGAGAAGATGTTGGAGCAGCAGACCCAAGAGCCGCGACTGCACGACCCGACAGAGCCGACGAGGTCGGCGGCCGAGGCGGCGATGAGCAAGGAGGCCGCTGCGAGCGGTGAGGCGACCGCGGTGGCGCCGGGCAGCGAGGCGGGACGCGTGGAGGTGGCTGGGAACCCTAGCCGCGCGGGCCAAGGCAACGTTGGGCCCACCCCTGGAGCGGGCCAACCGCTCAGGCCCACGACCTAGGAAATCGCGACGGCCCGCAGAAAAGGAAAGGTGGCCAGGTACGAGGGTGCGGTGGTCGAGTTCGGGCCGGAGCCCTGGGGGTTCGGATGGGGCCGTTATGGGCCGGGCGGATGGATGGGCTATCTAGGCCCACATCGCGACCGGGCGGAAGAGGAGTTGAGCCTGGCGGGGTACGGCGGAAATTGGGCCAATCCTGGGCCGTCCGGAGCTGGGTTGGGCTGGGTCATGAGCCCGAACCCGGACGAGTTGTTGGGTCAAGTGCCAACCGGTCCAACAGGGTCGACCGAACCGATTCAATCTGAGTCGAACCGAATCGGTTTGGTTCACCTTGAATCGACCCGGTCCCTAGCGGGCAGCAGCAGTGGAGGATGACCAGCAGCTGGAGGGGGCCTTCCGAAGAGCTCTGAAGTGCCATATCCACCTTTGGTGACCCACGGTGCGCGACAAGGGGGAATTGGGCGTACCTGGGAGGCAGGACAGGTGTCGGAAATCAAATCTGGAGAACATGGCGAGCACATGGGAGGGCGCGACGGTTGGTCGTTTCCACAGACTCACTGGGGCGGCGCATAACGCGACCCTAGCGGGGGCCGAGGATTTCCTTCCTATGGCACAGACAGGTATGGCGGGTATAATCCCATGTTTGAAAGTCATGATGATTTGGTCTTTCGAGTTAAGCCGCCAGTGATTGAGTTTTCTAAGTTTGATGGTCTTGAAGATGTGGGTTTATGGTTGTATGCGGTGGAGAGGTGGTTTCGAAACCACTCGACGCGAGAGGAGAGGAAGGCCACCTTAACATCCTTTTATCTGGAAGGGGATGCGTTGCAGTGGTGGGAATGGATAGAACGGTCTTATGTTGCAGCCTGCAGCAGGTACGAAGATAACGTGGGCCTGATTCCAGGAAGAACTCAGGTACCAGTTCGGCAAGGCTGAAGGGTGGGCCCCCGAGCAGTTGGCTAAGCTTAAGCAGACCGACACTGTTGCAGAATACCGGTCAGAGTTCCTGAAGCTGGGTAACCAGTGTAAGGAAATGGGGGAAGAAACATTGGTGAGATTGTGCATGGCAGGGCTGCGACCAGAGCTGGCAGCCGCGGTCAAAGTTTTTGAACCTGACTCTTTGCGAGTTGTTTTCAGGCTTGCAGGTCATAAAGAAGAAGAGTTAGCCAGCTGGAAGGGAGGTAGTGGTCGGGTGACACGGGTGGCTGGAGGGTTCGGTGGAGGGACTGGTGGGGCTGCGAGTTCCGGAGCTGGGGCTACACTAACTGCCGGAGCAGCAACTCCGGTGAGCACAGGATTTCCACCTGGAGGGCGAATTCCGGCTCGTTTGTCGCCAAAAAGGTTCGTGAAGCTTACGCCAGCAGAGATGGAGCAGAAGCACCGGGAGGGTCGCTGCTTCAACTGCGATAAGCTATACACGATCGGTCACCAGTGTGCAAAGGGACATCTGATGTTGCTCGTGGGCAATTGGGAGGGCGAAGCAGAGGAGTTGGCGGTGGGAGGTGCTACGGAGGAGCCGAACGCCGAGAAGGGCGAAGGCCAATCTTGAGGGCATGATTGGTCTTAAGGGGGATGGATTGTTAGAAACCCAGTTTCTAACTAATCTAGGATTTGGACTTATTTGTCGGTTTATTATTAGTTTGAGGACTTCATATGTTATTTCTGGGTATTTTCGAATTATTTGGGTATTATCAAGTATTAAGGGAATATCGGGTAGTTATAGTGAAATTGTCGGATTATATATTTTGTAATCGTGAGATTAGGAGGTAAAGCAATTATAAAAACAATAATTCCCAACCCTACTCCCTCTCTTTCTCTCTCCCCACTCGGCCAACTTCTCCCTTTCCCTTCCCCTTGTTGCTGTTGCCTCCCACCTTGGAGAAGACTTATGTTTCTTCTTCCTTCCCTCAAATCAACCTTCACAGACCCCCAGTTTCTATATTCTCAATCCCTAATTCCCATATCACTTGTGATTTTTGGTTCCTCAACAATTAGTGAACCCTAATTGTGCACGCCTAGATCAAGGTTTCTAACAAGAAGGTTAGACTAATTAGCAATTAAGATAAACATGGTAAAAAGTTGCTTTTTTTTTTGTTTCATTTTCCAAATAGTTTGAGCCATAATTATCTACCGTCCTTCGTCTGTGAAATAGATTAACATGGTTTGAGTTCCTAAAAATACATAGGAGTACCACCAGGATTATCAAAATTGTATGAAGTAGGATTGTTTATGTTACAAATTGATTATGTTACATGAGTACACTATCATTCGTTATTGGAATATTTTATGAGTGTGAAACATACACATCGGTCTAAAAACACTATTATATTCAATGAAAATCCCCAGCGTGGAGCGCGGGCTTCCATTCTAATTTCTTATTAAATTTACATCTTGACCGCCTGCTATCACACAAGCTGATAGCTAAACTTATATAGAGAAAGACTTAGAATTAAAACCCTAACAAGAAGAGTCGAGTACGGCCAAATATCCGTACCTCCTACTACGACCCGGACAAGGCCCAACAAACCCAATACTCATTCGGCCCAATACTCATACGGTTAGATGTACACGCAACACGCTCGATAGGTGGGAACGAAGAGATCAGACTGTCTGACAATTGGTGTGATTCATCAATATCCCTTGATTCATCAATCTTCCCCTGTTTCGTACTTGTTGCTCTGTTTCTCCTACAGCCGCAAGCAAGCGATTCATCAGAATTCCAAATCCATGGAAGACGATGATCATCATCATCACGGCAAGGAAGAGTTGAAGCACCTATGCAAGTACTGCGGCAAGCGCTTCCGTAGTGGCAGATCGTTGGGAGGTCACGTAAGGTCTCATAGAGAGTGGATCTGGGAAAGCTCACCTGAAGTTAATGATGGCATCACCGGCATCTACAAAAAGAAGCTCCGTCCCCTTTCCGACTACAGTTACTCGAACTTTTCTCTACCGTTTTTTATGAATGATTTACTTCGTGCGTTGACAAACTAACAGAGAAAGATGGCAGAGACGAGACTGTAGTCCATCGTGAGTAATTCCCTCTGCCTTTTACTTATTTAATTCCATTAAACCACCAACCATCCGGTGTGCTTTTTCTTCTGTAGGATCAGCTATGGATGAGGAGGAGGACGTGGAGGAGGAGGATGTGGAAGCTTTTCTTGCTTCTTTGGACCCCAACCATGAAATATTGCCACGATCCAGAGTGTTGGAATTGTTAAGTAAAGAAGCAATCGGTTGCCTCACCGCACTTCTCGAACGCAAAATCCCTCACAATCGCTTGGATCTATTTGCTTATGCTGACCGCAGCCGACCGCTCATATTTGAAGCTGCTGAGAGAGGGTTCTATGGGGCGGTCGTATTGTTTTTGCGACATGGGGTTTCTCCCAGTGCTAGGCTACCAACACGCTATGATCGGCCGGAGATGATTCCCATCGATTCTGCAATATTTGCGAGTTGCAGCGAGCAATGGGATTTGAAATTCCGGAACAAGATTGTTTATCATCAAAGGCTCTACAGTTTGATGCTCTGGCTTCCCGAATGGATCAGCAGCAATTTGGACTGGTGGCACACGGTCAAGCTGCTTGGACAGACCACCGAACAGGGGATGCTGGAGATGAGGATTCTGCAGTATGCAAGGAATGGCCAAGCTGCCAGGCTGCTCTGGCTGCTGCTTGCAGTTCCTGACCGAGTTCTCTCCCCCACATTCTTCAGGGACACCACTCTCCAGCAGCGTTTTGGAACTGCCTCCTTGTCACTCCGCAATTTCCTTATTGCTCAGCTTGCTTTCTTCACTGGCATTAGGTTCACCCTCGAACCCCACGGGCGCAGCCACTGGAAAGGGATCCGCCACGATCTGGGGTACAGTAAATCGAGCCTAACGTGTTCCCTGCGATTGCTTGAAGTCTTCCGCAGGGCTGGCCCCCAGTTGTGTCACTTAATGGCAATGTTAGAGAAGGAAAAGGAAATGAAAACAGAAAGGGAAAAGGAGAGGGAAACGTATCCCCTTCTTCCCAATTACCCAATTGCTCAACAGTTCAAGACTGTGCTCAAGGAAGCTGGCTTCCCTATGGCTTCTCTCCAATGGTGTGCAAATTTGTGTCTATATTTTGTTTTGCAGTATGCATAAATGTGTAGCTAAAGTTTGTTCTTTTTTTATGTCGACAGCCCGGACAGAACTACTCACCAGGGCTGGAAGCCGGAGCCTGACTATCACTGGTAGCTAGTCCAATGAACAATCATCATATACATGGCTCTTCTTGTTGTTCTATGTAGATTTACTTATACACTGAAACTTAACCCGGTTGCTTGGAGGTCTTGTAGGACTCCCCAGAGAGATGACTACCCTGAATTGGAGTTCTTGATTCGACCACCACATTTACGCAGAAGTGAAATTCTTGATTCAGACTTCAACAGAGCCATCGAGAAGTTATGGTACACTCCCTTCACTAATTTGCTCAACAATGTCCTTATGAACAATAATTTCTTGTCCATTCAGAGGATATTTCCTATGCATCAACTGATTTCTCAGTTGGTCTTTTGCAGCCAGCATCCTTGCCTGAAGGAATGGACATCCCAAATGTCCATTTTCAAGTTGCTTTTCATATTTTGCCTCCCTGAAGTGGTAGAAAAGATGCAATCCGTGTTACCCCCCAAGTATGTTAACCCTGCAACTGTTATCCAACCTGTGTATCTTGCTGAGTTATGCTTCACATATATTGCGGAGGGCCGAATTGTTGAGTTCACAGCTGCTCTAATGGCTACACAAGTTCTTCTTCGGTTGGGATATCCACTACGTCCTCACACATCTCGTAATAGCAATAATAATGTGGATCATCATCATCGTATGATTGTCCCCACTACTGTCTATGAATCACTGCTGCATGCCTTGATGAGAGTGCTTGATGAAGAAATCAGCTTAACCGGGAAACCTAAGGACGATGACTCTGTTCAAATTTGCAAAGAGAAAAAATTAGTGATATCTTCTGCGTTCCTACTAACCAAGATATTCGAAAAATCTGCACAAGATTTTCATTGGTATCTTCACTCACCAAGATATAAGGTGCGTGTTTCGTGTTTATAATCTAGTTCTCGCTTGAGAACTATCAAACGTGGTCAGTTGGTCACTCTCCCTTGAATGCATATTGCATTGCTTTCCTCCAACAGGAACTTAGGGATTTGAAGTTGATAGTAAATGATGTTGCCTCCTTGCTGAAAGGCACAGGCTTTGCGTTAAGATCCCGAGACATCTGTGTGAATGAGTTAAACTGGTATGTTCTTAGTTTCTAGCAGTATCTTCCTTCCTTTCTCTAAGTTGATAATTGTATATTTCTATGCGCTGTCGTAGTTTCTCGAGCAAATCAGGTTCCAGCAAAACGGAGTTAGAAGGAAGTTCATCATCATCATTTGAGCCACTTTTGCAGACAGCAAAGTTGACGAAATTTTCCACAAGGACATTTGAGTCATCCTTGCATGCTCAGTCAATTAGCAAACTTCCAGCTCGCTCTTATCACTCATTCCCAACTTCAAGATACCCAGGAAATAGGGTAAATTCGGTAGCAAAAAAGGTGGAGGCGAGAAAACAGTTAGATGCTATGCGGAGGAATAATTGGAGGTTCTTGACAGTGATAAGGAGGGTAATAATGTGGTTTTAAACGGCTTCCATGGAGACTCGGCATCATGTAGGATAGAACCCCAACTGGAGAGATGTAAAGCCAGTTTGAATGACATTATAAAAAGAAAAAGCCAGTTTGAATGAACTCCGAACTGAAGAGGTTATGAATTTATCGCTACCTAACTCGAAGCCATTCTATTGCATATGTATGTTTCAATATTTGTGTATTGATTTCTGGTGCTGACAACTGAGGAAGGAATAAAGATTCAACCTGAAATTATGTATTGAAGCAGAATCCAAAGGCCACCGTTATCATCACCATCACCATCCTCTACTGTTGAAACCCAAAAGAGACCAGAAGAAATCACAGAGTAGTAACCTTTCGTCTCTATATACCGGAACCGGACAACCCGTATCTCGCTTCTCCACCAATTGTTCCCCTTCTCGAGTGACGTTGCGACCTCCTGAGCCGGAAAAATCCCCTGTACTTGCCCTTCATTTTGAGATTGAGCATCCCGACGAGAATCCAACCTAGGTGACTGAGGAACGAGACGCCCGGCACACATTTGGACCAGAATCTGTTCATCGCAAGCAGCATAGCTGGCACCACCAGTGCACACACGTGAGCATAGTCTGCAGAATGAGAATTGAGGAGTGCGGCAACCATGGATGCAAATTTCAGGCTTCCCGTTGAGGCTTCCAGCTCGAGGCCCTTCCACAAGAGTTAGAATGGTGACAAGAAGAAGCGACTCGCATCCTTGTTCTGTTCACATAATAGGACCAAAATGAAGAAACACCAAATGTTCAGATTCAGGGACTCCACTGGAATAAGGAAAGCGATTTCCTTTACTTTCACAATCCCGTAGCTAATCCAATTCCTACAAGGTGAATTCATGAAAATTATAAGAAACCCGTCTCTCTTGGCAATTAATCGAACAGGTAGGGGGGCGAAATTTGTGGGGAAACAGTGGAGAGGTTACCTTGTGAATGATGTTGAGTTTGAACCAAGACCTCATCGACGGAAGGGAGGAGGTGGCGGAGGAACGCGGGCTTCAGGTATACGAGGGTATTGGCGACGATTACTCCCGCCTTGACGGGAGGTTTCCATGGCAGTCTGTAGTAGTCGGTGGCGACGTGAAGGGCCAGCAGCGGCAGGCGTTCTCCCTTGTCTCTCCATTTGAATCGGAAAGGGATCGTCGTGAATAAGGAAACCTGATATCCAATCTCCGGCTAGCTCCGGCGGTGCGAAAAGATTGGCGAACTGAATGAAAGAGGACTCGTTGCGGGACCAAATAGCCGGCGTGTGCTGACTGCTGAGCGAATGAAAGAGGAGACTCTTCGTTTGCTTTCGCGGTTGTTTTTGTTAGTGTCGTGGTATATGATCCACGATTGAATTTCTGCCAACAACTCGAGTTATTAGAACCAACTGGTTTATGACATGGTATCAGAGTTGGTTTGACTAAATGGTCGTATGTTTGAATCTCCAAACCCCAAATATTAACAGTTGATTAAAGCACAAGGTATGATATTTAGTGCAAACTTCAAGCCTGATCCAACATAATTTTTCCCCAACAACTTGAATTATTGGTACCAATCGATTCTTGACACTTTTTCCATCGTCTTCCTTTTTATTTATTTAGTCCCTAGACTAGTCGAATTTTTGGATTTGACCCTCAAATTTTGTTTTTGTAATTTCAACGCCATTTGATATTCTTCCAAACAAAAAACAACTTTTATTATAGGCAAGAGGACAAAGCATTTGTTGGGTCCGGATTTAGTGCATAACTTTATGCTATGTAATTCTCCATAATCTAATCACAATTTGCCTGAAGATTTTTACTCTTTTTCCGTTAATGAATTTCTTTGGTTTTAAGTTGGAATTTAAACTTTTTTTCACAGATAAATTATATTAATTGTGTTCTTAAAAATGATATCCACTTTGATATATTTTTTAAACAAAAAAATTGAGACATTTATACCATATGATATTGATTGATATTGACTTATATAACATAAGAGTATATCATATGTAGGGATGGCAATGGGTCGGGTTTTGCCAAACCCAATCCCAAACCCATGGGTTTATCCGTGAAAAAAAACGGGGTAAAACCCACTCGGTTTGCAAAACTCAAACCCAACCCAACTCGCTGGGTATCTGCGGGTTCATGGGTACCCATTGGTTTTTGTCGTAAAAAATTTACAATAACAAGTTCCTATCAAAATTAAAGTCAAATGTCAATCTCTCAATACAAATTATCCATATATAAAACACCATTCTAGAAAATTCAAGCAAATCACAAATTAACTATACAAATTGTTTAACACCAATCTAGAAAACTCAAGAAAATTGAAGCAAATCACAAATTATCCATAAGTAACATGATTAATTGAAAGTTTCTTCCTTTCAATTAAGTTTCTTCACTCCCCACTCGATAACATCAACTTCATTCTACACAATTAGAAAGAAAAAATTAGATATGTCTCCACAAACATAAATAAGATTAGTTGTTTAGAATATAAAATATACCGAGAAAATTAATTATATGAGTGTGGGCGGGTAACCATGAGGCGAGTTTACCTAAACCCAAACCCAACCCAGTGAATAGTGAATGGGTTTAAACCCAAACTGACCCAAAACCAGTCAACACGGATTTTACCCGCGTTGACCGGGTTGTGTCGTGTGGGTACCCGTGGGTTCGGGTTTTGTTGCCATCCCTAATCATATGGTAAGAAAGTGTAGCATGATGGTATGAAATACCAAACTGTAGAATGGTTGAATTTGAATACATGATAGTAGGAATATACTAACTATCATTTACAATTTTCAACATTATTTACCACAAGAAACCACCCGTACACCAGGGTGGTATAGAGTGGTATTTTGTGGTCCTATATTTTTTCACTCAGAAATTTATAGAGCTAATAGATAATGATGAACTCGTTCCTTCTGTGCAATTTTTTTAAAAAATAACCTCAAAACGAAGATGTTACCATATGGAGTTGGTAACGATGCTTCTATCCTATGTTAATAATAAGAGAGCGAATAAAAAAAATGTTAGACGCTCTCAACTATTAGAGATAGTACAGAAAAATAAAAAGAATTTTTATTATTTTCATAGCCATTATTTTCTGTTGATATTTCTCTGGTACGTGCTAAGTGGGTTGCCCAGGTTGTTGGCTTCCATTACTTTCTCTCCGCTGACCTCTGTATAAAACTCCTACTGTAAATCCAATACTAATCAAGTTAGTTCTTCTCATAACAATAATATCCTCTATAGCTTTTCACGGTATTAGAGCCAGTCACGATCAACTAGATCAGATCCATTCTTCATTCCTTATTCATCTCTCTGTTTATTCATACCTTCGGCAGCATAGCCGACTCAATCGTCTCCAACAGCTCAATGACCTCCGAGGATGCAATCAGCACCTTCAATCCTGCTACCCAGTTGCCTCTGAAACTCACTCCAACCAATTTCAACTCGTGGCGGTCGCAGCTGGAGACGCTCCTCATGGGCCTGGATCTTATTGGCTTCATCGATGGCACTGGCGTTATTCCTGCTCAAACGATTACAACGAACAACGCCACCAATCTCAATCCTGCATATCGCCATTGGTTTCGACAAGATAAGCTAATTCTCCACGCCCTTCGATGCTCTATATAGGTGTCAAAAGTCAAAACATAGCCGACCGATTAACCTGCCCGATCAACCCGCCCCGCAACCCGAATTGACTAAAAGTCAACAACCCGTAACCCACCCGACCCGCAACTCGATTGACCTGCAACTCGATTAACCCGCAACCCGACTGACCTAGGAATGGCAATGGGGCAGGTCCGGGGCGGGTTTCTTGGTACCCAGACCCGCCCCGTGGCAGGTCGGGTCCAGGTCGGGTAATTTATCAAGGGTCACGGGTCGGGGCAGGTCCACCCAATGGGTATGCAATTTATATGAAAAATATTAGAAATATTCGTTGTTTTTATTATAAGACCAAGGAAACAAACAATATTATGAGAAATATAGTTAAATTGTTGGAGAAATTGAGGTTTTCACTAATTTACGTCTTTATTATAGCTAAGATTTGATGTAATAAAAGAGAAATCCTAAGTAATTTGACTAAAATTACGTGTAATTTATGCAAGAACGGGTCGAGAATGGGGCGAGTCAGGACAGGTCAGGTCGATGAGAGTACCCATGCCCGCCCCGTCCCGCCTACGGGGCGGGTCGGACCCGCCCCAAAACAGGTCAAACAGGTCGGGTAAAACGGGTCAGGTCAAAATTGCCATCCCTAGACTGACCCACAACCCGATTAACCTGAACCCGACTAACCCGCAATCCGACTGACCGGCAACCCGATTAACCCGAACCCGATTGACCCGAACCTGACTAACCCGTAACCCGACCGACTCAACCCGAACTTCACCTAGTCCACTTGAATAATTATTATAATATACAATACATAGTTTTTCAAAATAAAGTTTTCATTCTAAACTTAGGTAAAATTATTTTTTCATTTCGTATAGGGAATTTAAAAAATATGAAACTCACTTGATATTATGTATTTTAAGAAAATTACGAAAATTCAAACATGAACGTTACTTGAATACTAAGTTCTTTAACAAAATTAAAAAAAGTAAATATAAAATTAACATAATGTGAAGAATTAATAATTGAGATCATGGACAATATTAATATAATATATAAATTAAATTTTGGTAAATTTAACTATTCAATAAAATTATCAATTCAATATAAATAAAGTAAAATAATGTATTTGGTAATTTGATGTTTTTAAAATAAGAATGAAATTCTGGTGTATTCAACTTTTTGGGAAGAGAAAGAAGAGGGGAATTTGATTCTTTGAATTTTTTAGAAAAGAAACAAGTGAAAATTTTGGTGGTTTTGATTTGGGGGAAGAGAAGGAAGTGGGAAAGTTTGGTTGATATAATCCTAATTCGAGAATCCACCCAAACTTGGACCAAAACACCAGAGTTGAACACGTCAAACTTTTTAAGGCTTTTCTTCTTTCTTTATTAACACGAAACTAAAGGATAGTCGCGGAAATCGATCAAACAAATCCGAACTCGTGAGAAGGGCCAATTGTATATGAAACTAATCAAACAATCTCGAAACCGTGGAAGAGGCCAATCGATATAGTCGATGCTCGCCACAACTAGACGAGTTCTCTAGTTGATAATAGACCACTCAATTCTCCCGAATCCTCAAAGGAGAGATTAAGCAAAAGAGTTCACAAAGGAACTCGAGTAAACACTCAATGTAATTTATATATGAAATCCGGGGTACAAATTTGTAGCTCTTACACCATCTATTTATAGAGGTCTCAAAAACATAAAACTAACCTAAAAAGAATAGGAAAACAAA